TAAATATTCATGGACTAGAGTAGGGTTTTGGCTAAGCYGCCACWGCAGTACAAACACAAAACAGAGTGGTTAAATCTCTCAAACTTTTACTGAATATGAACTTCTGACAGCCCCATACGTGACATTTCAACTCTGCAAAAAGCTTTTTCACACTATAAAGTACCTAAYACTATTTGTAAGTCAGTTGTTTCATACAAAGGACGGTGAGTTTAGAACCATTTGAGGTGCGATTGGAGGATTCAGACTTCTGTCCTGTATTTGTTGTACTTTTGCATAAAGTAATCTTAAGAATTCACATGRAAGTAGTGTCAAGTGAGGTGCATTAAAAGCTTCTTTCCATTTTTTCACAAAAACAGCAGACAGGAAAACCAACAGTATTTCTATCACGTTGCTCTGATTATGCTATCAATTAATATACAATAGCCTTGCAGTGTTTTTTGGTTTTTTTTCTATGCATTTTGCCAGGATGGGAGAGAAACTATGATACTACTGAACTTCTCCTCTCTGAAGCTGAGCAGCAGCTCATGGGAACAGTGTTGACCTGAGACTCAAGTGTTTTTATTCTGCTTTTTAAATTGACATACACTAGAAAATTAAGCTTAGTTAATCCACCTATGAGTCCAAAGTTAGAGTGGTGTAACACACCGAGTCATTTATTTCATGCATTAAAATAAGCTTTCTTGTCTTGACTGAAGCAAAGACCTTTGTAATCACATTCATCCTTCCATAGAAGGAATCCTAGAATGCTGTGGAGTTAGATGAAAAGAAATTCAAGAGTTTTGTGCTTTTAAATAACAATAAAACAAGTTACGTTACATGACTCTAGATGTTCACTAAAAAAGCTCATATTAATCTTAACTTTCTCAAGAAGGGTGTGCATTTTAAAAACAACTGTTTGTAAATATGTAATGCCCACTAAAGAAGATAGAGCCAGCTTCCTGGAAACTGCATCTGTTGTGTTTCTTTTCCACAGGCATATTGAGCCAGCAGGTTTGTTGGGTGCCTGAGACCCAACTCTGTAACAAAGCAGAGATAATCCAGACAAAAGAAATGGTGAAATCGTGTTTGGGTACCTAGCAGAGCACCCCAAATTTAATAATCCATCAGGCTGTAGAGATGAAAAAGCACTTCTGACTCGTCTGCAGAGTTTTGTTTCTATATAAACACAAGCTGAAAGAAATCAAAGTTGAGCAAACCTCTGTCCAGTAACAGTAAAAAAACCTAATCCTGATGAGGCAAATTATGAGCCCAAAAGGGCAATGTATATTTTCACTGTACAGCAGTAAATGGAATTAYTCATTCAGCCCTCTGCTGTGGTACAGTAGTAACCTCATTGTGACTGCTCACACATCAGTTTGCCTATATGCATGACTCAAAGGGAGTCAAAAGGCAGTCTGTGTTGACTGCTACATGAGCAGAAGTTTTTTCCGTGCTGGACTAAATACTGTTTGAAACCCAAGTACATGTCCCTTCAAAGGCAAATGCCTTTCACATATGCTGTGAAAATCAGCACAGGTAGATTTCTAGCCTAGGTGTCTGTGAGTTCACTCACTAGTCAGATTGCTAAAGCAACTCCCTCTGCAACTCCAGCAGTTGCAGCAACTGCAGGAAGGTAAATTAGTTTCCATGCTTGGAAAAGTGAAGCTTATAAAAGCCACTTCAACTTTAGCAAAGAGAAAAAGCCAACAAATAAACATGCTGTATGCTGGGATGTAAGGAATACAGTCTGCTGTTACAAACCTGTGTTTTTTCTGATAATTCTAGAGCCTGTTACCATAAAAGAGGCGTTTCTTGAATGGCTGGTGGTAGATAGTTCATGTTTTTCAATCCGATTTGCAATTGTATTTGTTGCTGTATAGTGATTGTTTTGCAAAATAAACTCGCTTGTCATCTAATTGTGTGTGTTGGCTTCCTGTGTTTGTGATGCAGCTTCTCCTGAATCCAAGCCCTGCACAACCAGCACCTGCTGGCTCTGCCCTCAGTCTGCCCAGGAGCAGTCACAGCACATCCRGTTCACTAATCGGTTCAGCTAATCCCTTTAAAACAAAAGAACTGGTTTTTATGGCTTGCATCCTCTTCTGCAGATCAGTATCTCCCTGCTTKGTGCAAATTTCTTCTCCAGGTGATKMGACATTGGAACTGGCTGCCYGGGGAGGTGATGGAGTCACCGTCCCTGCAGTGTTAAAGGAGGCCTGGACGTGGCGCWCGGTGCCATTGTCTGGGTGACTGGCTGGTGTTGGGGCATAGGTGGGAGTCGAGGATCTCAGAGGTCTCGGGGTGATCTCCTGAGCAAACTGACCCTGTAATTCTGTGGATGCCAGGACCCTCCCTGGGAGAGCCGTGCAGCAGTGCCCTGCAGGGAGCGGTGGCACAGTGASTGGGGCACAGTGAGCCCTCAGCGTGGCGGACGCGGCCATGATCGGCCCTCAGAGGCCCTCACAGGCCGGGGAAATGGCGGCCCCAGGCTGCAGCCAGGTGAGCACAGCGGGAGCGCCTGCACAGGGCTGGGGTGGTGACGGGGACGGGAGTTGGGGTTGGGGACAAGCTTTTGGAGCCATCTTGGAAACAAACGGGGAAACCTGTCCTGGACTGACCACACCMAAGGCCTGTGACAGGTGTCCCTGTCAACAAGTAGAATTCCTAGAAGATTTTGGCTGTAGTCTGTGGAGAAAGCTGCAGTGCTCTCTTTTGCTCTCGGGTTTCCTGTTGCATAGCAAACATGGAAAGAATAAGTTTAGGCTTAGAGTAACCAACTGGAAACTCTTGTGCCTGCTTCTTGAATGCAGGAATAAAGAGATACCCATTTCAAATCAAACAAAACCCAAACCAAACACACCTGAACCATCTTACCAGTTACTAAGAGAATGTAATTGCCTTAAACCTAAGGTAGTTAAATATTATCACTGACTAAAATGGCACTAATTTTGAGAGTGATACTATACAATATTTAGAACAACATTCTAAATGTTGTTCTAAAACAACATTTTTAATCTAAAACATTTTATCTAAAACAGATAAACCACCACTGGCCTGCAACCCCTCTCTGTCTGAGGGACAACAATCTGTCTACCAGTGGATTAGTAGCTGTGAGTGCTAGTTACTCCTATTGTCAATATCCTGAACTTTTTGAGGCCTCAACAGCTCAGTTCACTTATTCTCCTTAACKGCAAGTAGCATTAAAACTTTCTTTGTTCTCATACTTTCCTTGGAAGAAGAGGGATTCACCTGCTTGACAATTACTAAAACTCAAAAAAAAAATTGGACTTCAGATTTGTTGCTGCATAACTGAGGTTATGCTTTAGTCAATAATTTCATGGCACATTACAGGACTGGAAAAAAACCCAATTATTTAAAAATAAGTTCATTACTCCTACTCCACAGTGTTTCACTATTGACTGTTGAGAGGCATTCTGGAAGAAATTAAAGCTCAAATTTGCTTTCCAAACTRTCCGAACAAGAAGACAAAATCCTGGATTCATTGAGGGGATGTGGAGTAGGTAAACTTAATAGATAGTTTGCATTTAGAAGTAATATGTTTTAACTGTCTTCCCTCTGTAGTTAGTTCTTACAAGTTTTTAGAAATCAAGATAATTTTGTTCCTGTCCAATTGAACTTAATGGAAGGAAAGAACATGGTATTTAAAAGCTTTCCTGCCTGAACAAGGTAGTTCCTATTAATAAAAAGGCCATACTTCTGTGCACCAGTAGTACAAGTTACTACTAGGAAAGAACCCAACCAGACAATACCAATAAAACTAACTGCTTCAGCATTTCAGTGCTCAAGGAGATTAGTGATTTTAATTATACAAAATGTTTTGGTTGTAAACGTATTTGTTTTAATTAACAGACTACCTTCTAGTTAGTTGCCTTAATCTTCCTTTTGTTCAAGAGGGGGATCTTTGCAAGGCAGATCACATAAGATCCTGTTGTCCMTGACTAGAGATGAAGATTAGACTAAGTCACTGCAAGGAAGTGGTTGTTTTGGGCACCAGAAAAAACGTTATCCCACGTGGGAGTAAATTTAAGTTGTCTAAGTAGTGGCACTGGATTTTCAGGAAACCTTTTTTTTTGAAGTACACCTAAGGAAGTAAATAGGTGGTGTCCATCTACCGGGAAGTAATGATCTTGGTGAATCTTTAGGTGCCTAGCATGAAGTAGGAAGATTGAAAGACAGGAAGAAGCATGGCCTTGAGTGTTGGAGCATCTTTCTAAACTTCTAATATTTTCATATAAGCAACACAATATCACTTTTTTTTTCCTGTAAAAACTGTTTGGGATGAACTTGAATTGGCCTCTCATTTTATTCTGTTAATTATTTGTTGTAGTATATTATCCTCTGATATCCTTAGGTAGGGAAAGAGAGCTAATTAACAGCGTCTGAGAAACATTTCCAGCAAACCTGACTCAAACATACACTTGTATTAGTCAAATCAGTCTGGCGTCTTATTGGAAACAGCACTAAATCTGCTTTGGTACTTCCCATCCTCTCTACCTCCGTCTTGGCTCTTCTGTGTAACAAAAATCCGGGGAATAACTACCCCAAACTTCCTCTGCTTCCACCACCAATCTTCACTTTCAGAGAGGGTTTATGAGTTGCTTCCCCTCTCTCCCCACCTGGGAAGGAGGGAGGGAGGGAAGGAGAAGACGGCGGGCCGGGGGGGAATGGGAAGGAGGGTGTAGGGTGGAAGGAGGATGTCGCTCTCCSGACCCGGCAGGCTGTGGGATGCTCTGCGAATCCCTCTGGCTGCGGAGCGGTGGGGATTGCCAGCTTTGCGGGGGTGGCGGCGGGCAGAGGCGGCAGCAGCCCTGTTGCTGCGGGGCTCGCTGTTGCCGGCGGWGCGCGAAGTTTGTCGGGGCGGTGCCTCCGCCGCCCCCGCAGCGCCCGCCCCCCTTCCCCCGCTCGTCGCCGCCCGCTCGCTTTGGGCGCTGGGCACGGGGAGCTGTCCACAGAGGGAGGTGCTGAAGGCACGGAGGAAGCTGAAGGACGCGGACATCTTCGCTCCCCCTAATTTCCTCCCTGCCTTCTGCAGCCATTTTGCACCAGCGGAGTTGAGGGAGAGGTTGGGCTGCAGGGAATGGAGGGGAGAGGGTAAAGAGTTGCGGAGAGCGAGAGGCAGCCATGGGAGATCCAGACTGGTGTGTCTGCTGAGACCGGCTCACTGCAGCAGCTGTCATCAGCACCATGGTGAAAAGAAAAAGCTCAGAGGGCCAGGAGCAGGAGAGTGGCCGTGGCATCCCTCTRCCCATCCAGACCTTCCTATGGAGGCAAACCAGGTAAGAGCAGCAAGCCCTGGGCACTTGGGATACAGCTGCAACAGGGCACTGGATGTGCGATGGGGGGTGCGGGCTAGCTGCTGCTCAGTGGCACGGAGGATGCAGTTATKACTGCAGCTGCAACATGAAAGCATGAAACAAACTGTTCTCTGCACTCAGTAGAGAGCAATTTATGTGTTTTGGGTCTGGGAGGAGGTGTCGAGGCAGCTTAACCTGGTGGCAGTTCCAGGCAGCGTCTTGATTTGACCTTAAAGCTTCCATGTTTATGTATCTCTCTGCACCTTTCCCTTCCTCCTGTCCCATGCTCCCCATCCCGTCTGTCCTGCCCCCCACCCCCCATCTTTGAAGAGGACTCAYGGAGCTCTTATACCAGAAGCAACATCTGTCAGTGCTACACAAGACCTGCAGCTTTGCTTCTGTGTGTATTTGCCATCCTGGAAAGTGTAATCTACGCTTTGAGAGGTCAACATACAAACAGATATGTCAAAGTCTCCCCTTATTTCACAGGGCTGGAGAGTGACAGATCGGAGATGTGTGAGAGACTAGCTGAATGTATGGCTGGGGCTTTATGTTCCTTGTGGATCCTGTCAGTCTCCTGTCCTAGCAGAATTCAAAACTGAAAACATTGTAGGAGCGGTGGGGGAGGTTGGAAGATTTGAAGGTTATGGCTCTCATTTAAGGCCTCAGTCACAAAATCCCCTTATGCACAGTCACTGTCCTTCAAAATAAAATAGAGGAAAACCCCTGCAATAAGGTGACCTGATTATTTTTTTTTAATATTTACTCTGATCTCATTCTGGAGGAGAGTGACAGCAGAGGGTTTTTTTTTTCTACATGTAGCATGCAGGCCTACACTTTACCATAAGCCTTCCACGTCAGCAGTTGTGCAGAAAAATATTTAATACAGAGCTGGAAAATGAATCTCTGGTTTGAAATAAAGGCAGGGCTAAGTTCACTAATATTTAAAAAATTTTAAATAGAATATGTTGAAAATCTTTCACTGAGGTAAAATGGCCGAAAATTGTCTGATGGAAGATTTTATCGCTAGGAACTTGAGGGCTGAATTAACTACCTCTTGACATATTGGTGTGGGCACTTTTTGTTCTGGAAAAGATAACAGCATTTATCAGATGTCATCAACAGGTATCTGAACACAGTTTTGGCTTTATGTCTTCTTTTACATTAAGTTTCTCAGCGTTTTGACAATGTTCTGACATGAGAAAAATCCTAAAAATAACTAAGATAAACACACATTAATGTCTCTGATGCATCTTCTCCTTTCTTTCAGTGCATTTTTAAGACCTAAACTGGGGAAACAATATGAAGCTTCCTGTGTGGTATGTATATGTGTCCCTTTTCAACTCTTGTTAATAACTAACTTTTCATGCAAATCAATCTAACCATAGTGGCTGATCAGCAAGCTCCTCAGCTTACACTAGAAGTGGATTTAGTATGTTCAGTTTAATTTTGCACGTTTATCACATGAAGTATTTGAAATTTTTCCCATCTGGAGGATTTGGATATCATGTCCGTCTTCAGGCACAACAAAAAAGAATTTATTTGGATATTTGTAATAAGTAATTCATTAGTAACTTTGTAGTAATTAAATAAATAATGGCATGGACAAACTGAGCTATGACAATCTGGGTCTAACCTTACAGTTCATCCTGTGTGGATGTGCTTTTGCATGAGATTGATGTCATTTCAGTTTGTGATTGGAGGTTTTTCAAGCTTAAAATATTGAAAATCTATACAATACTAACAGGCTTTGAACAATACTTKTTACCATTGTACGAGATGGGAAACRCTTCTACTGGAAATTAGATGGAGCATAATCTTATCAGCATCATTAAGGAGAGGCTGTTATGCACATACAAACAACTCTTATTTCTAAATGTATTTCAAATAAAGCCTCAAGTTCCAGACAAAAAGGAGGAAGAAGGGAAGGCATGAAGCAAGTTCAAAACAGATGGGTATCTAGAGAATTTCATAATTCCTTGAATGGTTGCTGGTCTTTGGATTACTTAAAGTGTTTTAGTCAGTTGCACCCAAACTTGACAGAGTGGAAAAATTTAGTCTGGACATGTATCTTAATAGTTTAAAGTTCTTAGGTCACTCAGCAGCAATTTTCTGACTTCCTTCTCACAAGACATTAAGCTGGAGAAGCTTTATCTGTTGCTGACTCATTTTCTTCTAAGAAATCCATAAATTTTGCAGGATTTTTGCTAGATACCAAGTAGCGACAGCGGAGTGCTGGCTTAGTGTGTTGGTGAGTAAAATGTATTTCAATCCTAGCACATGCAGCCAAAAACATCATCACTGTTTAATGCCACTGAGAGTTCCTGGGTGCTGAGAGGCTGGAAAATGGAGCTTGTTGCTTTCTGTCCTTTACCAGGAACCTCAGCAGTGTGCAGGAGCCATGCCTTGGAGCATCTCTAATCTGAGGCTGTGGCTTCCTTCACCTATGGGCTCATACCCCTTACTGCTGGAGAGAGGGACAGAGCTTCCCTCTCTGTGTACTGATCTGTGACTTCCTTTGCTTCCTGCTGTGCTGTTGGCATCAGGTCCCCCAGGCTGATTCTAAAGCACTTTTCTTCTGTGAGAACATACCAGAATATACTAAGTGTAAAAAACAACCACCAAAAAAACCCTAAACTGTGAGACAACCTGAATCACATACTTCAGCCGAGAGAAGGGGAGCTCTGAAAAAATGCATTTCATGAAGATCCAATTAATTTCCACCTCTTGGATGAAGAACTTGATTCTTCTCTAGTTCTTAACATAACCATTTTCTTATGGTGGAAAGTTTTCAAAGGTAGAAATAAGTTTTGAGCAGTTGGTGGGATACAGCCTGAATTGATGGATTTGTTGCCTTCTGCTTCATCCATTTCTTCTACCTGCTGGTGCGCAGGAATGTCTGCCCACATCAACACATTCTGTACTATTCAGTGGGGCAGCAGAGTGCTGAGTGCATGGGTGAGACAGGGTTTCTGGAACTTGATAGGTACTTGACTTGTCTTCTGAAACCTCCTGTTGGCTATCTAACACCCCTGTATTGACTAAAAACACTGTGCACCTGTTACATGATCTATCCTTGTATAATTATCCAGCCAGAATAGTTGTAGGCATGTCTACAGGCTGTTAACTGTCTGGCAATGCATATGACACAACATAGTGCAGTATTCTATTATTATTCTTGGCTCTAAACTTGCTGCAGTAGGATTCGCTGCATACTGTGCATTGAGGAAGCAGATGTTGGAGRCTGAGGATCAGTGAGTACAGCATCTAGTCTGCAAGAGCATAATGCACTGCATCTTTGAGCTTTCCTTTATACCATAATACTTGAGGAAAGAAAACAGCCCTTTCATTGCATTATTCTCTTTACCTGAACCATTCACACTGACTTCAATTGTCCTATGAATAATAGCCTTTAAGCTGAAACTAAATACCCTCACTCCATACATGGTCTTGCAACATCTAAGTATGTTTGGATTTAATGTTCTTCCTCCTCCCCATTCTGAAGTTGTTCTGCCCTGACACAAGGTCGTTCATGATGTGCATGGGACAAAGCTGTAAATGACCTCACATGAATGCAGTGAGTTCTGAACAAAGCTAGTGCATTTTTCTAGTGATGGCAAGGAACAGAAAGGTATATTCTTTTACTCTGGATTGTGTAGGCCATGGAAGAACTCAAATGTTTTCTGGAGGATCCTGCAAATTCAAAGTTTACTTATATTTTGGCTTGGTTTTTTTTTGCTTGTTTTTGAAAATGTAATTACATGTTTTGTTATTGTGAATAATTAAAGTTTAAATATGGAACACAGTTCAGAAAGARGCCCCCTTCATTTTATCCAGCCAAGAGACATGGTTGCAGAAAGCTAAATTTCTGTCGTAAAGTGATTGGCATCTGCGTTTCATTACTTGTAAATGTTTATATTATTGCTGTGTTTGGTAAACAATGGAGTCTTACCATCCCTTGTGCTATGAACTCCTAGGTTCCTAGATCTTTATAGGAACGCTTCCTTGCTCACTGGACCTGCCCCAGACTGACACTACTTTCTGCCTGCACTTCAAGCTCTTTCCAGTCAGTKTGAAGTGACTTCAGCAGAGGTCTCAGCTTTCCTCCATGATGCAGCCTGAGCTTTGGAAGAACAGGGCAGTAAGGACCCCTTCAAGGACACAGGTCCAGTTCAGAAAGCACTAATCATTTCTCTGTGTTTCTGCCATGGTCCTTCTGTACCTGCATTGGGCTAAGCACTGGACCCTGCTCTTTATTTATTTTCTTCATGTGCAGTCCTGTAAGGGTGTTCCCTGGCACTCCTGAGAGGATGTCACAGGAAGTGCTGAACTTCCCAAGGTCATGGCTGACCTCTTCCTGCCTTATGCAATTCACTGCAGGTACAGCTTCCCTGYGCTTAGAGCAGGGGAAGGTCATGCAACTCAAGCAAAGCTGTTTAGGAAACCATGACAACGCCCAGTCAGAATGCTGTTGGAATGGGAACAGATAGCCTGAAGATGCCTAGACATGCAGTACAGGACAGAGCAGAGTTGGAGGTTAGGATTTCTCCTTTTGTTTCCCCTCTTGGGGAATTTTTTCCCATTTTGTTGCTAACACACAACAATAGGTGAGTGGTTACCCTAATAGCGAGGTGCTCAAGAAAGACAGAAGACGTTGCCAAGCGCAGGGGAAAGGAGGATGCCTGGAGGCATTCTTCCTATCTGAAGGTTCTTTCTCTGTGGAGAGCAGCGATCCCTCGAGAATCTGGGTTCAGGAAAAAGGTGTGTGGGGGGGGCATAGCTCTCTCTCTTCTCACCCTGCTGGCCTGGGGGGAGGGCAGTGGACCTGCTGCCTGCAGGAGAGAGCTCACCTGCTGCCGCTGCAGAGCCCAGCAYCCTGCAGGTTCCTGCTTGCTGCACTGTGGCTTCTGCTCCCTTGCCTTGCTGGGAGCCCTGTGATTCCAGCTGCGCTGGTAGAGTTCCGATACATCTCATCTATAGCTGCAGGATTTTGCTCGTCTCTTTGCCCAGCTTGCTGCTCCGAGGTTCCTGCTAAAGCTCCTCTTGCTATCCAGAGGGAGCACCAGGATCAGCACCCCCTGTGAGTTTCTAAAGGAACTTTTGTCCATCCATTTCTGCTGGCGGCGCCCACCATTGCCTTGTGAGAGAGCTGAACCAGCYGGGACCGCGCCACAGCGCCCCTGCAGGCGTGGAGGAATCATCGCACCCGCCCTGCCCGGGTGTGACTGGCTATGACCGTAACTGCACCACAGGGGAGGCTGTGTGACTGCCCACAGGAGGCTGGCATGGGGTTTGTGGTTTGCTTGGTTGTTGCTATCGTTGTTGTTGCTTGTTTACCTTGTTATACAAACTAGTAAAAACATGTTATTCCCTTTCCCGCCCACTATCTTTGCCTGAAAGCCCTGTGATTTCAAATTTAGAATAATCCGGAGGGAAGGAGGGGTCATATTCACTGCTCCAAGGGAGGTCCCTGCCTTCATTGGCAAACACTTGCCTTTCCAGCCAAGACAGCAGAGAATGACACACAGGCTGATCTTGGTCACAAGGTATTTTATAGTGTCTTTCGTTCTTGGTGGAGAAGAAAGGTAAAAGGAGAGCAGCAGCAGTGGGAAGGCAGCCAGACAAGGCTGACCACCACTCACTGTGAAAACAGATGTCACCACCAGGCTAAAAGGAAAAATGCTTATGTAAGTGGGCCTGAGGGAGCTGAGCACACACACAAAGCACTACTGAAAAGGGCTGCTTCTCCCGCCAAGGCACTGAATTCCCTCACTATCCTCTTGGCAGGTGTTCTTTATCTGTCTTTGGTATGTGGGGAGTGTTGCAGGCATGTACAAGCCTGCAGTAAGTAGGTAACTATTTTCTTAGCCAAGCTGTAGCCCTGATCCCTGAGGCTGTGGCACTAGACATACCCATAGCATGACAGTATCTGTCTTCTGACTCAGTTACAGGGAGCTTACTCAGACATTCTCATTAACCTTCTTATTGAAGCATGGAACTCCTCTCAGCTGTAACAGAASTTGTTTAGTTCATGTGGGGTGAAAATTATGTCTTCTGCCCCAATGTCTATATATGCTCTAAAACAGGTCCTGAAAGAGTAGAGCCATAGCAGAACGAAAGGGAGGCTCTCCAAGAGCAGCCCAGGACCTTGCATCTTGAGTGTCTCATATAGACAGAAGCTGCACCTTTATCAGAACTCCAGGCAAAGTCCACAGGAACACTTACCCAAGGAATTGCACATTCCTATTGGTGTGCTTGTGACAGTTATCAGTGTTGGGGCTTGGTGCCATTTAGTTCCTGTGCTGACAGTACATCCACAGGAGCAGTTTTGTAGCAGRCATTTCTCTACTGCAACTTTCGTGTTTGCATTTTTCTGGCAAGATACAGTACTTCTGTCTCAGATGCTTGTGATCACATAAGCTATTCCAGAAGCTAATCTTTCATTGTGGTACAGAAATATTTAGCTWTCTGCTCAGGAAAGAACAGAAGTATCTGTTAGGTAACCATGTAGGGAAAGCTTCTTGAGTGCTCAGAAGCCCAAAAGGCTGTGGTAAATACAAACCTAATCTAAAGATGTAATTGCAAACTCTTGAGTTTGCTGCCTCTTGAGTTTCTGAAGCATGCAGACTGTGGGTCAGAGCTTTCAGAAGCCAGTTGCTGGGGAACTTTCTTCCTGATGCCATTGAAGCACCAGAAACCAGACCTTGAATGGAAAACCAAGGGAGTAACAATATGTCTTCTGCCACTCTGCAGAATTGTGTTTCAGAATAGTGTTGGTGCTSAGAGGGATTTTTTTTCTCCCCTTACCCTGCAAACTGAATAGCTTTGTCTCTTCCAAAGTATGAGCTTATGGTTTGGCTTTTGTACTGGAGGTGAGATMATTTAATTCARTAAGMCTCAGTCAGCACTGRTGTTTGGCAGACCTTTTGGTGAGCWAATTCAGCTTGCTAACCTGGTAGGAAATACTTACCTGTATGCTGACCTTCCTTTTGGCTTGTGCTTCCTTTTGCTGAAACAGCTTGTGAGCAAAYAGGTAGCCATGAGGCTAAGCTGGATTATGGCAAGGTCATGCATGGTCATTATCTTTGCTATAGGCACGTTAGTGAAGGAATATCACTGCATTTGTAACCTATAATAAGATACTTGTATATGATCAGAACAATGATTTATTGAAATGGTTGAAGCAACTAGCAGTAAGGAGCTTCCCTGGAGATTTCAGAAGCAGATAGTCTTATTTTGTGTTACTTAAGATGGAAATAATGAACTTGCTGAAGCCATCAGCTCTCTAAGTGTTCACAAAACTGTTACATCATGRCTTGACAAAAAATTTTGTACTCGGATTATTTTTGTGACAGGGTGTGAAAACATTTCCTAAAGCCCATATACCTTTAGTGGGTTGCCCTTTATGTTTATCTTGGGGTGGTTTTATGATAATACTGTATTCCTCTATTGTCTGTTTTATGCCCAGAAATGGGTCCTGTAGCTGTAAGCTGGGTCCAGGGGGAGGGGTGGGAGCAAAGGAAACTCTGATGCCAGTTTTCTTTCCCAAGGACTCTCTCCCCTAGTGTGCTCGGTTTGCATGGTGGAGAGGTTACCCTGACACATTCTTGCTAGCTAGCTTGCTTCTTGTTAGCTGTGGCAAGAGGCTTTTTCCATGAACTGCAGCAGAAAGCTCTGACTGCTTCTGTGCTTTCTTCTGGAGCTGTTTGGCTTAGCTTTGGGTCTGAGAACCAGACCATCAGTGGGGAAGCTGTGGGACTGGTGGGGAGGCTGTGGGGACACCACATCCTGGCTCCGGTCCTCAGGAGAAGCTGAGCCAGCTGAAGAACTCTAAATCCRCCAGCTTTCTCTGCAACAAGGAGGTTATATATCTAATTGTTATTCGTTGTTTTCATGTGCCCTGTGGGTACTTCATTTAATAAACAGTTTTTTCACTTTCATCCAAAACATTAGTTTTGTATCGGTGGGGGAGTGAGTGCCGAACCCCTTGTCCTATGGAAGCAGTGGGACCCTTTTGCTTTAGAGGAAACATTCATTCCCCAGTGTTTTCTCCTAAACTTGTCTCTAACCTGACACAATATTACACTAAACTGAAGGAGAATGTGTGTTTTAGAAGCATATCCAGCACAGCTCCACAAATACAGGCTCCCCTAGCTCCTGGGCCTTCCAACAGTATTACTGGCCTTACCCAGCACAGCTGTAAGCYTGGCTTGATGTCAGCACTTACTAATATACAGATGATACTTGCTTTAWGTCTCTTTGCTGAAAATATATTGTGTGGCCCATTCATTTCTTAGTCAAGTATGTCCATATGTCTGGTGAGCTTTAGTTACAGTCTGTATTTTTCAGAAAAAATATGATAAAATGTGCTTTAGTTGTTTAATTAGACTTTACAGGTTTTTAAAAGAGAATGTTCTATGTACTGGAAGACATGTGTGGAAATAGATACAGAGTATTTTTTTTTTCTTTTTTCTTTCYTKTAGTCTTTTGAAAGAGTTTTRGTAGAAAACAAGCTGCATGGCCTTTCTCCAGCTCTCTCTGAAGCCATCCAGAGCATTTCTCGCTGGGAACTTGTCCAAGCAGCACTCCCTCATGTGCTGCACTGCACTGCAACATTGCTCTCCAACCGGAACAAGCTAGGTTAGTGCTCATGTCAGATCGTTTTTCATTACTGAAGTTGTCAGTTAAAACATGTGAGATCAATGCTCAGGGTGCCAACATATTCTAAATCCTTAGAATACCAGTTWGTTTCTTCTGGGGATTGTCTTTCTTGAGGATTGTCATTCTTSTTTGTAGRACAACAACCTGTGAAAGCTTCCCCAGTGAAGTTAGTGGTCTGATGAGCTAAAGAGTCAGAGTAGTTCAATAATATTTTGCTAGCTATTTCCCAGAAGTAATGGAACTTATTTTACCACCCAGCAGGCATGGGTTCCTTGAAGGAATACTTATTTCTTTCAAGGCATGCTGCAGTGGTCGGTTGCAGCAGGTGCTTTACTATCTTCATCTGGGTCGGTTGCAGCAGGTGCTTTAATAGCTTCAGCTGGGGTTTTTTTTTTTTTTTTTTTAAATTCAAACCAATGCATGTGACTCTCAGCAGATAGTCAATCAGACAATAAAGAGAGAGGCAGGTGCAAATCCAACTTACTTTACTATGTTTTTACTGTTTTAATCAGTGGTTTCATCAGGAATTTGCTTCCTGAGACATGCCAATAAGGACCATTAACAAGACACAGCTTGAGCACCTTGCAGTGCTCACTGGCATTTTGTCTTACTCAACAAAGTCAAACAGACAAGACTGTTGAGTTGGTTCCTTTTGGGACCACTCTATGTCCATGCTGCTGCACAGYTAACATTACAGAGACTGAGCTCCAAATTTTGTGGAATAAGTGGAGTCTTCTGATTTAGGTGGTTTTAAACATAATGAGACAGAAATCTGATGCTTTTAAGTGTAGGATTTTAATTTTCAAATGCTTATTGAGGCATCGGATGTCCAGCCTCCAGTGCAACTCTGGAACAATCTCAACAGTATCATTAACAGAAACCCTGTGAGATTTTGTGATGCATTTTTCCACGCAGGACATCAGGATAAGCTTGGAGTAGCTGAAACAAAGCTTCTTCACACTCTTCACTGGATGCTGCTGGAGGCTCCTCAGGACTGCAGCAATGACCGATTTGGAGGAGACAGAGGCTCCAGCTGGGGAGGGAGCAGYGCCTTTATCCACCAGGCTGAAAATCAAGGATCACCAGGACATCCCCAGCCCAGCGCCATGACTGATGARGAGGAGAATAACAGAAGGAAGTTCTTCCAGAATTCCATGGCCACAGTAGAGCTATTTGTGTTCCTTTTTGCTCCCCTCGTCCACAGGATTAAGGTAAGTGGTGCACTGWTTGGGTGTGCTTCTGGAGACAGCTCTGGGGGGGAAAGGAATGATTCTGCCTTTGTGATTGTTATTCAACTCAGTGTACACTGCACAGTGGGTTACCACTGCAAATGTTTTCCCAAGCTGCCATTCTAGTGATGTGAGCAATCAGCACAGCATCAGGCAGGCACAAATAAAATAAATCCAAAGTCARCTATTTTTAGCCTTTGGGAATGTCAAAGGTCTGTGGTCCTTGTGAAGTCTCTTGGGTCCTGAGGACGTCAGAAAGGGTTGTGAACATTAGCTTGCTCCAGTGATTCAAGCATTGCTCACAAARGCATTGCTGATTTTCAGGGATTCCACCATAGGGCTGCCACTGGGATTTGTTGTTGTCACTACTAATTACCTTAATTTTAATTACCAGGGCATTTTTATAAGCATGGCAGTGGTGAAGGCAATGGAGCATTCCTTTGTTCTGAAGTGTGAAGCAGGGCTTCAGGCCTCCTGTTACTGGTGTTCTTCTGTTAATTTTATGCTGACTGCATCAGCTTTGCATAGTGATGTGATGAAAAGATACTTTCTGCATGCTCTGACTYTTGCCTCTGGGAGGATGCCATTTAGCCTTTATGCTTCCAGCTAGGTCTCAGAAAAGAGTAGGTCCTTGAAAAAGGACTATAAAGTCCTGAAGTGATAGGGCTGTTATCTGTTCTAATCCTACCTTCTATGCTGCAAGTTGAAGAAGATAAGAAAGAGCAGGAGATAAAGGATAATATTTTGATTAGGACAGGTAAAAGCAAGACTGGAGATCTCTGTTTGGAGATAGATAGACTATCTCTGTTTGGAGATAGACTGGAGATCTATTTCTGTTACTATCTTGTACAGTATTGTTGAATTTATTTAGCCCTAATTTTTCATAATTGTTTACCAGTTGTGTAAGCTMCTGGGACAGGACAGGAAGAAACATTGAATTCTTCCCAGTGCGACATAAAAAATGCAGGCTGCCCTTTGAATAAATGAAATTAAACTGATGGTGAACCTTGACTATTAGAGATTGGAGTTCCATTTTTTTATATTAATCTTTCTGGCATGTTGTTTACAAGATGGGGTTAATAACAGCCCATTAAAACATGCACATTTCTGTCATCAAAACAAAGTTCAGGAAAGGAGGTAAATGAGGCATGTAACTGGTTCACTAAGGGAGCTTTGTCCTCTCTGTCTCATAAATCTCAGGGGAAGGATACTGCCTGATCAGATATCCAAAGCAATGCATGGGCTCAAGGAAGATGACAAATGTTTCCATAGACAGATCTAAGCTATTGAATCCCTTTCTTCTGGGAGGATTTGTGCCTTGAGCAGTGTGTTTTTAAATCAGGCTTTGGGGGATGCATTTAATCCTGTAACTTCACAACTGTAGGTAAAAGCGTTGGCACATCAACACAAGCTAGCAGAGCAAAGTGAAAATGCAACATTACTGCTACCAGGTCTAAAAGCCTTGCAAGCTACTCATTAGTAAAAATAGTATCTAAAACTAAGCTTAGTTTAAGCCAAGCTTGTGAGTTCAGTATGATTAGAGAGCACTAAGAGAGGGTAGGGAATAGAAGGGCTGGAGAGCTACAAGCAGTCGGTTCCTGCCAATCTTTTAGCTGTCCCTGCATCATCCTTTCCAACTGCTGAGGCACCTGGGGATATTTCAATAGCAGAGTGTTGTGCCTCTATWACTGTGCCACCAACATTGATGTTACCATGTTTGTTTGCCTTATGGGGTAACTAGAGCTCTACCAACACATATGTCTCCAATGTAGATCTAACTTTAGGTCAAGTGCATACCTGCACCTTGATCCTGTAAAGATTTACTTGTCTACTAATTTATATTATTTCAGCTGCTTGCATATATAAAAACAGCAACGGCACAAGTGTGAGTGGTACCACAGTCTCTGTATTGACATAGTTCAGGTACAAACAATGCTAATGATAGCAACAGTAATGTATACCACTACTTCGTAGTAATCTGTTACATGTTTCCTCAGTTTCTAAGTAATGTTTTAGTATTTAGTATTCTTAATCTTTTGGGGAAGAAGTTCAAGTCTCGGAGTGTAAATCCTAAAGTTGAGCTTGAATACTAAACATGAAGTGGTTCTGTATAATTAAAAGGGATAACTTCTGACATGAATGGCCTTTTCTTTTAAAGCTTAATGTTCTGGGGAAAACAGTRTTCAGTAACTAGAATAGAAATTTCATTTGTAAAAAATCCCTTATAGCTTTTTGAACTGAAATTTCCCCATGAATTTTTACTACCCATATTTGACATGTGTTGAGCTTGCTGAGTATTGTCAGAAGCCCTTGAAATAACRTATACTGACCAGAGAACTGTACATGATATCACTTATGTCCTGTAAAATCTGTGCATTGGAGAAATGACAGTCTTCACAGATTGGAAACAAGATTCTGTTTTTCTTTTTAGGAGTCTGACCTGACGTTCCGGTTGGCTAGTGGCCTTGTTATTTGGCAGCCGATGTGGGAACACAGGCAGCCTGAAGTTTCTGCCTTCAATGCTCTTATAAAACCRATCAGGAACATTGTTACAGGTCTGTGACTTTGCTGTGGTAATGTAGCTCCTGAGATCTGGGAAATCTTTATCTTTGTTTGCCTTGCATTTTTTGGCCATTGTATATGGAGGAGTATGTTGGTCCTGCAGGATTCAGTCAAACCTTGGAATTGTTTAAGGTTGTTTCTTTTCAGAGTCAACTGACATTTGCATAATAATTAAATAGGTGATGGGAGAACCATCACAAATAGGAAATTAATAACCTTTTAGTAGAGTTATCTCTTCTGTCAGCCTCATACAATTTCTGGTAGCCTTGTCTTCCTTAGTTGATAAGAAAGGTAAAGATAGTCCTGAAGAAGGACTCATGGAAGCCTGACATGAGTGAGGATGTCTTTTCCAAATTGGCACTGGACAAGAATAAACAGTGAYGAGCACGCAGATGGTTCTTCTGCAATCTAAAATTTTATTTCCAACATGTTATGAAATGAAAAATGGTACTTTAAAGGGAGTCCTAAGATGGTCTTGGTTGTAAATTCACTTTTGCATRCTGGAAAGGATTACTCTTTCCTTGTGCTTCAGAACTAGTGAGACTGGAGTTGGGTGTGTAGGCTTCCAAGGCTTTGGCTTCCAAGTCTTTTTTGCCTGCCATAGTCCTAAAAMCACTTTTTTACTGTTATGTTTCAGACAGTAGTTTTTTATAATTCCTGCAAGTTGGTGAATTGAAAAGTGAGTGGAGTACAYTGCTCTAGCATTCCTTCCTGTTGTCAAAAGCATGGAACTTTAATTTTCAGCAAAGCAAAAATTTAATTCACTAAATTAGATTTTTCTGATAACAGGTCATTTGGGATGTCATATTTTTTTGAAAATAATTTGTAGACCTATGGGACAGTCCAGAATTGAAAAGAATCAAGTCTTCCAAATGATTTAAATCAGTCATTGACATCTTGCTCTTTCATCCCTCTTCTTCTACATCTAGAATAAAAATGTAATATTTCAGAGCTGGAACTAAAAGAGAAGATTAGTCCTAAGTTTTCTTTGACTTTTGGAATGTTTTCTACATTTGGAATGTGTTTCTGCGGTCTGTGTGTGTGGTCAGAAAATCCCTAAAAATAATTTAAGAAGTAAAGTCTGAAAGGRAAATGCTCCATTATGTTTTGAAAGTGTTTTCTGCAGGAGAGAAATACTAACTGGAGAGAGGTCCTTTATGTCTAGGAAGATGCTGCTATAGTGGYATCATTTTAGACTAGGACAAAAAGTCAAATTTACTTAAATTTTCCTTCAAACAACAAATTGAAAAAATCAAATGAAGAAGCTTTGCAATGTTTTGTTTGTAGTCAGTCTGATCCAAAGTCGCATCTCCATGGCTTTCAATGGAATCTCAAGACCTGTCATCCTAGTCTGTATAATGCCCTTGATTTTCCTACAGTATTATTGATCAAACTTTACCTGTGATATCCATGTGCTTCCTGTGATGAAAGCATTTGGCAAATTGCAAATCACAATACACTCTGAGTGATGTAACCTAAAAAAAGTACCTGAATATATGTATAAATACAATGAAGAACTCCAAAATAAAAAGCACTAGTCCACCTGGGAAAACTCAGTTAAGGCAAAAGTGTTTAGGATAAAATTTACATTCAAATTTAATTTTTAATTTTAAAGAAATAGAGATTTTCAGCAGATAATGTTGTTGACAACACAATGGAAAGAACTCTAAAAACTAAACCAGTCCTTTTTTTTTTTTTTATGGCTGTGACTATTGCCTAGAAGTGTGCTTCAGATAGATGCTGGGTTTGTTTTCTGATTTATCCTTATATTATAATATTTTATAACAAGTACATTATAATGTAAGATGTGTTTCCTGAAATGTCCTCTTTTGACTTCTTTTCTCAGCCAAGAGAAGTTCTCCCACCAACAATCAGTGTGTGACTTGTGAATCCCCTAATCTGGACAGAGGACGTACGGAGGTAAATTCTATTCTAAGGTTTGACCACCTTGAATAAGTTGCTGAAGGAGAGGGGAATTATATTAGAACAAAACTTTAGCTCCCACCCTAAAGTATTCCAACTCCAGAAATTACAGTTATTYACAGTTCTTCACAGCTAAGGATCCCAACATTGTTTGCAGTGGAACCAAAGGGTTTGGGGTATAGCTATCCGGATCTCCTGGGCCTTATCCTGTCTTACAGAAGAGAAGACTGATGTTGTGTATGGCAGGAGGGTTGGAGCTTGATTTTAAGGCCCCTTCTAAAATTCTCCAAACTTATATTTTCTCCTGGGCGAGAACCTTTGCCTGTACAGTGCCTTGTATTGGGAAGCACCAGGCTTGATCAGTTTTTCCATTGTATTAAGGCATAAGTAACAGTCATGTCTAAGCTCAAATTGCAGTTATAAAACCAATATGGAAGATATAAATATGTTTATAGACCTATTTTCTTTTTACAACTATCCAAAGGGACTGCAGGTGGTCTGTGAGACACCACAGCCGGATTCTGTACCTCCAAAGGCTTCTGTTTCAGCATGCCATCCTGGAAATTCCTTGGATGGAAGCATATCCTCCCAAACCTCTCAGGARAGAGGTTCTGCACATCCCAGGTACRAAGACCTTCAGGAGAAACTTGGTTTCATGTGACTCAGTGGTGGAGGTCACAYGAGTCCTTTATCTTGAATCCACTCTTGTCTGTACGTGCTGAGGGTGCTGCATGTTTGTATCAAATTCCTAATTTGACAGACCTCAGTTCTGGATGATAAAAAAGGTGGCAGCACTTGTTACTCAATGCTGCTTTTGTTGGAGATATCTCTATCTGGCCTATTGGGACAGTTTCTTTGGTCTTTTCTTGAATATTGTTTTTCTAGAATAAAAGAATCAGAAGTAACTTGCAGGTTCATCCCTTCCAGGCTGGATTCAGCTTCAGGCAGCTGGTATATTTTCTGGCTTCCTTCAGATCAGATTTTATTTAATCTTCGCACAGAATTTTCGCCAGCCTTTCTCCATTACTTTTGTTATGCCTTCTTTGCATCCTGGTGCATAGCTGGCTTTAGGTTACTGGCCTAAAGGAGCAGACTAACAAAGAAGCACAGCCATGCAAACATCCTTCCAGCTTGTCCTGCAGTGTTCAGGCCGTGGTTTTCCAGCATGGCACCAATAAATTCATCTAGATTTGGGCACATAAAGATAGAATTAGATTTTCAGTAGTGCTGGACACTCAGTAGTGCCTGCCATAAATAAATCAAGCTGATGAGTATTTTCAGAGATTTTGGAGAGGGAAGGCTATCATTCTAAGTTTCGGTTGATCTAGGAGTGTCACTAAAATGTCTGAAAATTTTGGTTCTGTTACATATCTCTTTTGAGAAATGTCATATCCAAAACACTGCAGTTTCAAGAAATGTCTGTATTACTGTGACAGGAGAAGGATGGGATGGAGTGATTTTCTGKATATCATCTACAAACAGCTTTGATCTCTCAAATGGGAGCTCAGAGCATCCTTTTAGTGGTGCAAAGGACAAAGCCATTTGCTAAAGCTTTCATCCCATCAGGAAGCTTTCCCTGGGATTTTGTATCAAGCCTGTTGACAGTTCTTTATTTARTTTGTATTAATGTGAGCCAGAAAAGCTGAAGGTGGGGACAGAGCTGCCTTTCTGTGTGTGAACACTACTGCTCAGATAGTGCACAGCTGTAAAAAAAACAAGCAGCATTTTAAGAAGACAGAATCAGGTGATCAGTTTATCAAGCAGGGTCTGGTGGTTGCCATGGGGATGAAGCTTCAGACAGGCCTTGAAGAGAGCATCATTATGCCTCCTCATTTGGAGGACAACACTGATCAGTTAAAACTGTACAGGGAGCTTTGGTTGCCAAGCAACAGACAACTGGGGAACAAATGTTGTTTACTCTGCTTACCAACAGCCAAAGTATTCCTTTGTCCTTGGCTAGGAGTTGAAGGAAGGCCACATTTCCACTTTCCCTGCAGTCACAGGCAACCATGAGCAGATTATATGGACACTACATTTTCTCATAAATGAAGATCTGAGTTTAATTTCTGGTTCTTCAGATAGTGTTTAAACAAAAGGCTTCTTCTTGTGATGCTAGCTAAGTGTCCCTGGTCCAATCAGTGTAATTAACCAAATGCAGATGACACAGTTTAACTGCAAAGCAAATAAAGYTACAGCCTTTTATCCAGCTGCTACCTTGAACAGGCTACATTGGAAATGGGCTTTGCAGGAAGGACTTTAGTTATGAGTATTTCATAAAGAGAACACACCTTGCTCCGGTCTGTGTCATGCCTCAAGTTTGCCTGTGCCACATAGAGTGAAGCATGAAAGCCCCATGCATCACCCATCACMATTTTTACTGAGATTATGGGTTTTATTTCTGTTGCTGAGATACTTTGARTGTATTTCTGGGTTTTTGCAGGCTGCATCTATGTGACACAAYCTAGACTTTGACAAAACCACCCTTCACACCAGGTTTATGGGAAAAATGTTACAGCATATTCCCATTTCTCATTGTTTTCAGTTTCCTAATTCAGCTTTTCAGGTTTTTATAACAGCTCATTTTGAAGTCATCAAACTTGCAGCATTTTTACCTGGAATACAGCACTATCTGTGCATTTCATTTAGCGTGGCATATGCTGACACAGATCTGCTAGTCTGCAGTCAGCGAGTGCCTCCAGCATTAGCCAGTTGGGCTGGCAGCAAAACAGCTCTTGCAGGTTTGAGCTCTGGATCCATGCATTGCCCTGAGCCCAGTTTTGACACCTGCTCCCTGTTTCCAAGCTCATCATGTGGAGCTGGGTTCATGTGATTCCAAGTGGTGTCAATGTTCAATGCACCCTTCTTCATCCTTTGCCAATTCCATCCCTGCCTTGGATGCAGAGCCCAGAGATCCACCAAAGCTCTTTACAAATGCACTTGGGCACTTAGAGATCCCACTGGTTAATATTGCTGCTGTTCCCTATTGCATTTCTGGACTGTGGCATTGGACCCATCTGTTCAATTTGTGTGGTGCCTGGCTGGACATGGAGATGTCCTGTCCGTGCTGTTTGCATGCTGTTTAACAGAGTTGACAATAAAAACAGTTTTTAACAAAAAACCAATACAAACCTGATATTGTTGTGGTGATTCTCAAATGCCTGAGAGTATAATGCATGATACGCATTAATTTTTATAGAATATAGAAATCCCAGAAATAAGCAGGTCACAAAAGAATGTTTCTATTCACAGAGTGGAAACATTTAAAATGTGTACTGTAGCAGAGAAAAAAAATATTCTGGAGTTTCTGGCCCACCCCCAGGATTTCACACCTTCTCTTGCCATATGATTCTTATTCCTTTGACTCTCTCTTACTTRTTTCTTTTCTGACAGATTGTCTCCTGACAGCTAGTGACAGTAGAGAGGGTAGCTCAGGCCAGTTGTACTCTGCTGGGCGACAAGTGGCATAAAAGATTAGGAATAAAAAGTTTGGGGAATTTTATCACAAAAAAGATTGGCTCTGAAAACACATATGGTGCCTTAGAAATCTGAAATCTCTAGATTATAATTTTTGAAGCTCACTATAGATGTCTTGCTTTTATGTGCACTAATTTCTTAATAAATGCTTAAGAAATATCATATTAAAATCCTTTGGAAAGTTATACCACCTGAAGGGCAAGAAAATTATAATGAAGGACTAAAATGGTGCTTTTCTCTAGAATATCTTGGCAAAGATTGTCCATAATAGTAGCTTTTACTTGTATAGGAATAATATACTTAGCTTAAAGGGTTAACTAACTTATCTGCTTTGCCTGCATTTTGTTAAGTAAGGCCTGATATGTGCAAATGTAAACCTTTCCTAAATATGTATTAATAGTWCAGAATAGCAGATGCTAAAGGATTTTCCGATTTCCACTGAGCAAATCATTTAGTTAGCACAGGTGCTGGAAGCTTCTCTTCAGATCACAGTTTAAGAAAGCAACCCTATCCAAGAAAACACTTAACAGTATGTACTGGAGTCCTCTGGGGAGCTACTGGAGTCCTCTGGGGAGCTGCAAGTTAAATATCCACTTACATGCCTTCAGTAATGTTTTTTGTCAGTCAGATGTCATTGTCCCAGAGAGTCAGTTCTTTATTCAGAGATTCCAGTATCTAAGCAGCCTGGTGACCAGCATTTCTACTGTGCTTTTTGGAACAGGGTGTCCYTGGTGATCCCGCCGTGCCAGAAGTCTCGCTATGCCACGTATTTCGATGTGGCAGTGCTGCGCTGCCTGCTGCAGCCGCACTGGTCCGAGGAGGGCACGCAGTGGTCGCTGATGTACTACCTGCAGAGGCTGAGGCACATGCTGCAGGAAAAACCCGAGAAATCGCCCGAGCCGGAGATCATCCCTTTGCCAAGGCCTCGCAGCAGCTCCATGGTGGCTGCTGCGCCCTCTCTGGTGAACACCCACAAAACTCAGGTGAGAAGTTCCCATCAATAATGAAATAACTGCTTTTGGGGTGATGCTGCAAAGTGATGTGTGGACAAGCAGTGATAGACACAGCTTTGGTATTGTTCACCTGCACAGAGGGCAGATATGTGCATGGATTCAGAAAGAGATCCTGAGAATGATGAGCATTTTGGAGGCAGAATGTGATGCAAAGGGTCAGAGCTGGTGACTGTTGAAAGCTGGAATGTTGATTTGGCGTAATTAATCTAGGGTGAATTGGGATAACATTAGTTTTTATTGTGAGAATGTACTAATGTAGTTGTCAGAAGAAATAGTGGCCAATGCCTTTGCATTACAGTGTAATGGTCAGGATTCACTGACCTTCTCTGATGAGCTCCCTCAAAATGAGAGAAAAGGAGCTTCACTTGGTACAATACTACACACTCCAAATACTTGAGTTAAAATATTGAATTACACTTGGCAAAGAGTGGCAGTGAGCAAAAGCCCTCCATGTTACTTCTTCTGTTACATTTATTGCATAACTTTCATATTTGCTAACAAAATCTCAGTAATGAAACTGTCCTAATAGGTATCAAGTCTTGCTTGCTGTTTACTGACAATGAACCCCATAGTCCTGACCTTGGTGTAGTAAAGACCTTTGYGTTTGAGCTTAAATTCTTTTTCTTTTGGGTAGCTAACCAGATCTAGGGATGAAAAAGGATGTTATTGTACTTTCAGTTAATCTCCTTGTTGATTTGTGCTATTTTTATGTTGTGGCCCCTCTTCCTGTCATGTGGGCTTATAACAGCAGATGATAATTTATTTAGTTGATGAAACAGCTTAAAAAAACATAGTAGATTCTATTTTTGCCATCCAATTTTACGACACACCTTGAGTAAAAGGTGGGTTAATTTTGCTATTAAATGTAATTTTTTAGTCAAATATCTCAGAATTCTTGGTGCTTTTTTAAAGATCACTGCTTGCAGGGCTCTGACAGATTTTGACCTGTCATTTTATAGGAAGAAAGATGAAATATCTTTTCTCCAGTAGACCCCAGATGCTCATAATCTACAAGACAAGCATAAACAATGTAAATATTAGTAACATTAGTTTTAGAACTCAGGACTTTATAGACATTCTTACTATTTTTATGAGAGCTGATGGTTACTTGTGGTTGTAAGTGCTCAGCAGAAACTATTTAAATTGTATTATACTTCAAGTGTCACGTCTGTAACGTTTTATCCCTGTGAAAGCTTGACATAGCTCCATTAAGGCAAGGTGATATGAATTACTATTCAATCTTTATCTACCTGTGCATGCAGATTTTATAAGATTGCTGTGCATCTACAGAAAACCCTCCTTAATACYATCTCCTGGAKGGAAGATTRAAATATATTGTTGTTGATGTGTTTYACTATTTCCRTACATGTACTGTCTCTTTGCTCTTGCTCATAACAAACTGGTTGTTTTGCAGATTAGCAAATTTACCTCCCAGTGAAACATCAAGTGCAGTCAGTGGTTTAGAGAGGCTGTATGAATGGAGTTGTTTTCCACAGGCACTGGTTGCACTAGTGTTGTCCAGGTTCTACTGTAAAACACTTCTCTTCTTTCACAAGCTTGGCTATTTCTTGCATTTTTAGGCAGTTACTCTTGCAGAAGACTGCTTTACTCCATTTCTCCCCTCTAATATTTTTCTGTGAAATCCATTTGGCAATTCCTCTGGGTGCATTGTAGCAGCTAATGGGAGGTTACTGTGCAGGGCATACTTTGCTCCAACGTTGTTTGATTGGTTTYGGTAACCTCTTTGTCAGACCTGTTTGTGCTGTACTTCATCAAAATGGAATCCTGTGTCAGGGTTCTGATTTGTTATGCAGAGCAGCTGTGAGGGAGGAAGTGAAATGGTCTTCCAGGCAGCAAAACTTTCAACTCATGGCCCTCTTCTTTACAGCTTTGAGGGCTGAAACCTGTGCAACCCACAGAAGCAGCTGGGCTATAGTTCATCCCAGCCAACTGTAGGGATGTAACTGTTGTTCTTATATTGAGAATCTCATCACCCAAGGTCCTCTGCTACTTCAGGATAGAGAATGACAGATAGAGAATGATAGAGCCCTCCCAAGGGCTAAGATTTGTCCTTTCTGTCAACAGAAGGGGTCATATGCTGAGCCTTCACAAGATCATCTGACACAGGGTTATGCTTAAAGCCTGATCTTTTTGSTCTAGAGCTTAAATTCTTAACACTGTCATCATTTTCACTCAAAGCTTGATCAATACCTTCTCAAAAACWTTGGCATTCTGTCTTTCAGCAGGAYAGATTTAAAGTGGCAGGCAAAAACTGAGTAAAGACAAACAAATCTGCCAGCAAGTAGCATCAGGGTGCAGTCGATTTTTGCAGCAAATCCACATTCCTTCTGTTCTGCACTTCATCAGAGCAACCAGTAAACTGATGATCTTGCATCTCCCTAAGCCTCATCAAAACTCTCACACTTCCTCTTGGTTTCTGTGTGTCTGAAATCACATCTCAGATATATGCTTGGGCTAAAGCAGTGCGGACTGAGAGGCCATGAGAAACATTCTCCATGTAGTGCCTAGTGAGCTGAACAGCAAAGAAAAGGTTCAGTGCAGCATTCCAGCACTCCTTATTGCATGAAAAATGGGGGGTGGATGGAGTGGCAATAAAATGAATAATAGTCTTCTCTAGAGAGTGACTTTACTCTAAACGTGTTTCAGACCAGGCAGCATGTGATAAAGGAAACCTGCACTGCACCTGTATGCGGTAAATCCACTATAAAGGCAGGCATAGGACACACAGAGCCTTCAGAGGCTCACAGGCTGCTACAGTCTTGCACTTCCATTGCAGGGGAAAGAGATGAAATGTAAATTAATTATAGGATCAATGCAGGTGTAGTGCTCACTGCAATGCTGATAGAAAACCAAGAGTCTCAAGTATAAAAATATCTTGAGAGCTGAGAGAAGTACTAATGAGCTGGTATGCATACAGTCATGCAGGAGGAAGACGATAGAAACAACAACATCTGGAGGAGCAGGCCCCAAACTATCTTGCATTGTTATTCTGTTTTATACATGTCTGTTTTATATAATTGTTGTGTAGTCTACTGCACAGAATGACCATGTTTTTCATCAGTCTTCAACAGGATTGATTCATTAAAAAGCATCATATGCCACCATCATATTTAAGGTGATTCTGTGATTTGCTTCTCTGATGTTGTTTCCTTGACACCTACTCTGAGCAGATTTCAAAGTTAGGACTGTGTCTTTGTGTTTTGKATGTCTTGTGTCTCAGTACATCCTGATCCATACTCTGTCTTTTGGTGATCCTAAGCTTCCTACTGAAATATTCATTTAGTAACCAATGGACAAAGATGGACTGAATCCAAAATAAATTCATACAAGGTTTCTTGCCTAGAAGAAGACAGAGAGCTATAAAAACTAAGAAACAAGCTATATGGAGTACTTGCTGGTCTCACTGTTGAGAACATCTGGGGTTGACTATTGATTTGCTGTGTCTTGGATTTWATATGTGACTCCTGCCCTGAATCTTTAGTCATGTATGGAAAGTGGTTGATAAGAATGCTACAAACACTAGTGAAGAGGAGCCTTGCTTTGCTGCTGTGTGTCTCCTACATTCTTGTGCTAATAAAATGAATAGGGAAGATTCAAGAGTAGTCTTTGATTAGTCTCAAAAGTCTCTGAAAAATGTGTGRTCCCCAACATCTGATACTGGGTTTCAAAGACCTCAACTGCAAAGGCTGTCACTGGCTTCTGCTGCAAGAAACTACAAACTTCTATACTGTAGAGGCTGGTTGGCTCTGCMATGTGCAGTCTGGGTAAGSRGAATCTAAACCTCCTGTCACAGCARTCACTTCATCTGYCCTTGATAWATGGCTAGCTCTGCTTTGAAAGYGAAAAGSTATTTTAACASGACCCGCTTGTTCAGCAGAATATTTCTGGCAGGACAGMAAAGATAAAGAGCATTCCATTGGAGACAAGATGATATTTAGGCAGAAGAAAATTTCCCTGTGGGAATTCMGTCAGGTCTGCACAAGCATCTCATGGTAGATGGCATTCTGATCTTTAATGAGAACAGATGGCTGGAAGCTGAGCTTGTGCCAGTTTTGTGGCCAAGTCCTTCTTTGCAGCACAGGTGTAGGATGTGTTGCTCCATGCAGAGGTGAGTTGAGTGAGCCTCATGGTTTTTGCAGTTATGTGACATTTTTGATATAGGAAGAGGGGGTCCCTTATGGACAATGATGGACTGGGAGCCTTGTCATTACCAGCAGAGGATRTTTACTGATGTGGAAGTTTTAGGTTTCTTTTAGTGAGTAAATAATTTTTTTGAAAATTAAGTTTCTCTAAGGGACAGCGCTGCTTATTGCAGTTTAGTTCCAAAAGGCATATTTAAAGGTTGAAGTTATTAAGGACATATTCTCCTAGATTTTAATAAAATGGTTTGCAAAGGGTAGCCATTGTGATTACTCATCAATGTAAATCAAGGCCTCAAAGACATCATAAGCTACCCGGAGTCACACCTGGGATAGAATCAGACTGAGGAAGAACATGTTCTTTCACATCACCAGACCATGCATACAGCAATGCCTGAGGCTTTCCACAATGTGCTGTACGTTTTTCTTTGGTGACTGAAAAGTTAGACAAAGTAAATAATTCCAGAAGTTTCTATTTTTTTTGTTAGTTTATTTTTATTTAAATGTGTGAACATTTTTTGTGCAATGAATTGGAGGTATTTTTCCTCTACAGTGCTCCTATGACAGCTGTAGGAASTAGCTCCTTTTCTATAACTGATTATCCTCCATTTCTCCTTGTGTTTGTCTTTTTTGGGAGCTGCAGGATCTTACAATGAAGTGTAACGAGGAAGAGAAATCGCTAAGCACAGAGGCATTTTCCAAGGTTTCTCTGACCAACTTGCGTAGACCAGCAGTTCCAGATCTTTCCACAGACCTGGGGATGAACATCTTCAAAAAGGTGAATGGAAGAACTGTAGTTTTTGTATGATTCAACACCTCAGTGTCCTCCCAAGTAACAGCTGAAATCTGCTCAGACTATATATTCATGAGGTCTGCTTCAATATATATTCATGCTMTATGTGAGATTGTCATCCCTTTTCATTGGAATTGATTCTGTATATTATTACAAAGGTTTTTATATGCACATTCCAACACAATACTGAAATTTTTGTTAAAATTATTGTCCTGATGAAACTGCGTGAGAGGAGACCACTTAAACAGTGCTGAATTTTAGGTGCTGGTTCTCACTGTAGTTCCAGTTCATTCAGTGAGTTCTCTTGAATTTTTAACTTTATCTTAGCTGGGATTTGCAGCCATGCAGGATAGCAGCTGGAGTTTTGGGGGTTCTACGCATGTGGCTCAAGGTCAAAGAATGTCCTGAAATTGTCCAAGTGCATCCAACTCATTTTAGGGCAAGGTTGAATTCCTTCAAACACTCATAGGATCCAGCATGCGAGTAGATCCTACCATGGCTGAATGGCCAAGATAAAAGGACAAAGTGAGAAGTTATACTTGGGACATATATCTGTGTTATCTTTTCCCCTCAAGTGGCAGTTTTCCATGCCTCAAGGTTTCTTTCTTGCTCCTGTATCTCCTCCTCTTGCTGCAGTTTAAGAGCCGCAAAGAAGACAGGGAGCGTGAGCGCAAAGGGTCAATTCCTTTCCACCACACTGGGAAGAAGAGGCAGCGAAGAATGGGAGTGCCTTTCCTCCTCCATGAGGATCACTTGGATGTSTCACCCACTCGCAGCACTTTCTCCTTTGGCAGTTTCTCTGGAATTGGAGAGGACCGGCGTGGCATTGAGAGAGGAGGGTGGCAAACCACCATATTAGGTGAGATGCTGCTGTCTCTGCCCCATGTCTTGTGTCATTCCTTTAATGAATATTCAGAAAATACCGTAGGTTCTTTACTTCTTCATCCAGTCTCTTTACCATGTTATGTCCTTGGTTCTGTTTACAGGATTACACATCTGTTGGTAATTGCTCACAGCAGACTTTGAAGCACTTATGCTTCAGTCCACTTTTTCTCTGAAAACGACCTTCTTTACTGGAATAATAGCTATTGTAGGATCTCTGTACAACGTGATTAAACCTTTCCCTGAGTGGAAGCAATCATTGCACAAGTGCAATTTCAAATAGATTTGAAAAATGTTTGCATCCTTTTCTTTAAAAGAGAAATCTCTGGAGAGGGAGCAGTGTCATTAGTATGACAATTAGTAGCAGCATTGTCATTAGTCTCATTAACAATRTCATTAGGATGCAAAAAAATTCTATTCACGTTTTTCCCAGAGTGCATGTTGGATACAAGTAGGATATTGTCTCAGTAAAGTTTTTCTGTCTTGGTATTGCAAAAATACAGAGTTKAAACCTAAAAATTTGCTACTTTAATCTTTTTAGTTCCCTGAACAGTATCCAGGTATTGAYWGTGTTTCACAAATTTAYRCCCTATGTCRTAGAGTTTTGTCYTGGGAAACTTCCTTAGGGTTGATAGCAGCAAAATGAACTGTCATGTCAGAATGTTGTCGTTTTCACAATCTTAGATTGCATCATTTTGATAAGCTGTGTTTACACACATCTCTCTCTGGGACACAGGAGGGTAGTCAAGTAAATTCTTAAAGACTCATATGTGTTTTATTAATGGTTAGTATATGAACATCTACAGATTTCTACAAGAATAACAAAATTATTATCCAAATCCTCCTTTTCATACCTTCAAGACCTCAAGAAGTTCGTTAAAGATCGATGTCAGTGGCATCAGGTTGTTCTTGTGGCTTAACCTGCAGTTTTTTGCTTCCTGATATTTCTGAAATCATGTATTTCAGATCCAATGGGAAACAGATCCTGCCAACTTCAGAGAAATTCCCCCTCTATCAGTAGTTTGTTTTTTTTTTTTTAATTTGTATTTTATTGTATCCTTAAAGAATTTCCTTTGCCTTAGCACTCCTTATCCTAATATACCTATTTTTATGAGGCAAGAGAAAAATAAACTAAATTCCTATAACATGCCCCAAAGGATGGAGTCGAACAATGCTGACCAGTCTTATTTTCTTGAAGGTGCTAGTGGTTAAGAATGCAGGTGTTAGCTGAATCAGTGTGTACTGAGGAGAAGAGTCTTGTGGATGACTAAATGAATAACTAACTAAATAAAATATCCGATTCTTGTCGTCTCCCTAGGAAAGTTTACCAGGAGAGGGAGCTCTGATACAGCGACGGAGATGGAGAGTCTGAGCGCCCGGCACTCGCACTCTCACCACACGCTGGTCTCCGAACTGCAGGAACCGTCCAACAGCCATGGCGAGAACACAGTCAAAGAAGGTAAATTTAGCACATCRGGAAATAACGTGTCACTGAAATATCAACCCCAAAAAGTGGAGGAAGTGTTACTCTTTCTATGTATGATTATGTGTCTAATTACTTTTTCATTTTTTTTAATTTCCGTATCTCTTGAGGGCTTTTTGTTTTATGAAGAAAAAGGCTTCAAACCTTTCATATTTTCCGGGGCAATTGTTAAAACAATTGGTGTCTCTCAGCAGAGAGAAGGCATGGTTTGGGGTTTTCTTGCCTTACCCCAAGGCAACACCGCAGTTTGAGCAGAAACTTTGTATTGCTATCTTCTGTCTTTCATGGGGAATTTTATGGTATTTAATGCTTCTTTGCAATCCACAGGATCTTTGCACATGAGTTATCAGGGATTACTGAAAGAGCTTTAAATTGCATTTAAAGAGGGAAATGGTTGGACTCAATGATCTTATAGGTCTTTTCCAACCYGAGTGATTCTGTGTTTCTGTGTAAGATTTGGATATGGATTTTTGTTACCCATGTAAAAACAAAACAAGTAAAACCTCAGTAAAAAAAAAATCCACTTGGATAACCATTATATTTAGTAGCTCAGGAACAAAATTTCCTACTGCCATCTTTATTGCTACCTTCACAATAAAAAATTCAGTGAATTAAGAAGTCACACTTGCCAGAAAGAAATCTTCTTATAGAAGCAGCTAATTCCTGCTCTGATCATTGACCAAATTGTGGCCTACTTCAGTACATACTGCTGTTGGCCTTAGAATGTTTCTCCTAATTAATAATGCTAGTTCAGTGCTGGCAGGGTTGCACAAGCTGTCAGGAAATGTGGTTGCTACTCTGCCAAGGTGTTATTTGCATAATGCATCACCGAGTCTTTGTTCATTAAATGTATTAAATGTAATTTTTTAATTTATTAGAATACATTTAATAGCCTTAGGAAAAGGTTCTTCATAATTCTGTAGCCCTGTTACTGTACTGTTTGGCAGGTGGTGGTCTAAACAATCCTAAGGGACACCTAGGGTCTTTTTAACTAAAGGATATATTTACCTCCTTACAAAGCACTAAGTGYGAGAAATTACCAACACTGTGGCTTGGAGTTCAGCATGGTTTGTAAAAACATGTGGCCTTGATAAGAATTTGCCAGTGTAGTCAACCTGCTAAGCAGAGCAATTCCAAGTTCCCTTCCTGGAACATTGTGAACTCAGACTGTTGCTTTGATCGGCCACTTTCAATRCGGTTAAAGGGATAAAGGGTTTTATCTCAGTATTTGGGATCTGAGGTGCACAACTCAGCAGAAAATGCTCACCATGTATAGCACAGATACAAGTTTTATAGATTTCTGAAATGAGCATGTATCTTTCTAGGATTACTCAATAAGAAACTTAACAAATGGAGTAATTCTAAAAACCCCTCCTGCCCCCCGGGATGAGGCCAGAGCCCAGTTTACATGATGTGTTACAGAGAGAAGGCTTCAGCCAGGGCTGAAGGACAGGCTGACAGGACAACACAGGACATGCTGACCCCTGATGAGGATGTTTGGTCTCTCTGCCCAGCAGAACCCMTAAACTAAGCTGGAATATCAGGCTGCAGGATTTACAAGCATGCAGGCTAAGGGGTACAAGGAATACCTAAAGGGTACAGCAATGACTAAAAAGAGTATATAAAATATATTAAGTGGTTTGTGAAAAGGAAAGGCAAAAATCATCAGGCATCAAAACCTTGCAGTGCCTTTCTCATCAGACAGCTTTGCATTTTGGAGGTGGTTTAAAGTGTCTCAAGTAATGTTTTCTTMWAMTGYTGTGATGAAATTTTCCAAAATGATKTGACTAGGAAAGCTGTTTCWAAYTTGTGTTGTGGTTCYRCTATCYTCACTCTTACCTTCCAGCTGCAGAGTCCTYTTTCTTTGTCATGCAGGGGCACTGCTGCTTTTAAGAAGAGACACCCAACTAATACAGGAGCAAAGCCAGCCAAATCCATTTGGATTAGATTTAGGCTGATTTCCTCAAATTACTTGGTTGCCCATTTAGCTGAGATCAGCTTAAGCAGCCAGGGAACTGAACTGCTAGAGCAAACATGGATTTGATGTAATTTATATCATCTTAAAGGAAGAAATTACTTTACCTGACATCCTTGTACACATCACAGGAATSAGGAGCTTGTATTTTCTTTTGGCATTACAAGCTGCGTTAAGAGCTGCTCCCTTTATACAAGCTCCACCTCAATCTTCCGTTCCAAAACTCTAGAGATGGAAAGTTTCAGGTCACTGTTTTCATCCCTACAGTGCGGTCCCAGATCTCCACCATCACTGTGGCAACTTTCAACACTACCCTGGCTTCGTTCAACGTGGGCTACGCCGATTTCTTCAGTGAGCACATGAGGAAGCTTTGTAACCAGGTGCCCATCCCTGAGATGCCCCACGAGCCACTTGCATGTGCYAACCTCCCACGGAGCCTGACAGACTCCTGCATCAATTACAGTTGCTTGGAGGACACAGATCACATTGATGGCACCAACAACTTTGTCCACAAGAATGGCATGCTGGATCTCTCGGTAATTGGCAAGAAYGAGGAAAGCCAGGTCCCTCTTCTGTCAATATAGAACTCAATAGTACCATTGAGATCAGGGGTTTGATGGGCTTTTCCTCCACCACTTTATATGACTTCTCTCAGCAGTATRTAAAGGTCAGTCAGATATATTTGTGCATATAAAAGTCTCCTGTGAGATACTGCAACTCCTGTTACTCCTTGCAAGGAGCGCATGTGCATGTGGAATGCACACATCGAATCTGAAGTGGCGTTACGTAATGGCTGTGTTGCTGGGGCATGCACCAAATTTCCATAAAATAGTATAARACTGAGTAGCACCTTTCTTCTAGCACCATAAACCTCACTTTTTCTGCTTTCCCCTTAATGATTTTCCAGCTCATGGTRCACTGGAGCAGTGTTCTCAGGCCCACAGATAGCATCTCATGGTTTCCTTTTCAGACTGACATGCCCAGTCTGTGGTTTCTTGTCTGACACTTAGCTTGTAGGCTCCTGGGATTTAGTGTTGTGTGTCCTTTGTTCAGGGTTTGTACTGTGCCTGCTGTAATGAGTTTCTGGAATCTAGAATTTCCAGGCACTAAATAATAGAAGAGAGAAAGGAGACAAAGTAATTCTGGCTTTAAAAATGATGTTTGAATTTCTTAGGTGGTCCTGAAGGCTGTTTACTTGGTTTTAAACCATGACATCAGTTCCCGGATTTGTGATGTTGCACTAAACATTGTGGAGTGCTTACTGCAGCTTGGTGTWGTGCCCTGTGTGGAGAAAGTCCGGAGAAAGAGTGAGAACAAAGAAAACGAGGCTCCTGAAAAGAGAGCAAGTGAAGGATCCTTCCAGCTCAAAGGGGCTGCTTCAAGTTCAACTGGTGGATATGGGCCAGCTCCAATTAGYGGAGCTGGAAATGGAGAAGAAGGAGGTGGTGGAGGAGCTGGAGGTGATGGAGGTGGAAGTGATGGAGGTGGTGGAGGAGGAGGGCCWTATGAGAAGAATGATAAAAACAAAGAAAAGGTTTGTCTTATTTCTCTTATACAATTCCAAATGTACTGTAAGCTGTGCTAAGGTTGAGTGTGTCTGTGCATGCAACTGCCCTTGMTTTTCTCTGGTGCTCACTTGTGTTTTCCACTGAGGAAATATGTTTGGCAATTCAATCACAGTCACTACTCCAGAGAAGGAGCTGCCACAAACAGATTTTTTAAGCCTGGCATGGACACTTGAAATATCTTGATAAAGTGTTTGGAACCCTCGATAACAATGATTTTTTTTCAGGTTTATTATTTATAACTGCTAGAAACAGAATGCAGTGTGGGCGCACAGTTCCTTTTATTTGGTGACTAGAAATCATCAATTTTTCTGTATTGCTGCAAGAATTGATCAAGAGATGCTATTGCTGACCTCAAAAATTGCTAGTTATAGTTGCATAATATCTAAAACATTTTAAAAAGATGCTTGGTTTTCTACTCAACMAAGCCAGCTCTTTGTTTTTCAGGGAGAATTTTTTGAAGTAAATGCTGAATGGTATGCGGAGCAGCATGGAGAGGCTTCACATTTATAGCATAATGTTTTGATGGGAGCTGAAAGGGARTGGGCTGCTCTCTTAGCTTGAAAAATAATTGGCATCAACACTACAAGAATTACAACTCAGCAGTGGAGTGTCTGAGATGAGAAATGAGCAGCCATTTGTCGAAAGTAAAGTGCTAAAAAAAATTCCAGYAGTTGTGCTAGGGTTTCACACACTCTTTCCCTCTGTGACCCTCAGGATGAAGGCCCATCTGTCAGCACCCATAGGCTGGCACTCACAATGCTGATTAAAATTGTGAAGTCCTTGGGCTGTGCCTATGGTTGTGGAGAAGGACACCGAGGGCTCTCTGGAGATCGCCTGAGACACCAGGTATTCCGGGAGAATGTAAGAGAATTAAAGCTCACTAAAGCGTCCCCCCTTGTACTTTTGACATCAGCTGCTGAGATTGCTGTCTGCCCCCTCTGTAGCTTTCTCTGTACTGAGAGTAAATGTGTTGCTCTTAGCTCACAAAATGTGTTGCAGCCCATCTGTAGCGGGTTTTCACCTATTGTTGTACCTTCCAGCTCCTGGGGCTTGCTAAGAGCACACCTGGTGCTTCTGGCAACCCTAGTGGGTGGGACAGTACTTGGGAGCAAATTTGCTTTGTGAGCTGATGTAAGAATTTTTCGCACGACAGTACCCCAACAAAGCACGCTATTAACAAAAGGTGCAGCTATTTTGGGTTGCCTCTSTTAATCCAGAATTCTAAGGTGTAAGTATGTCCACCTTTCCTAGAGGTGATGATGACTGATTTCTGCTGGGCTGTTCCATCAGCTCCTGGTAGTTGGAATGCACTGTRTTTGCACTGTACTTGTGCTAGTGTGCTGCAAGGAAGTAAAAGACTTACTCATGCCCTGTTGATTCCTTAATTCCTTAMATTTTTGTTTCTGCCCAAGTTAAGGCAGTGAAAAGTGCCTGGTATAAGATTTATTCCAGAAGAGTTAGTCTCCCTAAGATCAGTCCAATTCCCTATCAAATGGGAGCCTTTCAAAGGCCTTTTCAGGGCATGCCTCTTCCTCACATTGTGTGCTTGCAGAAGGGAGCATTTTTCGTGACTGTAAAKGAGAGTTTATTAATCCTGTGGCAGGGGTGTAAACCCGATTCTTCTCCATGGCTTTGGTAAGCTTGAGCCATGCCAACAGAGCTATAATTTGGTTCTGGGATCTGAGATTGATGTCTCAGATATGGACTGACTGCTCTGTATCCTTGCAGTGCTCTTGTGTTAGCTAGACTCCCAGGTACCGAGGAGACTGCAGGAATGATGCCAGTTCTGGACACAATGGGATAAGATGGGATGAGAGATTCCCAGTGGTAGCAGCAGGAAGGTTCTGCACAGAGCCCTGGTTGAACAGGTTCCATATTCATCACAMTGCCAGTTAGACTTGTAAATTTTGTTGGAGCTGCACCAGTAAAGCATTTAGACCTGTGCATAATATTGAGTATAAATCAATGGGTCTCTTGGAACAGAGGTTCTTACCAGGCCTACTGAATTGAGTAAAATGTTTTCTTATGTGTCTAAGTCTGCTGCATTTTCTCTGCATTTGTCTGGCCAAACTGCTTTGCATGCACCATTTGTGTTGACTGCATGGACAATCACGTCTGAGTTTACTGGAAAGTTGTATGGGAATATTGTAGCTAGSATAGAGATGGTATTTTAGATTCTTGTAACTCCAACCTGCATGGGGTCCTAGTAGGATGGATAGTTTTGTGATAAAAAGTTGACAATTAATAGCTTTTAACTAAAAAGATAGAGTTTTTTATTATAAAAATTGGTCATTGKGTGTAGGTGTATTCAGTGGGTTGGGTTTGAGCTGTAGGCTGAAAATCAGATGCCTTAAGCTAAGAACCTGTTCCACCAAGGCAAGGAGCCTTGACAGAWGTAGTACATTCCTACTTTCTTTGCATTCAGTGGGATTTTACTTTGGGGTTGGCCAGAGGACGRGAGGCCTTGAGACATGGCTGGTAGTGACTTCATTACCACCTCAAACAAGGGCACCCATAGTGGTGTGCTGAATTTCTTATTGTGAATTTCCTTGTGCTGAATTTCTTATTGGCTCCAGAGAAGAACCTGTCTYGTTATGGGACCCTTCAGAGCCAACACAGCACAGGCTAATGGCAAAATTACCCTGCTCTTGCTAGCAAAACTTGAGCACTTACTTTGATATGATATGATTTGATGGATACTGTTGCAGGCCCAGAACTGCCTCACRAAGCTGTACAAACTGGATAAGATGCAATTCCGGCAGACTGTGAAGGATTATGTGAATAAGGATTCTCTCAATAACGTGGTGGATTTCCTGCATGCTTTACTGGGGTTCTGCATGGAGCCAGTCACTGACAGTAAGTATATAGCTGGCATCAAAACTCTCACTCTGTTATTCTTAAACTGTGCCTTCAGAAAGAAGCTACACCCTTGTCCTTGTCCTTTAAAAAGCTGTGGACCAAGAGAGTTACACCACTTTGCATCCAACAAAYAAGTGATTTTGCCTAGAGAGCTTGTAGCACCCTGTGTACCTGAAATTGAAGGCCTTTTGTTTGATTCATCCTCTTTTTCATGGTCTTCACAGAMGATATTTTCATTTAACGATACCTCAGACAGTAATTTTCTGCTTCATTACATGAACAGGCATCAGGTGTTAATGGCCTGTTTAAGCCAGGGTTTATTCTGAATTGAGGTATAATTGAGTATTTAAACCCTCTTCGGTGCCTTATTCTGCACAGCTCTCAGATATATGGATAAAACAGTTCTGGAATTGTTCTTTTTCATAATACTACTAGTTCTGGGAAGCTTTCATACTTATAATTTATTATACCCTTTGCTTCTGCTTTGTTTTTGTTGGGTGGGAATGTGAAAACTGAGCACAGGAGGSACGTGTCCATGCCTCATACATCATAATGTCTTTATATGTATGCCTTTCAGCCCTTTCTTTTAAACTGTTCTTGACAAGATGGCTTACTTATACTTGAATTTTACAGACAAGGCTGGATTTGGGAATAACTTCACCACAGTGGACAACAAGTCTACAGCCCAGAGTGTGGAAGGCATTATAGTGAGTGCCATGTTCAAGTCATTGATCACTCGCTGTGCATCCACTACACATGAGCTCCACAGTTCAGAAAACCTGGTAAGCCTTTGATACCATATTACCAAAGTTATTTTTTCACTTGAGTGTCACCAGTGAGAATTTACAGTGAAGAACTGGTTCAGTTTAGCCAAATCCTTTGAGTGTAGCAAGTGATGCAGTCACAGTTGAAATCGCGGTCCCTGAAGGGATTTAAAAGACATGTGGATGTGGCACTTGGGGACATAGTTTTTTGGTGCACTTGACAGTTAAGCTAAGTTAATGGTTGGGTTCAATAATCTCAGTTAATGGTTGGGTTCAATAATCTCAGAGGTCTTTTTCAATATAAATGATTCTATGATTCTAAGACCAAAGCCACCATGAATCAACTTTTAGCAAAGTCAAAGCAAGTTTCACTAGATTAAGCACATGGCCTGCCAGTGTCACGGTGTTTGAATTACTGAACAGCAGTTTGGYAGATATTACTAATGTTTAGACAACCATTCAAATTATTGAACACCTCGTTGCTTGTTGCAACATAGATGCTGCCTTCCCAGAGCAGTCAGTAGGGTGGATGATAKGAACTCTCTTTTTCCAAATTGGTGCACTCTACTAGCTAGTCTCAGGCCACCTCCTTATCAGAAATTAAGATTTTTCATGGAAGCAACAAAGAAATGTTCTTGTATTTCATCCTTACAGCAGAGCTATGGAGGCACTGAAGTCCAGCTAAATGAACAGTAGTGCTCTGTGAGGAGAAAGGGGAAGGAGAAGGAAAAAGCACAGTAACACACTACAGCAGAGTAGCCTGCCCATGTCCATATTCTCTAGTTCTTATGGATATTCTTCCTCAGGAGTATTTCTCAACTGAGATTAAGTGATGAGATACAGAAAAATTGACCCCCAATATCTGACCTAGATTAGGACACGAAGTGTGAATTTTCCTTATAAATTGTGTGTCTTTGTAGACCCTATTTTAGTTAGTGTGCAGGGTGAAATGTTTCTCTAGGTGTAGGACCATTACTTGTGCCTGTATGAGAACACAGCACGTAGACCATGTGTGCAGTTTTGTTGCTGCGTCATTTTTAAAGACAGTTTTGTGGTCAGTCTTTTACTAAAAAGAAAAAGAGCAGGATTCAGATGCAATTATTAGTTTGTTGAGGTTGTTTTTTTTTAAATTTTTTTTCATTTATTTGTTTCTCTTTTTTCCTTGCTGGGAAATTTCAGAATAATCCAAGGTCTTTCAGGAGAAATCGCAGATCAAGAATCACGTCCTGTAAAACTATTTCCACCATGCCCTTGCCCTCATTATAGAKGTGATTTGCACATCACAGATGTGTATGAATGTTCAGAACTAAAAAGAGCCTTGAGTGTAGGAGGTAGGATGGGGAAAGCATGAGTCATTCCTTTCTCTTCCTATGATGTGAAGCTCTAAAAGAATGAGGAAAAATCCTGACACCCACAGGTTTTGAAAAAACATACTGTTGTTTTCAATCTACATCACCTCAGATACATCTTAAATTTTWGATGTCTTTTAAATTTGTGGTCTAGATTAATGGTATAAAACAAAYTATAGTTCATCTTTGCAGCTACCTCATTTCGCAGCTCTTTTAGCCTCTRTCTTCTGTATCTCATTGAAGATCATGCTCCATAGTAATAATAATGTAATAATAATAATAGTAATAATAAATAGTAAGAATAATAGTAATAATAAATGGTAATAATAAATAGTAATAATAATAACTTCCCRTTGTCTGCTTCTTCTGAGTGCATTAAATGAGTTTCCGGCCAAAAATTACAAAACATATACCTGAGGAGTAAGTCACACAACAGCCAGAAGAGAAGTAATGGACTGTTGAAGTACCTCAGAAAGTATTGATTCTCACTGCTTGTTTACAAACTGAAGTCTGAATTTTTTTTTTATGGTGTCTTGCTGCTCAGGGCTTGTACTGTGATATCCGACAGCTGGTGCAGTTTATCAAGGAGGCTCATGGGAATGTATTTCGGAGAGTGGCACTCAGTGCCCTCTTGGACAGTGCTGAGAAGTTAATACCAGGAAAAAAGACAGAGGAAACAGAGCAAAACCCCAAACCTTCTGGGAGCAAAAGGTGCGTGTCAAGGGGGAAAAGGTAAATGAATGACTTGTGTATGACTGTATGACTATCTGTGCTGAGCACAGAAGTAAGGAGTCCAAGGGCTTGTTTTATCTTGACAGCATGTCAGTTTTGTGCAGACTTGTGCTGTGTCAGCAGCCTCCTTTAAAATTTAATGATCTGAGAGTGCAATGGATTTGCAGTGAAAAGCATTGGCACTGTCATTCAGTAGTRATGAGAACAGTGTAATGGAAACACTGGGAGAAGGAAATGTTAAGAGAACTAARAAGCATATTGTCACTCCCAAAACACTGTGTAGATATACTTTTTAATATACATCACATTCTTTGGGATGTGTGTCTGTTTTTCTGACAGGTAAACCCCAATATGCAAAACAAGTCCAGAAGAAATTTGATCCTGACATACTTCTTTATAAAAAAGCTACTTCCTCTGGTGCTTTGAGGAAATTGTCATATTAAATGTCAGGAAGAAGGATTAAGAAAATTGATAAAGTCCTGAAAACCTTGGCTTTGCTTCTAAGAGCTGATGCCTTCTTTGGGAATAATATGTAAATAGAGGGAGTAAGTTGCTAAGGAGAGGGCACATCTCTAAAACTGCTTTGCAGGTTTCCATGTCCATTTTTTCTGTGATGACCATGAAATGGGCCATCCATTCACTTTGGCTGATGACTTATCTTGTCTGTATAGATCTGAAGTGGGAAGCATCATAATTGACAAAGTCCAGGCCTCAACTGCCCCTGATGAATGCCGAAGYTATGTCTCAAGCCGCCCAATGCAGACTCCAGAACAGTAAGTAAATATTGAATTGTTCAATGTGTTGGTGCCAGCACCTTCCTTCTGGGGTTAGTACAAATGCACAGGACAGCAAAGGCTTACCTGTTTGGGTGGTACAACAAACAGTTGTACCCACTACTCTACAGTAGGTATAAGATTGTTTTACCTGCTGCTGTACAACAGGAAGGTACAATGAACAGGAGATACATAAAAAAAACAGGTAATGCCTGTTTTTAGTGCTGCCAACTGGGCTCCTTCTGATTTTGACAGGGAAGCAGCAGAGTTTTTCCTGTGAGAGTGCAGCATGTTTGTCAGTATTGCATTCTACCAAAGCTGTGAATAGCATTTTAGTTCCTCAGAGATTTCACCAAAACTGTTCTCCAAGCTTTGYTTGTACTCTTGAGGGATGATTCTATTAATTTTCAGCTCTGAACTTGTTGCTAAGGGTCACTAATGCTTCAGTGAGAGCTAGGCTATTCCTGACCTACCTTGGGCACAGAGTGGCCAATGACTGTTTTGTCAGCACAGGGAACAAGCTTGCTGTTGGTACTGCACAACTCAAATKTCTTATGTCCAAAGAATTCTGCCATCTGATGTTGAGGTAAATTAAACAATACTGTTAAGAATTTTAGGAAATTCTATAAATGGGCACCTGTCCCTTAGTAATTCCTCTGAACATGTGTCTGTCTTTTTAAAGGCCTTTGAGATAAACTTCATGAAAACATTGATTATGTCCCCACTGAAAACAGTGTGTTTGGAATTCAAAATGTAARAACTTTAAGTAATAAACAGGTTAGGAGGGGTCTGCAGAAAGGGGGTCTCATTTCCTTGATAATTCAAACTTCACTGAGATGCAGTTCATGCTTTGCACACCTTTTCTTCCAGTGATGAGCAAATCCAAGGGGCCAATCTGGGACGCAAGGACTTCTGGCGAAAGATGTTCAAGTCACAAAGTGCAGCGAGTGATACCAGCAGTCAGTCTGAGCAGGACACATCCGAGTGCACCACTGCTCACTCTGGAACCACCACGGACAGGCGCTCCCGCTCGCGGTCCAGACGGATCTCCCTTCGAAAGAAACTCAAACTTCCCATAGGTAAATGTATGTCTCTTTCTATTCTATATACATATTGCTTGTGCAGAGGAATAGAACTACATATATCTGTCTTAAGAAGTACTGTAACACAGTTGTTACAGTATTATTGTCCGTAAAGTGTGATTTGCTGCTCTCTCCATTTTACAGATGTGGAGCTGAAGCAAAGGCAAATGTAAGCAGTTTGCCAAAGATATCAGGGGATATCTGTATCCAAAAAGAAAAATGGATCTTTGTCCCCAAAGTTGTAGGCTAATACTGTGATCTCACAGGCTCTTTCCCTCTCTGCAGAAGATAAATAGTCCAATTAGCATTTGATAGACAGAGAATATATTCTTTACAATTCACAAGACCTGGCCTTGCGTGGTAGTTAGTACAAGTAAACATGAAAATGTTACCATCTGCTTTTCTCCCATTTTCCTCTGCCTTAGCATGGCCACTGTAGAGAATACACTGCAATTGCTAAGAAATAGATTTTTGCTAGGAAAGTTTTTTAGATTTGTCCTGAGTGGCTTATTTTGTAACAGGGAACTGGCTGAAGCGCTCCTCCCTCTCTGGCCTAGCTGAYGGAGTAGAAGATCTCCTCGATATCAGCTCTGTCGACCGTCTCTCCTTCATCAGGCAGAGCTCCAAGGTAAATGTGTCAGGGGGGGATTACAGACAGCTTGTAAGGCAAAGATCTGGCTGGTGTTAACTGTACAATGAAATATTTTATTCAATATTCTGTGAAACTGTCACAGAAGTCTCCAGAGTAGAGCCATGGGAATTTGAGACCGGACTTTCGTGCCTCATGGTGAAGATAAGGTTAAACCTGCACTGTGCTGGTCAGTCTGCACTGGTGCACTGAGAGGCAAGTGCAGGGTCTGTCAACACACTTGAAGTTGAATTGTTGGTCACACTTTCCCTTCCCTTTTTGCCCTTTCACAACCTTTCCAGAAAAACTAATCCTTTAAGCAGAAAGGTTAAAAGAGGAAATGCTACAGCATTTATAAATCTATGCAAACTCACCTGTGTTGCTATGGTGACCCTTACAGCCCTCATGTAGATAATTATKCCTAACAAATGAGAGGAAGAGCCCATGGAATGGCACAGGCTGAGCTGCCCCTCTGTCCCTGCACAGGTGAAGTTCACCAGCGCAGTGAAGCTCTCGGAAGGAGCGGGGCCGGGAGCAGGCCTGGACAACGGGCGCGATGAAGAGGAGAATTTCTTCAAGCGTCTTGGTAAATGGCGCACCTGCCGAAGACACCCATCCAAGCTTCATCACACAGAAGAAAAAGATGGTTAGAAATCAGGGTTCTCGTCACCTTTTTTTCTTTCTTTTTATAATTTTTTWAATATATTTCTTTCTGTATTTTACCTCTTTCTCTTTTTTCCTGCTTTCTCCATAGTTTTTGTCTGCATTGTAGCCTTCTCTAATTTTTTAGTCTTTGTAACTGTTTTCTTTCCCTTCCTTCTTTATTTCTTTTTTTTTTTAATTTAGAAAAAAAGCTCTGGTAAAATAAGTTTTTCTTCCCTAAAAAAATCAGATTATCCAAATAAATTATGTGATAATATATTTGGGCTTCTAAAATCAAATTAAATTTGGTGAATACACATGAAAAATTGATTCTTTCTTCAAAGCACTTATTCAGTTCAAAATTAGGTGTGTAACTCTTCTGTTGCCTAGTACAACAATGGGTGTTCCATCAGATTTTTTGTTTTGGTTTGTTTTTTTTTTTTTCAATTTTTAACTATTGGACAGTTTTAACAAAGATCAGTACAGAAATGGAAAACCCTGCACAAACCTTGTTATAATTATCTCTTTTCTTCTGTGTTTGCATGTCTAGTGTCTGCATACCATTCGTTAGGGATGCGGTCCCTTTTTCTTAGTACACAACTTAATAATAACAATGCTCTTTTTCCACAAAAGTATATTTAATTGCTATGCATTTTCAAAATCTGCAATGTTTGAAAAGAACCTTTACGAATAACACAATTTCATGGCATATTCTGTTTTAAATATCATGTAGTCATTCACATGCTCATGTTCTCAGCTCAGAGCGCATCCTTCTTGTCAGGGAGATAATGTTGTATCCTGAAGTTCTGTTCCTTTTTTTTTCAAGACAACCCAACCAGATTCCCAAACACACATAAAAAAGGAGTAAATTTTCTTTTTCAGCATGATTTCTGTAACTTTACATTGCGTTACATTTTCTGGCGTTCTGTTTGGTTTTTTTCTTTCCTGACATTACATTTTGATTCTGCATTGTATTGTATTTCTCCATCACATGTTCCATACAGTGTAATGCGTGTAGAGCATTGTTCAGGCGAGTAATACCAGCAAAGTGTGAGCATATGTCATCACTGTAAACTGGTCATTATCTGCCCTGCAGAATGGTCTGCTTTTCAATTTGCTCAGAGTAGAGAAGTATTGTTCCTTTGGGAGAATGCATTGGTTCAGCATCTTCTTGATGTTTGGTAGCATTCCCATGCAATGGAAGGAATTGTTTTCTTCAGCTCCTGCTTTGTGCTGAAGTAGGTGTGAAATAGTTCCACCACACTTCCTCCAGGTCTCAATGGTTAAAAACAGCTGAGGGTCAGTGAGACCTTTTTAGACTGCCACAGCTCTTTCTGCAGTGCTCCTGTAAGTTGTCCTTCATATTTTCTTGTAAGAAATATTTCCTTTTCATCTTGCTRATACTAGGGTATTAAAAATTCATAAGGCAAAAGGTGGCAGTTAAGGAACTCGTATCATTGTATCTACAAGGATCTCTGGTATGCAATGAAAGCCACATTCTATTAGCAAATATATGAGTACATGCCCTGTGTATGTCTGTGCTTGCATGTGCACAGTGATATCACAGCGAGGCCCTTTCATATGGCACAATTTCTTACCCAGTAGAACAGCAACATTACGTAGAGCCTTCAAATTTCTAGTGCTTCTGTATCTTCCATACAGATCATCAAAGTTTCTGCGCTTTATGAAAAGAGAATAAAAGCCTGGTGATGGTGGATGGGTGAACTGTTAAATCCTGCAAGGTCTAATCTTAAATCATTGAATTGGAACCTCTCTCTGCCTTCCCATTCTTGTCATTTTTGGTGCTATAACTTTACTTTGCTTGTGCATTTTCCATGTGATGTTTCCTCTCATGTTTTTGGGCTTTTTAACAGTAGACCAAATTTAAGAGAAAATYGAGAGAGGAAAAATACATTACATTAAAAAATAATAAAATGTAGACTAATTTCTGACATTATTTATGAACTGTAACCTTCATTGTGATATATCATCTGGACCAYTGGAAATTCTGTGTTGCGTATGTATGTAAGCATACATGTGTAAGYATCTGTATGTGTGCATATGTATACATATATACACACATAAATATATACACATTCATGTGTAAAAATGTTCATTTTATTGATCTTTTAACTTTTACTGAGATGGAAACATATATACATATTTACAGTTACATGAGACCCATAATGTTCCTTTGAGCACTTAGAGATGACTTTGTGAGTGACCACAGAAGATGTCAGGGTGTTCCAGGCACAGAAATGCAAACTTGCTCTGAGGGATGAGCTCACATCACACAGTGAGCAGCTGTGGGGCAGGAACCTGTGTGTCCTCCTGCATTTGGAAATGGTYTCTGCTTATTCGGTGACATCTTCTTCAAAACTGAAGAATATGAATTAGGTTAGTGAGGGCTGCCTTGCTCACAGCAAGGCTACTCCAGGATGGGCACAGCAAGTAATTCACCAGCTGTCTTTGAAGGATTCTCTTGTAAAGCTTCAACAAAATGCAAGGAGTACCACTGAGCTCAGATGGACAAAGGCTCTGCTAGAGCTTTATAATGGAGACTAGGGACATACCTTAGGCGAGCTTTTGTTCTTTATCTCATACAGGACAGGGCCCTGAATGGGAAACATTTGCACTCAAATGAGTTRGTGTTACTACACTAACTGAGCAGGAAGGCTCAGATAAGATATCAAGTCTGTAAGGAAACAAAGGATTTAGGAAGATGTTTGTGACTGCTCATATATGTAAGTGTTCTACCTGTTCTTCCTGCTTTGTCTGCTTTTTCCATTTCAATGGCATATTTTCCCAACATGGGAACTTTGTTTGCTGCAAAACTATGGACAGCTTCACTGGAGAGAAAAAAAAAAAAAAACCCAAAGAATTTTTTTAAAAGTCTCTTGAAATTTGATATATCTCTGTCTTCAAGAGAAAAGTGAARATCTACATTGTCAATTTCTCTCATGGCTTTTGAAAAAAAAATAAGTGTTAAATGCTTTCCAAGTAATTTTAGGGAGTACTTTCTCAAAAGAACTTTGTATTTCACACATTCTTCTTTCCTGAAGAAGTCAAAAAGTCCTGTAGGGTTGATGTTTTTACTTTTGTCTTTCAGATAATCCATATTTCAAGACAGTCTTGATTTCTCCACTCAGTGTTCTCTTCTTCAGTGCTTTATCCTTTAGTATTCTGTAAACTTTTGTACTTTTACATATAAACAGGAATAGCATTATGGATAAAGGCAAAAAGCCCAGAAACTGACTATTCTTTTTTTGACCAGCAACTTTGACTTTGAAATTGCTTTCCTGATTTCTAATCAGTGTCTTTCTGCTATTTTGTCATCTCTGGATACCCATTGCATAATAATCTTCTGCACTGTGTTTATTGGGATTAGTTTATCATGTGAACTCTCTACATGGAGTTTAAAATTTTCCATGAAGTGGGATGCCAGCTTCATTTTTCAAAGGAATACWTTTTAGGGATTTTTCCATCCCAAAGAATGTAAGACATTTCAAGGAAGAGAGGTTGGAATGATGATGACCTAGGGGTTGAGTCCAGTCCCATTTTCCTTATCACTCGTCTGGGAACTGCAGATGTATGCCTGAAAAAAATGACAGTGCTTGATTTTCACATATACTACATAGTCTCTACTGGTTTTTCTTTCTTACTAGGTGATATATTACTAAATTTATCCATGAGGAATAAGGGTTGTGCATGCTCTAGTTTAAGGTAAACTTAAAGGCAATAGAGAAATAAGGTGGGCGATTATTTAGGAAAAAACAGAGTAAGGAAGGTGATCTGTGTTAAGAGGTGAGGAAAAAGGACTACATCCTGGTTCACCTGTGTTGGAGGAGGTTGTGGGCTTCCTCACTGAGTATGGTGGAATTGTTCAGGCAGACATCATTATGACCAATACTAGAATGTGATTTGCTGTATGGCTGTTTCATAGAATATTGTCATAATGTTCCTGTTATCTTCAAGATAACACAAGGAGACAAAGGGATTTAGACTAAGACTGTACTGATCAACATTTTTGTTCCGTATTTTTYAATCAATGAAAAGTGAGAGACTGTGTTCCCATATCCCTACCCGTCCCTGCATCCCCTCTGTACTCTCTGCCTCTTTAGGTTGCCATAGCTTTGATGATCACTTGACCTCCAACCAAGAAGGAGGAAAATCCAAGAATGTTGTGAACCTGGGAGCCATCCGCCAAGGCATGAAGCGCTTTCAGTTTCTGCTGAACTGCTGTGAACCRGGCACTATCCCTGATGCCTCCATTTTGGCAGCAGCTCTAGATCTTGTAAGTGACTGCTGGTCTCTTGTCATCTCCCGAGTGAGAGCATGTGCATACATGGTGATCTGCTGTTATTCACTCATGCTCTTCATGCCCCTGTAGAAAGATGGTAAATGCTAGCTGATGGTGCTGGTACTAGCTGGAGCTTTAGCATCTGTGCCTGGCTGAATTTGCAGACAGAATGGATCCTTTTTTATTTACATGGCTCCCCATAACTGTGTTGTCAGTGCAAAGTTTGTATTGCTGACTGCATAATTTGCTCAGGGACACTGTTTCTGCTCATGGTGTCTCTCTGCAGAATAAGGATTGAAGATTGGATGACTACTTGGAGAGGCACAAGAATTCTGCTCTTGAGTTCTGTTAAAGATATAAGTACATTAAGGAATCCTGAACTGTTACTCACCAGAACCTGTCATTGGGAAAAAATTACCATGTCACAGTGTACCTGTTTTTAAATGTAGATTTTGCTGGTTTGCTAATCAAAATCACAGAAGGGACACAATTCAATCCCTTCTTCCTGATACTCYGTATCTCCTTCCTTCCTATCCTTGGAGGTTTTTAACATTCTTTCCCATTTCTAAAGCAGTGCTCTGCCTGTGATTCATGAGCCAGTGGGGCTCTGTGAGGTGCTTATGTGACAAGTAAGGACTGTGACAAATACAGCTATGAAAAACAGCAAATTATAAGCAATTTCTCTGCATGCTGCTTTTCTACTTCATTCTATAAATGTTGGGCTGTCTGCAAGCTAAAAAAAGATTAAAATCCATTGGCCTTCAAGCATCCATATGCTTGCTTTTTCTTCCCACTCCCCACCATTCACCTCTGTGACTGTTGAGCCGTTTTTGCGCTTGTTTGGTTTTGTACCTCACTGCCGCAGATACTGAGCTCAAGGACTCTTCCTTCCTGGTAGCACTGTGCCCTGACCTGTGCTGCATTGCCTGCTGCATGCCTGTAGGGATGTTCTATACATGTCTGTGCACCACTCCATTGTGCCATCTTCTTAAACTTGCATCCTTAGTCTGCAGAACACTTGTTCTGTTACCCATGCACGAAGTCAGCTGGAAACTACCCATTGAAGTGAGCTCTTTGAAGATGTCTGACTTCCACAGCTGACTTTTGCAAACTAAAATGTAAATGTCTCTCCATTCCACTGAATAATGCAGAATATTTCTGTATCAGAATTTCTAGAAGGTCTGCAGCTAAAGATGAAGGAAGTTTTGCTCTAATTACAGACTTGGAAGACTGCAAGTACCTGTTCAGTTCAATTTTTTCTAGAAAGTATTGGAGATATGTAGAATTTATTAAGTCACATTCAGTGTAGATTTTAAAAGCTGTCAGCCTGTCATCTCACTGTATTGGTTAATGGCAATAAAAAATTCCCACACTGTATGTCAGTAGAGTACACCCAAAAGAAAACGTTCTGTTTTTTTGACTTGTATTTTGAGGCTTTTGAAGTCATAGTTTGAATCAGGTCTGATGCAAACAAAAAGCTTTTAAAGTAATTTTATCCAAGTAGTTTCTGAGGCAATCTTTAAAGAATGAAAGGGAAACAACTCCAGTTTCAGTTCTTCCATAAACTTTTTGAGCAGGCTTTCTCATGCAGATTTGAAAAATTCTGTATTACACCAACTTTGAGATCTTTGATCAGCATAGGTGTTTGTACTGGTTTGCCACAAGATTTAAAGACATTAGAACAGTGTAACAGATGTTGCATCCTTATGGAGCTAATAATTTCTTGTATACTAAACTGAGCGTTGTCTTAGGTTTAGCAGCTRTGCAGTTAACATATTTTCCTAGAAGCAGCATCCATCCTTGACAAAATTTTGTAAAACTACAATCAATGTATGGCTGTGCAAAGATTCAGTGATAATTGGCACATTGTAGACAGCTTTATCTTTACTKCTCCAACTTAAATTCAGACTTCCCAATAATGAAATTTATTTGCATTCCTTTTTTAAGATACTCTGGAGTGCAAAAGCAAGAATGAGATGTTTCAGTCCATGCTTAAGTTCCTGTTGAGTGTTCCAATAGTGTGCTTTTTAGGATTGAATAACGATGTTACCAAAGAATTTCAATTAGATTAGCACAAACTTCTCCTGTGGGGAGACATCAGCTTTCTATTGACCAATTTAGCAGTGACACTTGTCACCATTACATTTCTCCAATAAGAGATATGAGCTCATTTGTTGTAACATGTAAATCTTTCATCCTTGTTGAAATGCAATCCTGTTTTTTGGCAGGGTTGTGTTTGAGAAGACTTACTAAGAGTTGGGACAGCAGAAGCAGAGTCTAAACTGCAAGAATACTTGCCAGTATCCTGACTCCATGTCACCTTGGGTCTTAGGCAGACTCTATTGTTCCAAAGACCATCTTTCCATGACAGAAATATTTTTCTGTAGCAGTGCTTATGATTTGGGAGGAAAACAGATTACTACAAGCAGATCCCTAGAGTAAAGTACTGGGAACAGAAACATAGAGCTGTGCCATGGATTGTACTTGACCATTTTCAGATATAATCAGCAAGATTTGAATTAATTGAAACAGGCAATTCTCCRATACATTAGTTAATATCTTACTCACAACTATCTTCATATGCCTGCTAAGATACCTTTCATGTCAGACTTAACTTTTGGCTACATAAGGCAGAACTATCCACTCAAGCATCTTTTGACAGTACTCAAATTTACTTTGATTTCTCTTAAAAGGAGATTGTTGGTATTTTGTGCCTGTGTTTTCTATCTTGAAAGGATCAGTGGAAATTAATTTTCGCTCAAAATACCATGTGGGCTTTAAAAAAAATTATTCAATGAAATTGCCACAGGTTGATTAGTTTTATAAAGTTTATTGTTCTTGAAAATAAAACTGGACCTAAATTCTCAGCAGTCATAAAACTCTGCAGAATCTGGTTTTCATGAAAAGTAATGTGATGCTGTGAAATTCCAAATCCATTCTGTATTTAGTTCCTCCCACATATACCATTTGCCCTTTAGAGCACATCAGGTTATCAGTTAAAAAAATTCAATGGGATGTCTTGGACTGTTAACAAATTGGTGAATTCATGTCAATTTATACAAGTATAAGAACACTTTTCAAATGGCAAAACAATGTAGTACATCTAATGTTAAAAGTGGACTTGTTAACAGGTGCATGTGCACGGACAGCCTTGTGAGAGTATTGCTGCTGTGTCAGGTTTTGACAGTGACCATGGTAACTTGTGTTCTTTTCAGCTGTACATCACCTGCCTGATTCATTTCTCTCCATTTGTGATGTGTTTCTCTGTTGTGTGAATTCATCCCTGTCCATTCTGTCACATCTTCATCTTTTTCTTGCTGCTGCTGCTTCAGTTTTCTCAGAGCCTCAGGTAAGCAATCACAGGGAGGTTGTGCCCTAAGATTCAGAAAGTCCTTCATGCAGGAGTTCTATTCAGTGATTTTTAATTAATTCAGTAATTTTTAATTAATTCTGCTCCTCCCCTTTACTCCCATCCCACATATCCTCCTTTAATTGTGGTAGTTGTGTGCTTTCATAATATTTGCAACACATGMTTTTAGAGAATTCAACTATGCTAAGAAATTTTGACTTTACTACTAGTSAGCTAAACCAGTAGTAGACTGAGGCTCAGACTTTATCTCTTCATATATGTCTCCATGGTTAAGGTTTTACTCTGTGAGAACAAAAAAAGAAAATCCTCACCTATTCTGTGTTCCATATTGCATGACATCAAGGAGTAATTTGTAATTTTTTTTCTAGGTGCTAGATACTAGTTTTGTTTCTGGTTGTCTGCCTTCAGATTTCTGCCTTCCTCATCAGAGCATTGGTGCAGCTTTAATATTCCTATTTAAGAGATTTGCTTTCAACTTTTACAGAAAATCTGAGCAAAAAGCTGTAAATGGATGTTGTGTCAATAATTTCCTTAATGAAACTTTAAGATCATTGGTCCAAAATTTCTTCCTTTTAATTTTTAATTAAAACACTGTAGGAAGCACTATTTAATAAAGTTTAACAGACCATCTTACAGGGTCTCAGGGCAGAATTGATCAACCCTTCCTTATAAGTAGATGATGATCTGTTTAAATTATTTCAATAAATCTGTCAGCATCTAAATGTATGGAAGAGGTGTTTGTGCTCTGTGAAATCCCTGCTTCTGCACCTTTTAAAGCCAGTTGGTAAACTGGGCATTGTTGTATTCTTTGTTTTACAACCTGCTGGTCACAGGAGGTTTTGGTTGTGAAAATTGCAGGAAAAGAGGGGAAAATTAACTGGAAATTAGGAGAACCATTTGCTTTTCAGTCACTTTCCCTGTAGGTAATGATGTTGTTTTGGCAGTTGTAGACTGTTAGTGAAAAAAGCTCCTCCTTTAAGAAACAAATCTACTACATTCATATTTTGGACACTCTAGAAAGTTTCAGAAGCATCCTTTGTTGGTCTAACATGGATCCTTCTGGGTGATTTAATACAAACTAAGATACGCTCAATATAATTTGTCCCATTAAATAAAAGTAATTCTCTAACCCAGGTACAGGAGGATTTTCCTCTGGAAGATAGGCAATCCTTTCAAAACTCAGCTGCCTGTTGGTGTTTCAGTAACAAATTGTTGGTGCTTGCTGAGGCCATTAAAGTTCAGCCAGTGAAATTTTGTTGATGTACACAAGTAATGCGTTCCATCTCCACAGCTATTCATTATGAGTGCAAAGTAGTGCTTTTCATTGTTTTGACAAGCATTCATTAATGCTTTCACCCCCAAGATTCACAACCTATAGTAACAAATACTAGGATTTGTGTGGCCATGCTMTCATTTGCTCCTCCAATATTTGCAGCCTTATTAGCAATGGTGAAAATAAACATAACTTGTTCCTGCAGTAACAGTCCTAGATGCACGCTTCTGCTTTTGCAGTTAGATGGTTTCTGAAAGAGAGCATTATGGAAGAGTACTTGTTTTTAAGTTTATAATGTGTTTCTGTCTGCCCCCCTAGTGTCTGGAATGAGCAAGACTGTTCAGTGTTTATGAGTTTGGTTTTAGTAGCTCAAGAAGTGAGACTTATGCAGAGAGACACAGGGGTCAGACTTTTATGGAGAGATTGYTCACTGTGCGACTCCTTGGCAAGCTCAAAAAGCAGTTTTTTAGAGCACAGAATCCTCTAATATTCAGGGAGTTTTTCCAATCTGTATTTTTATTGAAGATGACTTTTTGCAAACATTTCAGGAAGCTCCTGTAGTGGCGCGAGCAGCGCTGTTCCTTGAGTGTGCGCGCTTCGTTCACCGCTGTAATCGTGGCAACTGGCCAGAGTGGATGAAGGGTCATCACGTGAATATAACTAAGAAAGGCCTGTCCCGTGGTCGTTCTCCTATTGTTGGCAACAAAAGGAACCAGAAGCTTCAGTGGAATGCAGCTAAGCTATTCTACCAGTGGGGAGACGTAAGTGTTTGTTTCTCTTCTAYTTGCATTCAAAAATATTGCAGAATATAAAGGTAATTTGACCTTATACAGTATTTTAGTTCTTGAAGGTGTGAACTCAGAAGCCTCCCTTCCAGCTTGCACTTCACAGCCTGCCAGAATCACCTTTTCTCCTAAGGGAAGTGATTATGTTAGGACATATTATGGTGATGGTTTTGCTTGGTCCAGTTTTTTTTAGTGGTGGGGGAGCCACAAAGATGGTCCCTGTGAGCAGATTCTGGAAGTCTCCTTCATCATGTCCAGCAAAACAAAAAAAAAGCCCTGCCCCATTATGTTGTAGAGCCAATCTCTGATGGCTCTGAAGGTGATGGACATGCTCCTGGTCATGCCTGGGCCAATTGGAGAGGCTGGTTGTACCTGTCTGATGACATATTTAAGAAGAAATCCCCAAAAAACAGGGCAGCAACTGCTTTAGTCCCCTCTGCGTGTGGGAGGATGGAAGGGGAAGGTGAGGAGATGTGAGAAAAAATGGAGACATCAGGGTCAGTGGAGAAGGACGAGGAGGTGCTTTGGCAGCTGTGGTGCTGACCATGGAGGAAAAGAAGCTGTTCCTGAGGTCACTGTGTCCAGCTGGAGATAGAAGCAGCCTGGCCTTRGAGGAATAATYGTAGCYRTGGGGATGGTGGYCCACSCCTGGAGTGAGTGAATGCCTGGAGAAAGCAGTGTTAGACTSAAGAGTAAAATTTTGCTTCCAATTATGGAGACAGCCCAGCCTTGGAAGACTACATTTTTCACTACATTCTAAGTGAAAAACTTAGCAAAAATCTGGAATACAAATATCAAAGAAAGAAAGGTGGAAGAAATTGATACAGAATAATGACCAAAACTCCTTCTACCTGTCATATGGCAGTTTGGTGTTTTGTTTTGTTTTTGTTTTTGTTTTTGTTTTTTTTTTTTTAAATTAAATCTACTAAAAGTTTTCATCCTGAAATTTGACACTGTTTGCAAATTTTTGTTTAAAAATGGGGGAAATAAATTGGGATTCTGATAGCAATTAGTCTTCTGTCACCCCTTTCTCCTCTTCAGACAATAAAAATAAAACCAAGGCGTTCTGTTCTGGCTGAACCATCTCTAGAGTCTGCATGGAGCAGAGCTCTTGACCACCAGCATAACTGGGCTGAAATTCTCACCTCCTTTTTGTTCTCTTTCTCCATCTGCAGGCAATTGGTGTCCGCCTCAATGAGCTGTGCCACGCTGAGAGTGAGAGCCCTGCCAACCTGCTGGGCCTCATTTATGATGAGGAAACAAAGAGACGCCTGAGAAAGGAGGATGAGGAAGAAGACTTTTTAGATGACAGTAAGGAGACTCCCTTTACTACAAGAACCCCCGCTTGTAAGAACCGCTGCTTTAGGAGCATTTAATATTTTTCTCTTTTCATCTTGCCACCAGCTGTATTTCCCAGTCCCTCACCTTCACCCCAGCTTCCTCCTCTGTTCTTTCTGTGCCTGGATGTAAAACATGACAGAGGGGTAGAAGCACTGAAAGACTTGGATGGAAAAGGGAAGGGAAAACCAGGCAGTGATTTGTAATTCCTTTACACAAAACCTGCCATTTTAAGCAGAGCAATTTATTTCTTGAACCTTTCTGTCACCTGAATGTCAAAGTGGTTCAGGCTCTATTCTCACAGTTACTTCTTCCAAAATATCTGTGAAAGATCATCTGCTTTCCTGTTTCTGAGTATTGAAGAGTCATCTCCTCACCTGATGTGAATTTGCAGAGCTCTKTTAAAGGCTTTGAAATTTTTACTTCATTTTAGTAACTGATTTTCAGGTGAAGACTAAAAAAAAAACATAAAAAAAAATCTGTATAACCCCAAGATGATGGAACCACACACATTTGTGCCTGTGAGTACATAAGGATGGAAGATGTGTGACAGATCACTGATTTTAAAAGTCTGTATAGGCAAGCAAGTTATAGCAAACCTGTGAAAAAATTAGATTGTCAAAGCACGTCCTGTTGTCGGTGTAGGTGAAGGTGTAACAAATATTATGGGCTCCTTGGACACCACTTGGATATATGTGTGTGCTGCCTGTCTAYGTATATGGATGTAATGTGCCTGCACTATCTTCTGCTTTCTCTTCCCATCATTCTGGATTTGTTCTTGTCACTGCATGAAGGCTCACTTTGGAGTAAAGAAAAGTAGGTGGGGAGAGTGAAACGGCATTTATGACAAGAGAAGGTCTTGGCCCTAAAGTAGATCTTCCCATGTGCCGCTGTGTGGTGTGCCAGTGCTGGCAGCAACAGGAACATGGGTGGTGGCCCTTCTGGATATTTAGGAAATATTCCCAGAGCAAAAGCAGATAGCATATAAAAGTTTCCTTCTGCTCCACAAATGAAAAACTGCATTCCCATGACCAGGAGACAGAATTGGCTTTCTTGTCCCTGTTCAGCCACTCACACCAGGCACGCAAGAGGATATGGAGCTTTTTTAAAAGGGTGTCCTGACAAAAGCAAACAAAGATCAGRTTCTGGTCTAGAAAGCCATTTGAAAGCTCAAGTGCTCTCCTGTAAGTTAGTGTGTGAAAATAGCCAATCTGCATCCTTAGGCAGGGATTTTTCAAAAAGTGCATTATATGCTGTAGGAAGTAGACTGAGGAGCATAAAATATGCAGTTGGATRTTCCATTACACTGTATATCTCATTTACATTTGATAGTTCAGATTATTTAATCCTTACAAAGTCCACAATTCATTACTAGTGATGTGTACAGGGAATAAAGCATCGCAGGATTAATCTGGTTTTATCTGATCTCAGCAGCGTCTTTTCACTTGTTTGGTTTCGTTTTTTTCCTTTGCAAAAGCAATTAGATCATACATGGGAAAAGCAAGCAAAAGCACTAATCTCTATGAAGTGTATGTAGAGGGTAATATCAGGACTAAGTAAAAAATGGATGTGGTTAGTTGTCACTATTAGCTTTTTTMTTTACTTATTTTGCTGTCTATAATCCTAAATAGTACTTTTCAAATTGATCCAGACTTGAAGAATCCTTTATCCTTTCTAAGCTTTGAATTGTATCAGATGGGTTACAAAGGGTATGGATTTTAAAGCCAATTATTTAGACTCAGCTGAGACAAAACTTCAAGAATTTTGATAATCCCTCTTCCCTTTSCCTTTTAGTTTTAAATTAAGCATTTGAATGCAAAATTTGATTAAGCAGTTTGATTTTTTCCCTTTATATAAATGGCACATTGATTCTTTGCACAATTATAGAAGCCTGACTTCAAAGGAGAATATCTTTTCCAGTTATCAGGGTAGAATTARTAATAACAACTGCAAATGATTTGACTGAATGCAAAACTGAAAAGGAAAAAGGTGTCTACTTCTTAGTCTGTGTTAGCCTTAAATGAGTTGTATACAAAATGTCAAAATCATGTTAGTCTAATAGGTACTTCAACATAACATTCTATAGTATATGCTATATATAGCATATATATCCAACTATTGTGTTACTTCAATATAATGCAATATAATAAAATACATAACATGTAATAGAACAGAACATAATATAATAGAATAAATATAATAATGTAACATAACATCATATATAATATATGGTGCAATTATGTAATATATATAATATAATGCAATATGATAYGATAAATATAGAAATGTTAGTGTTGTTACATGTGCTGGCAAATGGTTTTGTAGTTGATTGTGTTCCATTTAGTGTAGAAAAAGTAGCACAGAAGTGTGGGGTTTCCTGGTTTTCARTACAGCTTGCATTGCGCACCATGTGAACAATGTCCATCACCTCTTGGTTCCAGATCTTGTATTATCTTCTTGGTCATGATTGATGGAAATATTCTTTCCTAGGCACTGTGAATCCTACCAAATGCTGTTGCCCTTTTGCACTAAAAATGGCAGCCTGTCAGCTTCTCTTGGAGATAACCACGTTCCTTCGAGAGACCTTTCCMTACATGCCCAGACCGCGGATGGAACCTCTTGTGGTGAGTGGAMGATGAGTATTGGAGAGGGCTATGTAGATTGAATTACTGGGGTTTGGGCTCTGATGAGAGTTTAAGTCAGGTAAAAACTCCAGTGGATCTCTGTAGGGAGAAAGGAACCGTTGTGTGGTGAATAGAAGGTGGTCAGCATACAAGAAATGGGTTGATTAAGAAGGTGTTGTCTTCATTCTGCTACAGGATCTGGAGAGCTGCAGGCTGCGTCTGGACCCTGAGATGGACCGACACAGGTACGATAGAAAGATCAGCTTTGCTGGAGTTCTGGATGAAAACGAAGATTCAAAGGATTCCCTTCACAGCAGCAGCCACACCCTCAAATCTGAGGCTGGTTTCGAGGAGAAAAAAGGTTTGTCAACACAATAAGGCTTTTGTATTCTCAGGGCTTGTGAAGTGGTGCTTTATTTTGTGTGTTCATTTGCATAGACTGTGTTGAACAGCAGGCAGCCATGGAGTCACGTGGCTTTAAATAATTTCTCAGACGCTTCTGGCTTTCAGGGTTCAATATAATCAATGTGAGAAGCAAAGATGTTATATTTTATAAAACAGTGCTATGACTGAAATCAATTGAGAACTTTGCAAGATTGATAGAAAGACTTGTTTGAAACTGTGTCAGTAGGATGCTGAGAGTAGCATCACTATTTGATTCACAGTAGAAGTAAAGATCAAAAGTGGGTTTATTTGTTTTTTCTCTGATTAGAGTTTTTAATTTTGGGGAAATTAGAAGAGGGAAGATTGGTATCTTTCTGTGGAAAATTTGTATCAGTTTGGAAGTCATGGCATCTCAAAATAAATAAGTGTGATTGATCTCTCAAATTCTTTGCTACCACATGAAAAATACACTGTGTGGCTTTTGATGGCTAGCAGATTGATGTTACCAACATACTGTATACTGTACAAGCAAACTTCAAGTTCACTGTGTTTGCTGAGAATAGCAGATTGTTTCCATTTTTGAGCCATCCCATGCAAAACTCACATTCTATCTGATGGTACAAGTGTTGCAATACAATATACAGTCATCGTGTGCATTTGGAATTAGAGACTAAACTGCCGGCTGCTTACCTCTAGATGACCCTCTGACAAGTTTCCTAGAAATATTTACACTCTGTCTCATAGTAATAATTTAAAAGTGCAGATGTTTTAATGAYAATTTTAATGATTGCTTGAGAAGGATAAATGTTTAATAATTGTCTCACAACAGTGGAGTTTGTGGCTGGTTATCCTCTAGGAGCTCCAATGCCTATTAATGATTTAGGGAAGTTTTTATTGACTTCTGGGTGCTTCAGATAAAGTTTGTGTTGTCTTCAGCTGTGACTTTGCCATCATCACTGTAGAAAATATTAGAAATGCTTCCAAGACTTAGATGGTATAAARCTTCCTCCAAAATTGGGTGTTCAGTGTCACATTGGGTGACACATTTACTTCTGTGAAGACGGCTGGGTACCCTCCTAAGAAAAGTGAGCTGGCTAAATTGATGCTCAATATATTGGCAGCCCAAAAAACCACTCAGCCTTAAGGTCTTTCTGATAGTCTAAGAAGTGTGGGATGTCATRTGTCTACCTATTTAGATGAGGAAGACTTTGGGTTTGGGTTTGTTTTATGACTATTTCTTGAAACAATTTTCAAGCTTTTCAGGGATCAGTCCCATCCACTGAGTTACCTGAGTGGGGCAATGTCTTCAAGCATGCAGTCCTGCTGGAAAATTCTGGTGGACAGTCTCTAACTATCCTGTTTTCTTGACAATGCTGAGTTAGCCTTTCCTTTGCATGCCACTGTGCTACAGGTGTAATGTATTTTTAAAACATAGTATTAACTTCCTGCATACTTCTCTTCATTAAACTACATTTTCCTGAAGTATTAGTTGAGCTGTTTTCTATTATCCCTTTTCCCTAAAATGTCACGTAGTTTTCGTTTACTAAAGCCATTTTCCTGAAGTATTAGTTGAGCTAATACTAATGAGTTTTATTAGTTGAGCTAATACTAATGAGTTTTCTATTATCCCTTTTCCCTAAAATGTCATGTAGTTTTTTGTTTACTAAAGCTGTGTCTTTACTCCATTTTAGACACGGGAAAAGTTACTACGGTAAGAAGTCTGAATCCCAATATACCAAAATACCTTAACAAAAATGTAATTCAAGTATTTTAGAAATTAGGGTGAGATAATGTTGTATTTTAAAATTAAAATAATTCTGTTCTTCTCTCTGGCCACAGCATATTCTTCTGGGAATCCACCTGGGCCAAACACTACAGATGCAGAGGCATCTTGCATAATCTACACTTTTCTAGATAAGAAAATTTTGTTGTGTGAATGTAACTAAATTTTTCTTGCCTGTAGTGACAGGTTTCTTTATCTCAACCTCTTTGATTAGTACTGATCTATTTCCCTTCCTTTTTACCGAAGTGTTAAAAACTTTGCTCTCATTGCTCCCCCAGGCATGGATAACAGCTATCCAAAAGCCACAGGTTTACWGTATAGAATCTGCTCCAGGTAGGTCTGAAATACAGACACTACAGCTGGGTAGATGCAGACTCTCAGAAGATCAGATGTACTCTTTGGTTGCAAAAATGAGATTCTGCAGACTTGATGAAAGGCAGCTACAAGTGYTTAAGTGGTTTGGCATTTGTGGGGTTTTTCTGAACATTAATCAAGCCACAGTGATTCCTAAGGAACTTAGCACGATCCCTTGGAGAGTGATTCTTTGGTCACTCAGTGACCACGTGGTTTGCCCGATTATTGATGACTGAAGAGTGGCTCTCCAAAAGCATCTAGCTGACTTTGGCCAGGTTTCTRGCCACTGGAAATAGGTGTGGGAATTCCCTTCTGGACGAATTGAGGCACTCTCAAGAATAAAGGGGTGTTTGATTTTTCCTGAAGCCAAAATACAATWCTGTTTAAATATTCTGTTAATCCATGTTGTCCAAAAACCTCTATGCTGTTCACTCCCAACCACACTCCAAARGCTAATTGATCACATGTGGCATTGYGTGATTAGATCTGCAGTAAAATGACTGAGTGTTGCAACATTTGGACTGACATACTGCCGTGTACTGCCTTTGAACTAAAAGGAGAATGAAAGTGCAAAGTGTTGGTGCTTTGAACATTTGAACCATTCCATGTTTGTGCTCATGAAAAATGCCGAGTGTCAATGGATGTTGTTAATGCCTGACAGCTGCTGATTTGTCTAAAGGAGAKGATCTACTGCTCCTGTTTCCTCTAAAGCATTCTAATGATGAAGAATAACATGCAGAGTCATGGATTTATGCAAATGTAACTTCAAAGAAGCCTTGCATGCTAACCTCCTGAAGCAGACTTCCCTCTTGCAGTCATACATATTGTATGAATAAATAATAGATCCTACTGCAGAGCTCAGTGAGGTTTACAGAACTCAGGCCCCCTGAAAAATAGGTTTGTTCTAGATGGCCGTCTACATGCTTGGGATTCACCCAGCTGTCCCTAGCAAGGGGTGTTTCTGCACTAATGTGAACTCCAGGGACTGGCAATGAAAACTGCAATTTACATCCATTGGGTAGATCCTGCTTCCTGGTAGGAATTGATTCATATTGGTGTAAATTGTAGGCTTTTCTTGCCCATATTTTGGGTTTCTGTTAGAGCAGATGACTCTGCTTGCTGGTGGTTGTACAAGGGCTAATTCCAAATACAGACAAAGCCTGAAATGATGTACCAGATCTCCAGGATATGAGGTGTTGAACACATTTTTTGGACGCATTTTACTGCCTTATTGATTGAGCTGCATTGGCGGTGGCTTTGGAGGGAGCCTCTGATCCCACATTCCTCGGCAGCAAATGCTGCGAAACAGGCTGGCAGCAAACGGTCGGGAGGGTGGGGAGGGCCAAGGTCTCTTTCTTTTTTAAATGGGGAAAAATTAAGGGGAAAAAAGTCCTCTTTTATTCTTTTAATACAGTTCCCAGCAGGAAGATCAGGATAGGAGGCTCCCGCTTGCTCCAGATTAAAGGAACCCGCAGTTTCCGGGTGAAGAAGGGGGGTTCCCTTTCCAGCATTCGCCGGGCCGGCAGCCTAAAGAGCACCAAGTTATCACGGCAGGACTCAGAGTCTGAGAATGAGGAGCTGCAGCTGTCCCACAGCAGGGACACTGTCACTGATATAGGTAACTTAGATGAGTGGGTGGAAAGGGAGGGGACAATAGGCAGGACCTAAACCCTTGATGTGATTGCAGCAGAGCTAGAAATGACAAGGGACTCCCACTCCTGCAGGCTAGGAAAAATCTAGAGCTCTCTTTAGGGACTGCCTGGACTAGGGCCTGGAAAGAACATGGTACAAGCCTGGGTAGGGTATCAGCTCCATGCACAGGTTGTCAATTCACTGCTGTGTTCTAGCATGAGCTTTTGGAATGCTGGTGCTGCCAGCTGAACGCTCGCTGTCTTTAGGGGAGTGCATGAACCAGYGTTATGTGCACATACACACCCCCTTAAACCATAGAATAAAATGAATACATGAGCTCATATGTATAGATGATATTTTATTGACCATAGCAACAGACTGGCYATATGTGTGTATGTATATATATCTATATCTATMTATMTATCTATATATAGATATAGATATATATGGATATATAGATATGTAGTTATCTATATAGATATATGGRCATGTGCTTCATATTCTATATTGGATATGATGCCATAAAAATGTCGAGTGACATGTGAAATAAACATTCTTTTATGTAGAACAAAACAGTCAGATGCTTTGTACTGTATTTCTACACACTATTTTTACAGTTTACAGCTGCTTTTCTTAGTCTTTAAAGATGGGTATCAAGACATTAATCTATGGAAACCAAATGTGGATCCTAAAAGAAATCTTTGTCAGAGAGAGGGACTCTCTCTGCTGTCAGTGTTAACAAAAACCCATGGATACGTTTGGTGCTGAAATAACCTCCCAAGCTTAACAGCTATTTTTATGTTGCCTAAAAGATGGTTCAGTAGGTTAACATGGGAAGTAGGATTGCCAACTCTGCAGGCTTTGACAGGTTGCAGTTCACTTAAAGAGGAGAAAAAGTGTAAACCAGAATTCATCTTCAGACAAGTCTTACTAGCATTAGTATTAGTTTTGAAGAAGGCCCATAGTGTGTGAAGTGGTTAGGGGAAACACAAGGGTCAGTGAGGTTCCCAGAGAACTCACTTCCTTGGCCAAGTTCTAAAGTATTCAGTGTGCTAGAATCAGGATTTTTTTCCCCTTTTATCCCCACGACATCAGTAGTTTCCTTGGGCAAATAGCAGGGACTTTGCCCTTTGACATTTCCAGTTGGATGCCACATCTGGCTGGATGTTTGTTGACATTTTTAACCACAGAGCCCAGTCAATGCAGATCACTAAACCAACCATTTAGAGCATCTGAATGGTACAGAGAATTTGTTTATGATGGTTTTTGATTATCCTTTTCCCTTCCATTAAAGAAAAAACACAGCGAGGGAGCAATATTTACTACTGACAAGAAGGCATGTGGGCCAGGTCCAAATTGTTCTTGTAAGTGTCAAGCCAGCACAACACCAGGACTGGGGAGYGGTGTGAGAACACCGTCTTTCCAGTGTTACATATTCTGTGTACTCTGGTACAAGGCTGGCCTGGCTTACAAGTGTTGTCCCTAGTCTTAAAGCACTTAGAGAGCAATAAAAACAACCACCTTTTGGGTATTTTTCTTTTAAAGAAGGGAGCCCCTGGAGTGCGAGTGAGCCCAGCATTGAACCTGAGGTGCTGAGCAACACAGGCACGGAGGAGAACTACCATCGGAACATGTCRTGGCTGCACGTAAGTACAAGTTGCCAGTAGTGCTCTCAAGAGTGGYATTTTAAATAGAAAACCTTTGTCTGGCAATAACCAGATCACAGTCGGTGCTYTTTCCACATAGCATCAAGGATCTCATGTGTAAGTAACTGCGACCTTTAGAAATTGTGTGTTTGCCATTTCTAAAATGAACACAAAATAAGAAAGTTTTTGTCTTGTTCCTTCTGTCTATTTCATATACTTCATTTTTTTTTCTCCCTAGGTGTGCAGGGACAGCCATAATACCTCAGCTGAAAAGTCCATAATTTCAGTACTTTTTCTCCAGCATGGCCCAGTAGTGTCTAGCTCAGGGAGAGCAACAGAATGGGGTACAGTGTGAGCTGGGCCCCCAGCTTCTGGGAGGTGTCATTTTAAAAGCTACTTGTGTAAGCCAACTGAACCTTGTATATTTTTTACTCTATCTAACAGATGGGGAATGCAACAGTGCAGATGTGCATATGTCTGTATATTAGATGCTGCATCACTACAGGATAAAGGAATTTCCCTAATTAGCAGTTTAGGGTAAATTATGGTGACTTTGCTCTGTGTGAGAGTATGCACGAACTCATGAATTTTGAAAGAAACTTGAGATGTTTGTCTCACTTCAAGTGTGATTAGCCTTCATAGGAGAAAGGAAAATCCGAAAAAATCACCTGGTCYACCTAATGACATACCAAGTGCCAACATTGCATTACAATATTCTTTTTTCATTTGTTAAAAAGAAGGTGTGGGTGGATGGTCACTAAAACTACAGGCAAACCAAAAGCCTTCTTTACTTAATTGTAACAAGAAAACCACTGGTTCCAATTGCACCAGCATCTTATTTACCTGTCCTTTATGACAGCCTGGAGTGTGGTGTCCTCCCTCTGTGTCAGTGTACCATAACAGCAAGTTACAAGTGTGGACCCAGACACTGAGTAGAAGCACAATGGTGCTGTTACACTGTTTGAACATTGGCACAAATTATGAGTTATTCTTTATTGACCCMAAAATGATAGGAGATAAGAACAAGGACAGATTTGGCACAGATTTGTTTTAAATTAGGCTCCTGACTTTTTTGAAGTGAAATATTTTAAGTTTGAGGATGGTGTGGCAGCCCTGAGAGAGAACCAGCAGACTGCAGAGGCACAGACCTGGACGCAGTGGATGGAATATTGCGATAGCTTCTTTCTGGTAGTTGTGGGTATTTCTGCACAAGGTTGTGGATCCTCAAGTGTAGAATTGCCAAAAGTGAACATTAGCTAAGTATTTTAGGGACTAATGGCAGTGTTGCCTTAGCAAAGCCAGGCTCAGAATAGCTAAATTCCAAAGCATGTACTTGATTTTCAGAGGAGTTTTACTGCTCCTTGCTGTCATGTGGCACTAGCAKAAATAGCCAACTGAGGCAGATGCTACAGAGCTGGGCTGGATGGGTCCACCCAAGGATAGTGAGGGAAGCAAACACAGAGCAACTGACAAAGCTTATTTCTACTAGAGAGCATAATGAGACATTTCCCTTTGCATTCTTTGAAGGAAACAAGCCCCCAAACCTCATGGATTTACAGCTGTAATGACAATTGACAAGCTGACAGTTCCTAGYCCAAGCTCTCAGAGTGTTGATACAACAGTTTTTCTGCAAACTGAGGAAGCCATTTTCCTCACCCTTAACCTTGCCACCAGCCAAATGTACACATTTGTATCAGCTCTCTTTGCATTGCTAGCACTAATGTTTGTTTAACCATATCTAGCTAGTTTGCAAATCCCCTGTATGCATGAAGCTCTGCACAGGCACACATACCATTTTTAAGCTGTGTTGAGCTAGGCTGAGGAAAAGCTAGCTTGACTGTCCCAAACACTGGCTGTCCATTTTTGGTAATGGTAACTTCATAGGTACAAATAGGTAACTTTTCCCTTTTTAAATTTCCAGGTTATGATCCTATTATGCAACCAGCAAAGTTTCATATGTACCCACATTGAYTACTGTCACCCACACTGCTACCTCCATCACAGCCGGTCCTGTGCTCGCCTTGTCCGGGCCATCAAACTCYTGTATGGAGACACAGTGGACTCCCTGCGAGAAAACAGCACATTGAATAATGTGGCAAGAGGCAAAAAACAAAAGGAGGTGAGTAAATTGAGAAAGCAGAATGTTTTGAGATTTGTCCAGATGGGTCATAACGGTCTTTGAAAACTGCGTAATGTACTCATACGGTCTTTTTATGACAAAATGGATACAACCATTCCTAAGATTAGCTTTACTGTAAAAAATCCCAGCAATTCAGTCATTCAGCATCATGTAAGGAATGTAATCTGTATTGATTGGGATGAATCTTAGTTGCTGATAAGGTAATTTAAAACTTACGASATGACTTCAATTTTAATGTTCTTTTATAGCTTCTACTTATCACATTGTGGAGTCCATCTCTCTTTTTCCATGTTTCTCTTGTCTGTTAGTAAGAAAGTTGAAATTCTTGTAAAATCTTGTATAATTTTCTTTAGGTCGGAGCTCTCAACTCTTTCAGCTATTCTATACATTAGTCTTTAATGTTTGTCTCCTTGTGATGCACTTTTAATGACAAGTTCAGCAGGMTATTTTGACAACTTTGTGTCTTCTTAGGTAGAAAAATGTGCCTTTAACTTTAGTGAAAATACATTTCYRATTTCAGKAAAGCTYMCACCCAGACACCAACTGAATTGTGTCAGCAGTTAAACCAGAGCACACAGACTACAGTGATCCTGAATACTTGTAATGGCAGAGCCATTCTACTACCAACTACTTTGCAGTAACATTGAAAAAAAAAAGTGATCATGAAATTTTCATGAAGATTTCAGTTGGGTAAAGAGGATGTTAYTCTTGGCAATGGCATATGAAGGAGTAGGAGACAAATCTGTATCTTTCACAGGATGTTTCTTCATCAACCAGGAGATTATTTGCTCCTGTCAAGTTAGAAAACTGAAGGGTATTTTCATGGAAGAAAGCACAGAATGGGTGAATCAGTAGCTAATGTTTCTGCTTTCCTGAAAACCCCTTTATTTCCTCTGGCACAGAAGAACATGCATTATTGAGAGAGGAAGTAATTTCCTTTGCAGAAGGAAGGCAAAAGACAAGCAGCTGGCACTGTTTGTGAAAGATAGCAAAAGAACTGTGTGTTTCTGTGTGTTGTTTCATCTCCAACTTTGAACTGAAAGACAGAGAAAAACATTTCATCATACATCARATCATCAAAGCATTTAAGAGACAGCAGGAGAAAACAATTTGGGAGGCAGTAAGGTTTCCTACAAACACTTGTGGTGTGTTTGTACAGACCTCACTTTCAGAAAGCAATTGACAATTTTTCTTTTGTCATAATCCTCCTTATCTGGAGTGTCTGGAGAAGGGAACAGAGYTGGGACAGGGGCTGGAGCACCAGGAGCASCWGAGGAGCTGGGGCAGGTGGGAGGGGATGGTGGGAGGACTCAGCCTGGAGAAAAGGAGGCTCAGAGAAGACTTTCTGGCTCTCCACAACAGAAGGGTGCATCCAAGTGGGATCGAGTTCTACTCCCAGGGAACAAGAGCCAGGRTTTAGAGGAAATGGACTCAAGTTGCATAAGGTGAAGTTTAGATTGAATATTAATTGGARAAATTCTTCTCTGAAAGGTTTGTCCAGCCCTGGCACAAGCTGCCCAGGGAGACGGTGGAGTCACCATCCCTGGAGGGCTTAAAAGGTGTGGATGTGGCACTTGGGGACAGGATTTAGTGGTGGAGTTGGCAGCATTAGACTACTGGCTCMTCTCRATGATCTTAGAGGTCTTTCTTTTCCAGCCTCARTGATTCYRTAATTCTGTGTGAGGAATYGTTTCGTACACTAAACTCTACTTTTGGTAACTTTTAGAGGAAAGCTGTAGACTTTTTGCCTCTAACATGCTTGACTAATTACATGGGTGCACCACTGGTGAAGATTACACAGAAAACATTCACATTCTTCRTTTGGTTTATTGGCTTCTTCCTTAAGGTTTTATTAGGAAAAGCATTGTCAGAAAGAGAAGAAAATTGAATATGTKTTGTCTCATTGATAGTAGGCCTGTTGCCAGCAAAGAAGGAGGCTTTTTGCCACAGCTCTGGTACCAGATGGTTTTTAGCGTATGGAAATTCTTCTTGTATCTAATCTCCTTTTCCACATTTTGAGAAATATAAACGTGAACACCACTTTCTTTTAATTKTGTTCTAGTGCTCAGACAAGTCGTGCTTGAGAACCCCTTCTCTTAAAAAGAGAGTGATCGATATCAACTTGGAAGGGAAGAAGGACTCTGGAATGCTGAAATACATCAGGCACCAGGTACTGGTYAGGTCATATGCTGTTTAGGGTGGCAGATATGTATGTGTCAGGTTAGACTGCAAGAAAAAGGAGAATGTCTATGGATATCAAAGCCCATGTGAGGAACTGTTTCTGAATATCAGTCAATTCAGCCCAATGTTTTCCCCATCTGAGTAATGCTAAATTTAAGGCCAAGGAAACATGTTTAAAGAATCCTGTAAACATTTCACTCCATTAAATCACTGTCTGTATCTCAGGCTTTCCAAAGTGATACATGCCTCAAAGCTAGGGATAAAAAAAAACCCAACAAAAACAAACAAACAAACACACAAAAAAAAAACCCCAAACTTGGCAGATATGTTTAACCACAACCTGTCAGTTTACAGCATTAGTTTTCYTTGGTCTTACTTGTTCAGAGCTCCTGAAGAAACAACTGACTCTTCACAGGCCTGTTCTCAGTGAGATTTTCATGTTTCACTGTTTGTTCACCACTTTGGGAGCTTTTGGCTTTCTTTTTGTCCACTTTTTTGGTGTTTCAGTGATGTGACAGACAAGATAAAGACTCCAGGAGCTAGTTTGTAAACACTACCTTTTCAGTGTAGGCTGAAAGCCATGTCACTCTCTGATGCATTATCTGAAACAGATGAACCTGGTAATCATTGGTGGGTAATTTGCAGACCAAAAGCAGGATTAAATTGCTGAGTGTGTTCTTCCATGTGGATAGCTTGCACAGCTCAGCCCTAAGGCAGGGCTTGTTTTGTTGCAGGTAATGAGCCTCTCCCCTGCCCCTTTGTCACTGCTGATCAAGGCAGCTCCCATCCTCACCGAGGAGATGTACGGGGACATCCAGCCAGCAGCGTGGGAGCTCCTGCTCAGTGTGGATGAGCACATGGCTGGAGCAGCAGGTAAGGCACCAAACACCAAACTCAGATGGGCTGCTGTGGCTGCACAACTCACAGTTGATCACAGGACCTTGCAGTTTTGTAGTGGAGGAGTCTGAATGCCATCAGTTTCTTGGGGGCTGTTTGGTTTTTGTGTACCCTTGTGTGGTTTTGTGCTCTGTGCAAAAGAGGTGATCAGGAGGGCACTCTCTCTGAGGCCCTGCAAGGGGTGGAGGTGTGAACATCAGAATTAGTATTTGTGTTCAGTTGCATTTCTAGGCAGAGGAAACAGTGATTCAGACTGTCCAGAGTCTACTAAAGCATTTTGTATGCTACCTCATGGAAATTGTTAGTACCAGTTGAGGCCTATTGCAAAAATTAAGACAGGGAATGAGAGTGGAACTGTCAYAGCTCCTCTGTTATGCTCAATGTTTCCTCCTTCCATAGATTTGCATACCTAAGGAGAGAGTCCCAGATTTTTTTTCACTGAAGATTAAATTGCAAGCATTTTTATCAGAAACTGCTAGTTTGTTTCAATGTCTGTTGACATGCAATGTCTGTTTACATGTAAATATGATCCATTGAAAAAAAATTATGGGCCAGCTTAGTTCCTGTTTTGCATGATCCTTTGCCTTGYTCCATATTCTCTTGGAGGCAGATTGTATTCATTGCATAGAGCCCATTTAAGTAAGAACTGGTTTTACTCATGAAAATAGCCAGGTAACTTCTACTGGGGCGCTGTGTCCTGTTCCAAATCAGATCTTTTGTTAAATCAACCTTGATTCTGTTAAATCAGCCTTGATTGATCAGCACAGAAATCACGTGGAAGTGGAATCTTTGAAAGCCAAACCTAATTAATCCCTTTGTTTAAAGAGACACTTCTTATTTTAAAGCTATCAGGACACAGATTGTGTAGATCGAAGGTGTACTTTATTGTAGAAAGCTGGTTTTCCAGAAGAATTTAAAGCTTCCCATATAATGCTCTGTCTCTCCAAAATTAATCACACATTTGCTTGGTTTCTTGAAGCAAATCGGTTTTCTCTAGTTCTTAGTAGAGTGGTGATCCTATTTCTGGAGCCAGGATTGAGTTTCTTTTGGTGGGAGCTTTAGGAGCTGTGTTTTTTCTTTCCCAAATAAACACATTACTGAGCAAAAGAGATGATCAGATATTCTCTCCCTGCAGCTGCCATGTTCCTGCTGTGTGCTGTGAAAGTGCCAGAGGCTGTTTCTGACATGCTGATGTCCGAATTTCACCACCCAGAAACAGTGCAAAGACTAAATGCCATTCTCAAATTTCACACACTCTGGAGGTTCAGATACCAAGTGTGGCCAAGAATGGAAGAGGGAGCACAGCAGATCTTTAAGGTAGATARGAAATACGAAGCGTGATAGTGACAGAATGCCATGAAATTGCCTGAAAAATCTGTTTATGTAAAAAAAGTATGTCTTACTAGTGGGGAGGTGAAATGAAGAAGTCCTGCATAAAATGAAGAAAAGAAAATGGGGATTCAGGTCACAAGAAATATTAGAGAAGATGTGTGTCATATATGGCGTTAYAGTCCAGTGAGATACAGAGGTGGGAAGAATTTGCAGAGTTAATTAATGTCTTTGAGTACTTGTGCTCACGTTTACTTAACACTACTGGCAACAATAGTTTGACTAACTATAAAATATCTTTCATGTWTTTTTTAGATACCTCCTCCAAGTATAAACTTCACTCTGCCTTCTCCTGTGCTGGGGATGCCATCTGTGCCAATGTTTGACCCTCCCTGGGTCCCTCAGTGCAGCGGAAGCGTGCAGGATCCTATAAATGAAGATCAATCAGTAAGCACTGTTTTTTCTCTTTACAGGTGTGGGGGAAATTAAGTTAAAATATGTGCATTAAACTCTGAGATTGTCTTGCCATGCTGGGAAAAAATCTAGTATAGTCTTGTGTAAGACACACAGAATTATCTATATRGGYGTAATKTTTTTCTGTTTGTTCACTGAGATAYCCTACTGCACTTCATATCMTAGTGARAGACAYTRACTCAGATCTTAGGAACACACAGCTTTTTTMTCTCCAAGAAATTAGTTCAATAGAACTGCCTGACGGACCATTTTTTCTGCATTGCTGCATATCATGTGTMCTGGGAGATGTTTGCACCAAGGCTTATTGTAGAGTCATCACCAAGAAACGTCTCCTGGTAAATCTCTGTTCAGCTGCCACTTAYCTGGTTTATATTTAGAAACTGAGTTGCTGGATTTCACTAAGGTGAGGTCTCTCTCTGAAAATTAGCGTGTGTATCTTAACTGACAGCTTCAGGCTGTGTTTCTTCTCTCTTCCTCTCGACAGAAGTCATTTTCTGCCCGAGCTGTGTCGCGTTCCCATCAGAGAGCAGAGCACATCCTGAAGAACTTGCAGCAGGAGGAGGAGAAGAAACGCCTGGGCCGGGAAGCCAGTCTCATCACTGCCATCCCCATCACTCAGGAAGCCTGCTACGAGCCATCCTGCACACCAAGCTCAGAGCAGGAAGAGGAAGGTGTGCTTTGGGACAGGAAATGCATTCCAGGAATCTGAAAGCATTTCCCACCAACACAGAGCACTGCTTAGGGCAGTGATGTCCAGGAAAATTGATTGTTAGTGTTAGGAAGGTCCCAACCATATCAATTTGTTGACAAGTCCAAGCCACCGAGAAAAGGTGTATTTGAAAACTAATGCAAAAAATGGGGCAAAATGTTAGATGTATTGATTTTTTACTGTGTGATAAACACACTTACCTCATCTGCCCCAACTACAGAGGAGCTTGCCAGCATTTAACATCTTAAAGCTCCTGGTTTCTTGCAGGATTTAATACACAACCATAAGCAACACTAGGAATGAAATCTGTCTTTCCTAACGTTAACTCTTTAATAATTAAAGGATGGGACGAATCCCTCTTTGGCTGTTTCTGTCTTGAGAAACATAGTTCAGAATATATTRAATTGCTCCTGGGGTTTTCTACCTTTGTGGTGACTGGGGAGGAGCCCAGATACCAGATCAAGCTCAATATCAATCTTCCAGAAAGCCAAAGTTCCATGACACGAGTCACAATAAGCTTAGGCTTTTAGGTGAGGATTTTTACTGGCCCATGCTAACAAAGTACACACCCTTCATTAAAGGCATTACAAAGTATGTGCCACTGTCTGAGTACAGGGTTGATCAGATCTAAATATACACTGGAAAATCCGTGAATAGAAATCCCAGTTCTTAAGAAAATCTRAGCTCCAGCAACCATGATGTCTAACAGGGAGTAGAAGACAAGAAGTACAGAATCAAATCTGTCACAATGGGAAGCACCAAAGCACTGAACCTTCTTATGGACCAATGTTCTGCTGATTCCCAAAGCATGAGCAAATTACCTATCTGACTAATCTTTATAGATTTTAAATTGTGCCTTTTGACTCAAATTTTCAATGTTTTCATTTGATGGTAAGTGCTGTCCTTCAGAAAGTTCCCTAAAGTCTGTCAGCTGGATCTGGACTGACATTTCCTATTCTCTCTGTCAGTAGAAGAAGTTGCCAACCTGGCCTCCCGCCGTCTSTCTGTGAGTCCCTCCTGCACCTCCAGTACATCTCACAGGAATTACTCTTTCCGCCGTGGCTCTGTGTGGTCAGTACGCTCTGCAGTCAGTGCAGAAGGTGGGTTGACTTCACTTTGGAGTATTGTGTCCTAGGATTTCAAATACTGAAAGCCTTTCTTGTTGACCAATAATCTGTGGCATTTCCTTTTGTCACATATATTCCCTACTTTGAGCCATTTTATAATAAATTGCTACTTTGCATTATTTTATTTACCCTTGTTAGCACARTACTTCCCCTTGCTTCTCATGTTCTATCTGAAGAATAGTGCTGCAGAGAGCAGTCTAGTTGAAAACTTGTAATGAAAATCGATCTTGTCAAAAAGAACTAGATTGCCTGCAAGAAAAGTAATGTGAATTGAAAAATTACATATTTAGAGTGAAAATTCTTGATTGAGAAATTGTCTGGAGACTCAATTTCTTCATGGAGATAGCGGTAAACCTGTCATGCTTGCACGGTAATCAGTGTTTTGATCTTTGTGTGTTGAGCCACTCACATAAATGTTTATCTAGCTTATTACCTGTTAAATGTTTATCTTTGCTGCTACCTGCCTGGATAACAGCACAGCATATCCCTAACTCTCCTTCTCTTGCTGCTGCTCCAGAYGAAGAACACACTACTGAGCACACTCCAAACCATCACGTGCCTCAGCCCCCTCAGGCTGTGTTTCCAGCATGCATTTGTGCAGCAGTSCTCCCCATTGTTCATTTGATGGAAGATGGAGAAGTCCGGGAGGATGGAGTAGCTGGTATTTACCTTGATTAAACTTCAAAGTATTCTTGCTCAAGGATGGCAGAGCCGGTTTCAAAACTATTTTAATGCTGATTTGCAATAAATATGTGTCTTTGTAAGGGTTTTCAATTTTTTTTGTCTGTAATTTGTGTTTGGCTTTGAGGGGGTTTTGCCATTTCAGGACCCTAAAAAAGCCCCCCATTCAAAATAAATATTGAGAAGCTGAGAAGGGTCTAGTGGGGGGATACCAAGATGGTTAAGAGGCCTAGCAGAAGTGTTCTGTGAGGAGTTATTGTAGAAGCTGGGCTTGATTGGTGTGACAAATGAAATAAACAGAAGAATACTGACTGGGAGGTTAGATCTTGGCAAGTTCAAGTTAAAAATTGGGAAGGAAGTTCACAACCAGGAACATAATTTCTGTTGGTTCTCCATGCACAGGGGTTATTGAGCCCTGGCTAGTCAAAGCTATGGTTGACATACCTGGTATAGGCGACAGTCCTGCACCAAGCGGGTCTTCCACTGAAAACCTCCAAAGACCTATTCCCACTCACATTTCTTTGTTCCTATGGCAAGCAGAAAGCCACCCATACACAGCTTGARTATTTTGRTTATRATCTGTGATRTCTTTTAAATTAGTAATATATTTTCTCATATGTGTTTCTCAAAGATGTTAACACATAATAGAAAGTTGCTCTTCCTTCATTTCTCATCACTCATCATGTCAGCTAGCTGGGCATTTAACTTCCTGTTATATTTTGTATTCAGTTTTGGGTGGATGTACTCAGCCCCTTAAACAATGTATGTGTCATTTTGTGATCAAGAGCTGAGTRGTGAAAACACAATAATGAATGATTTTTGGTTATTGTTAACATTCAGAAGATTACAATTATTTACACTTCAGGGAGTTGATCATCAACACCATTCTGTGCTATCTGACAATATTCATTAATACCAGATAAAATCACTCCATGAATCACCATGAAATTAAACGTATGTGCATGAACACAAAATACATGAATTTATATCTTTCAGTTGCTGGATTTAGTCCAGCTGGAGTTAAGAATCCAAATAGTTGTTTTTTTATTATTCCTTAACTACGGTGGTGAAGCGCTTCCTGTCACATCACCAGTAGTTAGGGAAAGTTAAAATATTAGACCTGTGATAATCATTACTGAGATTACTGCACTGATAACCAGGAATCCTAGTGCAGCAATTGTGTGTTTCAGTGCAAAACATGCCAGAGGAAGGAAGAAGATCAGGAATGTTTGTGTCTAAGTGTACCAGTTCAGGGTACAAAGGAGATGGTTCTGACCTGTTTCCTTTCTCTCTCACAGTGAGTGCTGTTGCTCAGCAGGTCTTGTGGAACTGCTTGATTGAAGACCCCTCTACTGTTCTGCGCCACTTTCTTGAGAAGCTGACAATCAGCAACCGACAGGTACACTCTGCCTCTCCCCACAAGCTGTGTGAGCTTCTTAGAGCAGGGAAGCACAGCTGCCAGCAGAATCCCTTCGTGGGTATCACCGGAGAAGAACACTTGCTATTATAATGCAGCATGTCATCATTTGGCTTCTTTCTTTGTCCACTGATGTAAATGTACTCAGCTGATTTATCACCTCTTAGGATCTGACTTGCTCTAAGTCAGGCTTTGAGCAGGTGCTCARTGGACATAGCACAAGCAGTATTGCTTTCACTCAGGCTACTCTGTTCAGATCCTCTCAAAGATGGGGGTGGCATTCTGTCTCCATAGCTTATTAGACTGCTTCCTGGTGCATGGGTAAACTTTATGGAAAAAAGCATACTGATTCTGACCAGGTGGAAGCCAGGGACACTCTCCATATCACTCTATCAGCTTCATATTTGGTGGACAGTATCAATAGTATCACCAGACTCATCTTTCAAGTAACTACCTAAGAACTGACTCTAAAATTAACATTAAACCTGAGCAATGTTAGGAAAGGCTGCCCTTTGCTTCATTGGGCAAGCAGGTGTCGGTGGACTCACTGTTCCTGAGACTTCTCAGACATTGTCCACAAAACATTTGTTTCAGTTTAGAAAGTCACTTCTATTTCACAGAATTGTTTGGATTGTAAGGGACCTTAAAGATCATTTAGTTCCAACCCCCCAACACAGGCAAGGATATCTTCTTGCACCAAGTTCAAGACACACCAAGTTCCTCAAACCTGCTTTGAATCTAGCCTTAAACACTTCCAGGGATGGGGCAGCGGCAACTTCTCTGGGCAGAGAGGGTTTTTTTTCAGTACCTTGGAGAAGGAAGCTGTAAGCTCTCCAGCCTCAGAGGCCTCTGAACCATGGCAGTCTGTTGTTTTACCACCAGCACAGAACACAAACAGGTCTATTTCCCTGGAAGCTATCTCCGGGTGTATGATTGGCATGGATTGTCCAGTGTATATCTGTTCCCATAACACCGGCTCGAATCTGCTATGGGCTTAGAGGACAAGGGCCATATAAGACATTTGTGATACCATTTTCTCTCTACTCAGCTCACAGTGAGATTCTGTCCCTTCTACAACACCTTCCCACCAGGAGAAATGTCTCAGTCTACATTTAAGGCAGGCAGTTTCCAAAAGAAGRGAAGTTAGGTTCTGGCCCCACCTCCCATGCCGCAGCCTCAGCCACTGAGGTGAGATGAATTGGATTTCACAGATCATCTGGGTAGTCATCATAGGGAGAATCACAGGGACATGAGGGCACAATCAGGGTGTTACAGTCAGTACAAATTGCAATAGGCAGTAYTGGCCTCTCTGAGATAAAATGAGAAAGACTGTGTAGTGTTCTCTGGGCCTTATTTTGCCATATGTGGGAGCAGTAACGAGTGTATAGTTTTACTTTGTGCACTGAGAGAGAGCTGAACAAGGGAGTGCAGAGAAATGAGAAGAAACAAAGTGAGAAAGGACAAAAGGAAGAAATCTAATCTTCATTTTTGATGGAAATAAAAAAAAAAAAACTTGCTTTTCTTCCAGGATGAGCTGATGTATATGCTAAGGAAGCTTTTGTTGAACATTGGAGACTTTCCTGCCCAGACATCTCATATCCTCTTTAATTACTTGGTGAGTAGCTTGTGGGGTCCCTGTGCAGCCCAGAATCTCTCCTCTGCCTTCATGTATGCAATAAATGCACTTAATTTTTCTTACATAGCTGATAYCTGCTCCTGGTTGTGGGTTCAAGTCACCAGACTTACACCAGCCTTTCAGTCCTTCTGGAGAGAGGAGAAGGAACCATTAGTTTTTAATTAAATCCCTAAGCAACGTGTCATGGATTTCTGAATTGGATGACAGACAATGAGTTGTAGACAAGTAGAATGGTCCCAGCACCAGAAACCTTTAATTATTTCTCTTGATTTGGCTTCAGAAAGTGTTTTGCTGTTAGGCAGTCCTCTTGGAACAAAACTAGCAACTTCATTCAAGATTCTGGAAAAGTGCTGCAGTTATGAGATTAAGCATAAAAAGTGTATGCTTCTCCAGGGAGCCTGCTGTTGTTTGGGAGTTGTCTACATGGCAGCTCTACAGAGCAGAAGCAATAGGAAGCCTCTTCCTGCAGAGGTTTTTCCTTTTACTCATCTACAGTGGTACTTAAGGTGTTATACTGCAACAGTACATTTTGCTCTCGATCTTCATGATCTCTAGAAAAAGAAAGGTTGTTCTTTCGTATGTACAATCTTTTGGGATGAAAGTTTAATGAGTTTATCCTTCTGAGTGAAGAAAGGTGGAACAATAGTCTTATTCTMTATACAATGATCTGCACAGTTAAAAGTGTGTGTACAACTTGATTTTCCTCTTACTACCTGCAGGTAGGATTGATCATGTATTTTGTACGGACTCCGTGTGAATGGGGCATGGATGCCATTTCTGCCACTCTTACATTCCTTTGGGAAGTAGTGGGTTATGTTGAAGGACTTTTCTTCAAAGATCTCAAGCAGACTATGAAGAAGGAACAATGTGAAGTGAAGCTGCTGGTGACTGCCTCAATGCCAGGTATGACAAATGAGTCTTTAAATACCTTTCACTTCAAAGTTTATAGCYCACTCTACCAAAAGGAGATCCAGTAGAACTGGATCAGAAAAAGACCTGGTACAAATGGCTGCATATTGTAAGACAGTTTTCTTTTAGTTAAGTATTCAGTCAGTAAATTCTACTGCTAATTCCTTTAGCTAATTCCTTGAGCCTCTTTAAGAGTTCCAARAGAAGAAAAACAAAAAGTGAATTAGAACAGAGCTTTGGGCCAGTTGGGCTGAGAAAGGCTGGCCAGGATCATCATTGTAAAGCTCAACCATTCAGACTGTAGCCATCATGAGTCAGAAAAGAGATTTCTTGCTGAAAAACAGATTTGACAGGGGCTGCTAAAGCCAGCTTATCCTTTAATAACAGATAAATTTCTCATTAACTGTGGACGTGTGAGACTGTGTTGGCACTACTTAATGGTTCCAGACAGGATTGAATTTTAAATATTACTCTTCCTCTGGGGATAGTCTCCTAAAATTTTGTTAATTAAAGAGGCCAGGGAGAATGCAACAACTTTTCTTCCTTTAGGCACCAAAACCCTTGTCGTGCATGGACAGAACGAGTGTGATATCCCAACACAGTTACCAGTCCACGAGGACACCCAGTTTGAGGCTCTTCTGAAGGTAAGAGTGAGTTTTTGAGCTGGACAAACTGCCGTACCTGTATGCCAAGCGATCTATTTTGCCTGATATCCTGTTCCAATGTCAGGAAGGTAATTTCTGCTGACAGGCATTTCTGTGTCTCTGTCAGGGGAGCTTGGTTGCAAGAAATGGGATCCCACATTAGAAGATTATAGAAATGTTCTGAACTTACAGAAAGCACAAACCCGAAAAAAACTCCTGCAGCTTGTTGGGTGTTTGCTGTATACTTTTGATAAATACAAAAATAATTTGATTGTTTGGTTTTATCAATACCAGAGACAACAGTGTGATCAAGATCAGATTGAAAATGATGGTTCAGTAGCCACAACGATATTGTGGAATCCGGGAGAAAAAATTCCTGGATGGTTTTAACTGACCCACATAGGAAAAATATTTGTAAAAGCCTTCAGTGTCTCTGAGCATGTTAAATTTTAATGGGAATTACATCACAGTGTTTCAAAGGGTCAGAACATCAGTATCTCTGCATATCACCTATCACTAAAGCTTGATAAATACCCAGGCCCATATGGCTCATAYAGTGAGACAAGTATGTGTGATATGAAGACATCAAAATAAGCAATATCAGTCTTCRGGACTGTGATACCAGCGTGCCTTGATTATCACAAACAAATTCAAGTACTGCATTATTAAAAACAGAAATAAAGAATTAAAGCCAGAACAGTGTCTGTTCTGTCCAGCCAGATTGAGACATGCATGTTTGTGCCTTTATAAGTTATTAGATGAACATTCTTTTYGGTGTTGTGGTATTTGTACAAGACAACTAAAAAGTAAAAGGATATTTTGATTTCTTTCTTTTCAGGAGTGTTTGGAGTTTTTTAACATACCTGAAACTCAGTCTTCTAATTATTTTTTGATGGATAAGCGCTGGAATCTCATTCATTACAACAAGGTAAGGCAAAAATCAGGCCCACATGACTTTTTTTCTTTGAGTTTTAATATTCTTCCTTTTTAAACATCAGGGTTTTCTAAAGAAGAAAAAGCAGCCTATAGGTAGAGTTCTGTCCAGTGAGCACCACATCTTTATTTGTGTGTGGTGAAAGATCAGAATTTGACAGAAGAGGAAAGAGGCAGAAGAGGAGCCCCTTGCTCTTAAGACTAGAATGTCTAGTTTTCTTAGAAAAGATCAAATATTTCTTCTATTTATACTCTTTCACAATGTCTAACACTGTCKGAAAGCTCCTGTCCTTCAGAAAGTGCTAAAGGGCCTTTTACTCCTTTCTGTTGAGTGATGCCATAGTATTTATATTTGTTTAAAATGCACTTTTTCCTCTCCTGGCAGACCTATGTCCGTGATATTTATCCTTTCCGGAGGTCGGTTTCTCCCCAGCTCAACCTGGTGCAGATGCATCCAGAAAAGGGTCAAGAGCTCATTCAGAAACAGGTACCTTGCTGTCACCAAACACCTCTGACCAGAAACAAACCCTGAAAATAAGTCTTTCTTTTGCATTTAAAGGCTTTCCCTCATGTTGTATGCAGATCAAGATCATTGCTGGAGAAATAGCAATCAGCATGAACTCTGGCTTAGGGCCATATGTAGTGTACAGTACAGCAAGAAGAGTAAACATTGGGATGTGGATTCCCCCTTTAACTGGATCATTTTGCATTCTCTTATACATGGCCAGAAAAGTTTYAGTTGCCTCAGCTTCAGAAATTGGGTATTCTTTTCTTTAACGTGGCTTCAGTCTTGGGGAACAAGAATGATCTAYTCTACTTTTCTCTGTAGGGAAAGTTACCTGCCTCTCTTCCTTGTCCTGCTCTCAGATGCCAGACTTTATCACAGTTACTYCAGAGGTGCAGCAACTATAAAGCTGCATAAGAACTAGTAGCAGCTAAAATAATGGAAAATATGGTTTATACCATCTCATATGTGTATGGTACAGAATAGGGCAATGTTTTTTGTGTTGCGTCTTCGAGTAGAAAGTCAATAAAAATCTGAAAATACCTGGGACCAACTTGGTTGCTTTTCTCACAGAAATTACTCTCACTCTGGTTCCAGGAGATTTCCCACAAATAAATGAGTTTGATACATGCTACATGATCTCAAAAGACTTAAATGGGCTGTCCATTTTCTGTAAGGTMTTATTTGGCTTTCCATGTTTTTATATTTAGAATGCTTAGAGCCCAAAATATTTCTTAGGTAAATCTTGTATCACAGATTTGCCAGCCTCTCTGTAGTCATGCAAGATGTTGCTGTAAAACACCCACCTTCAACAAWAAAAGCAGCACTACAGTGACTATCCACAGAGCAACAATGCCTGGAAAAGTACTTTTTTTTTTGTTGACCGATTGAACATCCAATTCTGAGTGCACTTCAAGCAAAGTCACAGCAAGGCAGGACATGTGAAATTGGGCTTTGTCACATTTTAAACCACAKGCCTCAAGTTTTGGCTTCATCCCACTACCTAAGAGCTGTTTCCAAAGATAGTTGCTTCTATACTAAACATCACTCTGCCTCATGGTTACTTTTAGCATCAAAATAGAAATAGAGTATCTAGCCTGGCTGGTCCTGCCACTCACAAGTTCAAAGGAGGTTGGTAGAATGGACTCGGTTTCCCCATTAGTGTAAAGTGAATGATCTGAAGGTAAGTGATAGTCTGAAATCTAGTGAGACTTTGCAGTAACACCGAATCTGGCCTGTTTGTTCTACTGTTTGCTTCTCTTTGGCATTGTACATATTTCTATTTTACATATTCTTTCTRTGGCCAGATGTCAGCCAGCCTCATCGCAGAAGGTAGATAGCAATTCCACCTTCATGTTCACTGTAGGTTAAGACCTTGCAGACAGCTACTACAACCACATGGCTTTCAGTTTGGAGTTGGTTTTTCTGACCACCTTGAGACTTACATTAACCTACAGAAGAAGACATGGCAAAGTTCAAAATTGTTTAACAATCATTTAGGGTCCTCCAGAAGACTGAAATAGAAAATGTTGTTAGAACCATTTTTACAAACATGATCCATCTTTGCAGAGCTGGGCTGGAGGACAGTGGTCACACAAATTCCAGCCAGAAGGTGGAACACTAGCCTTTGTGAATTTCTTCATGGTCCTCTGAGCTGTGAGTGCAGCATCTTTCCGATCAGAGAAGCCACAGAAGTGAAGTGGGTGAAGTGCATATACTTTGTAAAGAGCTTTTGGATTAGACTGATAGAGATTTTTGTAATTTTSTCTGCCAGGTATTCACCCGCAAGCTGGAGGAGGTGGGGCGGGTGCTGTTCCTGATCTCACTGACACAGAAGATCCCTCCAGCCCACAAGCAGTCCCATGTGTCCATGCTCCAGGAGGACCTCCTCCGCCTGCCTTCSTTCCCCCGAAGTGCCATTGATGCTGAGTTCTCACTCTTCAGTGACCCCCAAGGTATGATCCTCTGGCAGCTTTCTTGGAGGGCTCTTCAAGGCCTGGAAGGTTTTGGTGAGGTGCTTTATTGCCTTAGAAACACAGGCTTGTAGCTTTTTTTGGAAACAGATGAATCTCTTCGTATGGAAACTGATACGGAGCTGTTGGTTTGTAAACAGAGCAGCAGAAAGGGCTTTACTGTTAGAGTTCTCCAGACACGGCTATTTTCTTTGGATCCAAATGAGAATAAGTTTTAATTGAGTATTAAAATTGTGCATAAGACTACCTGAAAAGGATTTTTTGTATACTCCTTTGCCATCTACTCCGAGGAAGCAATGGACATCCAATGAACACTGGGCAAATTCTGCAGCAGGGATATGGAAACACTTCACATAGAAACTTTGCTCTGAAAGTAAAGTAGGGCATCCAGCCTGATGTGGGGGTTAAAYAGGCCATTCTTGCAGCGTGTTAAGCATTGGCAAGTTCTGTAACAGCCCAAAAGGCTGAATTTCAGAAGCACTATTGTAAGTCTGCATGAAACTCCTGTAATGTGTGGGACACCTGGAGCATAACATTTGAGCAAAAATCTGCACAGCCATTCAGATTGTGTGAGGCAGATGATGCATGTAAAAGCTCAGATCTTCCTGTTTTTAAGAGAAGAGTGTCCAACCAGCAGATCAATTAGCTGTATTACATTTATCATTCTTCATCTTTATATTGATGCTTTTGGTCAAGGTTTGCTCAAGCCCTTACAGAAACACAGGATGGGTGAAAGMATTTTTTAAACGGCTTAAGCAAGGTCAGTGTTGTGGGATGGTTCTGTGCAGAGAGGTGGAGCTGGCTGTGGTGGACAGAGTTAGCTGATGTTGTCTCTTCTGCCCCGCAGCTGGGAAGGAGCTCTTTGGCCTCGATACTCTTCAGAAGAGCTTGTGGATTAAGCTGCTGGAAGAGATGTTCCTTGGCATGCCCAGCGAGTTCCCGTGGGGGGATGAGATCATGCTGTTCTTGAACGTGTTCAACGGAGCCCTGATCCTGCACCCTGAGGACAGTGCCCTGCTCAGGCAGTATGCTGCCACAGTCATCAACACGGCCGTGCACTTCAACCACCTCTTCTCCCTCAGCGGGTACCAGTGGGTGCTGCCCAGCATGCTGCAGGTGAGMATGGCCAACAGCAATCCCAGGGAACGCTGCCGAAAGAACACCCTGTCCTGCCTCCACAAAGCAGCTCTAGGTCAGACCTTAGGAAGAAATTCTGCCCTGTGAGGRTGGGGAGGCCCTCACACAGATTGCCAAGGGAAGCTGTGGTTGTCCCATCCCTGTGACTGTTCAAGGCCAGGTTGGATGGGGTTTGGAGCAACCTGGGGTGGGTGGAAGGTGTCCCTGCCCATGGCAGGGGTGGAACGGGATGGGCTTTAAGGTTCCTTCCAACTCAAACTATCCTATGAATCCATGATGGGATTGACACTCAATGGGGAAACTTCAGTGTGCTGAGTCCTTATGAGAGGTTTTCAGGTGCTGCAAGAAGGCAACAGTGGGATGGCCCAAGTTAGCTTTCTGTTTCCTCCTTAAGTAAATTACTACATTTTACAAATCCCACATCTTTGGCAAAATACTGTCTCCATGGTTCAAATGCCAGCCCTGAAGGAAGTGTCACTCTAAAAATGTTAAAATGCTTTGTAAGTAGGTGGAAGTGTCAGTGTGGTGGAGGACAGAGTAGGAGCTCAAATTATCATGACAAAMCAGAGATGCAGTCTGAAAAGAAGGAAAAAAACAAGCCAATACACCATGCTGGTCAGCTTAGGCATTGTTTTTGAATAATCAGCCACAGAAATAAGGGAGACAAAGTAACTGTTTTAGTGGCACCTCTGCAGGACAGAATGCTGGAGTTGTTATCGATATGAAGCCAAACGTGAATCCTTCTGCTGAAGCTTAAAATAAACAAATATCTTAAATGCCAGTCTGGGGTGACTATGCAGATTTGTATCTTGTGAAAAACATGGGATAATTCTGCTTTCATCAGCAGGACTCCTGACTGGAAGTACTGGCTCTATCCAGCTCAAAGAGAGCATTAGTTAATTCGAGAGACAGCAGGAGAACAGGGACATTGATCTAGAAAACATGTCTTGAAGATTTTATTAACTGAAAATGATAAAGATTCAGGAAGAAAGCACTAACTGGTTTCTAACAAGTAAAGTGCTTCTAGGAAGGAGAGGGAAGGAATCCACCCCAATATGTAGGACAAAAAATACTTGCCTAAAAATTGTGAAGAAGTTTCAAGCATGAAAAGCAAACTTTTTTCCTAAGGATATTTTGTCCCTGAAATGCATTGCCAGAGAGGGTGGTTCTGTCTCCATCTTTAAAAGTGTGTTAGACAAACCTACCAGGAATGACTGTGCTGTATTGATTGAACCTGTGTTGAGGAGATGAGGAGCTCTTTCACTGGAGCAGTGCCTCCATGTCCTTTTCCCTGTACTCAGGTGTACTCTGACTATGAAAGCAACCCCCAGCTGCGCCAGGCMATCGAGTTTGCGTGCCGCCAGTTCTACGTCCTGCACCGCAAGCCCTTCATCCTGCAGCTCTTTGCCAGTGTGGCCCCTCTGCTGGAGTTCCCTGTGAGTAAGAGTCATTCCTGTGTCTTGGGAGCTGCCTGTGTGTACAGAGATCACCAGAAAAGAACGCTCTGTGCTGCACAGAACCAGGTCTTGATTTATTTCTGCACATTTCTGTACTTCATGTGATGGAGCAGAGTGCTGAGATWGTGAGCTGCTGGTGTCCAGGCCACTAAATGTGGTCTCATTTTAGATTTCTGTGTACACATATATCATAAAAGGACAATAATGATTTGTAACTCTTTAAATGCAAATCCATTCTGATAATCTAGCAATAAGAATTAAAAGCTTAATGCCAAGTTTTGGCCCATGTGAAGTCTATGAATAGATTAGTCATGAAATATTCATTAATTACCTTTTAATATTTTATTGAGTTCAGGCAAGTTAATGGAATCTTAATTTGRTGTGGGGCTGCCCACTCTAACTGCACATACACTGTCAGCACACCTATCTTTATGCTTCACAGGGCAGCAAAGATGTGTGTGCAATTTTCAGGTTGTGCTTCTCTTAAACATAGGTATCTTGATGCACTGTGAAGCCTTTCTGGCCTTAGAGTTAAAGCTTTGTAATAAAGTGAGATTTTATGACTTTGTTAAATTCTATAAAAAGTTACATGTATGTGGACCCTTTGTTGAAAACAAAGGTTAACCACACCCCCAGATAAAGATTCCTGGGGTGACATGAATGTCTCTTGTCTCATGTTCTCTTGAAGGATGCTGCAAACAATGGAACCAGCAAAGGAGTGTCAGCTCAGTGCTTGTTTGACCTGCTGCAGTCTTTGGAGGGAGATACTCCAGATATTTTGGATATCTTAGAGCTGGTGAAAGCAGAAAAGCCTCTCAAGTCATTAGGTAATACCAAAGCACTCTTTATTTGGTAATTCTGGTGTACTGTTTATTGATTCAACAAACATTTGATGCAGCAGGATTTTTCCAGAGCCCTTCTCTTCTTCGGGAATATCCTATCTGTTTCTTCTGCCTCATGAYGCTTTTATGATTGGCTTTATCACCATCATCCTTTTGATATTTTCTGTAGGTGGAAAAATATTAATTAATTTTATTCCAAAGCTACTTTTTGTGCTTTAAACCTCCTAGTCTGAGACTGGCCGCTGATATTTTGAATTTTATCATGCGTGGGTGAAGAATTAACGTGCCTAACAAACTGTATCATGCTGACAAGATCAGTGTCATCCTCTGCTCTGCTCYGTGTGGGTCACAAACAAAAGCATCTTCTCTTGTGGGCAGACTGTGACGTGTAGAAAATGATGGATACAATTCAGACATTCAGCAGTGCTGAGCTCCTGCAGGGATGTTGATTTATTGTAAAGTACTATACGGCTGTATGGTGTATCCATGGATGGCTCCATGTTTCTTGATAGTTATCCATGCAGTGCAGCATTTAAGAATTCGGCTGCTTTGTGATTTGCTGGGAAGTAATTTTTGCTGATTTTTATAAGGATCTTCAAGTTGGTTTGTAGTATGTTACTTAAATGCTTTTGAAACATTTTTTTCTGAAAACACTAGCAAAACAGACTCAATTTTGTACTGTCACCCATGTGGCTATGAGTATAGAAGGAGTTTGGTTTTTTGAGAAGTAAAACTAACTTTTGCCATCACTGGTGCATCAGCATTGTTTTTTTTTTGTGTGGTTGGAACATCTAAGAAAAATCAGAGGGAGCATAAAAGTTAATGTTAATTTGACTTTTCTTTGCCTTTTATGAGCAAAAMAGTAAAATAAACAATAGGAGAGGGGGGAAAGGAAGAAGTGTGACRGCTCCTTTCATATTCAGTATGATTTTGTGATTGTTTTCTCATATTGCTTTTCTCCCTCAGACTTCTGCTATGGGAATGAAGACCTGACCTTTTCCATCAGTGAAGCCATCAAGCTGTGTGTGACAGTGGTGGCTTATGCTCCTGAGTCATTCAGAAGGTGATAATCTGTTGTTTTAGTTTGTGCAGACTCAGAAAAGGCATCAAAGCAGCATGTGGTGTGTGAAAGCAAGGTTGGCAGCTGGAGGCAGTGGATGTAGTGATGCATTCCAAGCATGGGGCTTCTCTGGGGCCAAGCCTCTGCCTGTTACCCCTTCCTAAAATCCTAAACAGGATAGCATCCAGAACAGCAACATGTAAGCTGGTTATYGGGGGGATCACACCATGTCCTGCCATTTTCTGCCATCAGAGGAGATAYGGAAAGACCAGGAAGATACAGAGAGAGGGGAGATAAACTTACTCAAGTACAAAGGTTAATTTGCAAGAAGGAATCAAAGAATAAGAGTCTTTGGAAGGGAAAGTGCTTGTTAGCAAATGGATGACATATTTGGAAAATGACATATCATTATTGTTTCATGCATCATCTAGTTTCCCCCTKAAGTTCCTAATCCTATTGTTTCTTTGACTCAAGACTTCTAGTGAGAAGCAATGAAAACACAAACCTAGTGAAGATCCAGGGTCTTCAGATAGAAACGTAAACCTYTACCTAATGTGAGTCCAGGAATGACAAAGCAAAACAAACCAAGCAATGTTATCTTTCCAGCCTCCAGATGCTGATGGTCTTGGAAGCACTGGTTCCCTGTTACTTGCAAAAACTGAAGCGACAGACCTCTCAAGCAGAGACTGGAACAGCAGCTCGTGAGGAGATTGCTTCCATGGGTGCCCTTGCCACCTCTTTGCAGGCTCTTCTGTACAGTGTAGAAGTTCTCACCAGGTAACACACCAAGGCTGAGCTTTGTTTGGCTGTCCATGCAGGGAGAGGGAATGCACAGGAGGCCGCAACATGCAGCTTAGCTTGAGCAATGGTTGAGTTTTAGGCTTGGTAAAGTTAGTGCCAGATTTCAGAGCACAAGCAGAATTTCTGTGTGCTTGTTAGATTTGTGTTGTGTGCTGTTCACCTTCTCTTTGCCAGGCCTATGACAGCCCCGCAGATGAGTCGATGTGACCAAGGTCATAAAGGGACCACAACTGCAAACCACACCATGTCAGCAGGTGTGAACACCAGGTGAGGCTTTTCCTTCTTTCTCATTTTTCAGAAACTTCTTTCTTTTTTTTTTTTCTTTCTTTTTTTTTTTTTTTTTCAGTAAGATAACGTGTCACTGCTCAGAGTTCTTTGGCCTCAGACAGCTGAGGGAGTGCTTTAGGTACTGTGGGAGAAAACAGTCACATAAAAAGCACACATACCACGGGACTCCATTTCTGATGGTAACCAAAATACCCAAGACTAGGATTTCTAGTGTAAAATGATGTAATTAAATAGAAGACCAGGATATCAAATTGGAGGACACACATCCTAAATTACTTATTCCCCTTTTTCCCCTTCGGAAGCATGATGCTGAAGCTCACTCATTCTCTGCTTTGCTTCCTGCTGAGTCCACTGTCAAAGTGGGTAGAGCATGTTTGGACAGCAGAAAGGTCAGATCTGGCCTTGTTCTAAGGGGCTGAAGAGCATTACAAATGCAATTTGCCTGGAAGAATGACTGAAAATATTTTTGTCCTTAACAAATCTGAAAATCCAACAAAACCCAAAAGAACTTTCACACAGAAGAAGGAAACAGAGAAGGACATGGCACCAGTGAACTGTAATTCTGCTCCTCAGCCATAGTGGCCATTCAAGTTAGGCTGTTGCAAATAAGGCAAGGCCACTGYGAATTTACTTGGTCACAGAAGTGCTTAAAAAATCTTGTTATAAAATCCACCCACAGGTATTTGGGATTGTGACGTTTCTGTTTTTTGGTGGGTTTGTTTTTTGTCTTTTTTTTTCAGTAGGCAGCCTTGCCTTCTCCTGGCCAGACTATGCCTTATCTAAAAATCTGAATGTTTGCGCCGACCTGGAAAAGGAATTCTACCCTAGCAAAAGCTGGGGTAGCTGTTTTTCCAGACTTTTCCAAGCTATTACCTTCTTTCTTTTTTCTTATTCAAGGGAGCTAGAAATCACCCTCTGCATGGATCATCAAAGGGTGATTATGTCAGTTAATAAATGTGTAGTGTACACATCTTGGTTGATAATTCCTGGAATCAGTCTGTTATTCTTTAAAACCTAGTCAGTCATTGCTGAAACATGGCTTTGACTTTAAACCCATGATCTGAGAAGTAAACTCCATATATGATAAACCAGCAGATAAACCAGACATGCTCAAGTTCTGAAGTGGACATGTTCCATTTACTTCCACTACAAGATTGCTCAGTCTGAGGAAAATAAGGTGTAATGGAAAGTAGTGCTTTATTGTCTGCTGATTTTGGAGAGCAGTTAATATGTATCTGCTGACAGACAATGTAGAGATTCCCAATGCAGTGTGACTCAGGCAYCTTGATTTACACTTCCAGATTTTTCTGATTATCAAACCTTCAGTCTCTGATCCAAAATATTTTTACACTGCTCCAGGGTTCCTGCACTTGTTTCTTCTGTTGAGTTATCATTGCAACAGACATCTGCTAGCAACAGCAGGAGTCTCATGATGTTAGAATGATTCCTGTTCCAGCCTTGGACATGTTAGCCAAGTGGCACAGGGTCGTCTATTAATGCTTTCTTAACAAGAAGTAACAAGAGAAAATGACAATAAAACAAAGAAAACCCCACACTGAGGCATTCTTTCCACTTGGCGAGCTCTGGCTTAATGGAATAGACTGAGCACTRGTGTGAAAATCAGTAAAAGAAATCATTCAAAAGAGAGCTATGGTTTTTATGCCTAATTTTTTCCTTCATAACAAGGTCAATAACTCTAGGAGAATGTTTTTTGATGGAAGTTGGGAGGTAAAGGTTGTTCAGTGTGGCATATGTGTAGACCAAGATCCCATCCTGCCCATGATGAGCAAAGCTCTGGGCTAGARCACTCTCACTTGCTTTTAGAAAGGCAARTTKARGCACTACTAAGTTGCTCTTTACACYCTTACTGTTTCTGTTTTCCCAGGTACCCAGAACAGGGAGCCAAACTACATTTTATCAGGTACAGTAAATTTTTTTCCCACTCTCCCCTGATGTGTGATGAACCATTCCCACTCACTGTTTCTTGTTCAGAGGAAAGTAGCAAAGTATAGTTCATATAGAAAATATTTACATTTTTAGCAAGACTTTGCAGATTATAACTTCCCTTTTTTGTTTCTTAACTGAAGATGCAATTACCTTTCTTTCAGTTGCAGAGGAAAGCATTTGTTGCCAAAAAAAAAAAAAGATGAAAGGTGGTAATAACCTATCCTTGATGATCCACTGCATGTAACATTCCCTACTGTGTCTCACTTTGTATCCTCCAGGGAGAACCTTCATTTATTGGAGGAGGGCCAGGGTCTTCCCCGAGAGGAGCTAGATGAACGGATTGCCAGAGAGGAGTTCAGGAGACCACGGGAGTCATTGCTGAATATATGCACAGAGTTTTACAAACACTGTGGTCCGAGACTGAAGATTTTGCAGAAYCTGGCTGGTGAGCCCCGAGTGACTTCTCTGGAGCTGCTGGATGTGAAGTCCCACATGAGGTATTCCACAGGCATTCTGCTTTTACTTGTTCATTTCTGGGGGATTTTAGCTCTTTCATTTTCACAATAGCAGATGCAATCACTTTTTAGTGGTGTAGTTGCATGCTTTTGTCTTTGTCAGGGTTGTGACCTGAAATGTTCAATCATAGTTATCTCTAAATAAAAGCAAATATATCTTGATCCTTACATAAATTCGTAAGTGACATGACTGACAGGATTTTACCACTACAGGAAAAACTCAGTTCTACACAGAGACAAGATTTATCAGAATGTGATGTGACAGTCATGGTCTTGGGAAGCTTGTTGCCTAAAATCAGGCTCACCTGAAACAGAGGCCAGATAAACTTTTTTGCATTTTTTTTTTAAATGTAACACCTGAAAATTGCACAGTRAGATTTCCTAAAGTGATAACACTGAAAAACAAACACAGAACCAAACCAAAACACTTATTAATTGACAAATAGGTGATGTCAGTTCTGTGCTCCACAGGCATTTGCAATGTTGTAGTCTTACTGCCAGTTCAGGTACTTTGGTTTTAGCTACACAAATCTGTGATTCCTGATGTTCCCTTGGTGCATTTAATGACAATGTAAAAGTAATATTAAGACCGTTCAACTGTTCTTTAATATAAACAGTGATTCCAGCAAAACAGTCTTAGCAGACCAGAACTGTGTTATGAGATCTAAGAGATTAAATATAGCACATTTGACTTTTGCATCATTTTTCTTTTTACCAGGCTCCTGAATWTTTATATGCTAGTCCATTGGTGTGTGTGGAAAAATGCAAGTTGTATTTATTTTTCTCTTAATGACCCATGTTTTCAGATTGGCAGAAATTGCCCATTCCCTGCTGAAACTGGCTCCTTATGACACGCAGACGATGGAGAGCCGAGGGCTGCGGCGCTACATCATGGAGATGCTGCCCATCACTGACTGGACAGCTGAGGCGGTGAGACCTGCCCTGATCCTCATCTTAAAGAGATTGGATCGTATGTTCAATAAAATTCACAAGATGCCTACTCTGAGGTGAGCAGGAAAACTCTGGAAACCCTCTGGGGTCCGTTTCTGATGTTGCAAGCCTTGAAGTGTGGGTATGTCCTCTACCTCAAGCTGTCGTGTTGCAGTGAGCCTTTACAACACACAAGAAAATTACAGTTGTTTTTATCTATGTAAGCRTGTGTTTACCTGGATGTTTTCATTGTGTCTTCTGGTAGCAGCACAGTTGTTAAGAACTACAGCAGGAACTTCCAGAAATCTCATTTTTCTTTCCCCAAAAGAAATCTTCAGATTTTTTCCATCTCCTTGCCCTCTTAATTAACTTTAGTTGCAAGCTTTTTAATGGAAAGTTAAACTGTAGTAACAGTATTTCTAACATGGTGACACTGTTACATTCTCTGTAAAGACAAACATAGGAGCTATGCAGAAGGTTCTGAGGGCTCTCTTGTAAAATGCACAGAACTTCATTTACTGCTTCAGATCCACGCCTAATGGAAGCCTGGTTTATCACACAGTGGCATTATGTACACGTATAGGCTTTGRTAATTTCAAGAAGTATTGACTATGRGGCATTCCTACCTTGTAGGCAGTGGTACCAATCCAGTCTGGGTAGTATAAAATCTTTCAGACCTGTGAATTTTCCAGTGATTTGATTAAAAAGAGTCAATGGTGTTGGTCACCCTCATGGGCATATATCCTCAATTGCTTGAATAAGTCACTTCATTGGCAGTCTCAACTGAGAAGCCAAAACATATAAGAGGACATCAGAATTATGCCCCAGTAGGAATCAAAGATGGACCAAATCATAGGGAGGTGACCTCTTCTTTCTGGCATCACTATTCATCACTTTCCTTTGGCTAACCTGCTCCAAGAAATTCCACCCTTGCAGCGAATTCAGAGGCAGAAATTTTGAAGCTTCTCCCTCCTGGTGTTTTGATTCTTTGCTATGTCTTGTCTGCTTCACATTCATTCTTTCTTTCTCCATTCATACTTTCAACTGTCTCGAAGGCGGGTGGAGGTTTCTGCTCCTGAAGATCTTTCTTCCTTATGTAAGCTGAATGGACATCCATAAATTGAAATTCCTTTCATATTCTCTCTCTATGCCTGTCCTTCTGCTTCACTTAAATTACTCTTTTGACCACAAAGGGACAGCAAAGCCACAGGGCCAAATGCAGCAACTACATTTAAGCATCACTAAGCCAAGCAGTCTCTTTGCGATGGGTCTGGGTGCCAGACCCCAGGAGCCRTCCCTCGGGGTACTCACAATCACAATCTTATACACTGCCTTCTGTGGGCATCCCACTCCAAACCCAGTGTCTTCTGGCATCAGTAAATGTGTAAGAAGTAGTACAAGAAAAAGCGACTGTTGTGGAGATTTAGTTGCAGTGGATGCTCAAAAGTGAAATGTATGTTGGTCTGCAGAAGAACTTGCTTAGTGAATGCTTCATTCCCCCTGTGGCTCTGAGAAGTAGCTTGGCTGGGATATTGTTTAAGGTTTGAGCTAACAGGTTATGCCAGCCTTGTCTTTCTGTCCCACTAAGTGCAGAGTCCACTGTTGGTTTGTGAACTACARTGACTGCATAGAGTCATTGAGATGRAGGGGGTGAGCCACTTTGAWGTTACCTGTGCTGTGTCTGTGTATGATTATGATGGGCAATTTTTTCAATATGTGGCACAAGTCCTAAATGTTTTTTCGGTGAAAAAAGCAAAGTGTCAGGGAAGAAAGGATCCTGGAATTAAGGACTTTGGTGCTGATAAGGAGTGAATCATTCCTCGGGCACAAGGTGAAGAAGATGAAGATTGTRCAACTGGGCCAGTTTACATTTAGGGCAATCTGTGTCTGCGAGTGATGCTGACAGAGCAGCCAGACGACAGAGGAGTTCACAGAGAGTGATCGGCCTGATGGTGTTTGTTCATGTCAATGGAATTGTCCACAAGCCACATGAGATGGAGGATGTAGTCTTCATTGGGAGAGTGGCACAGCAGACCTTTCTCCACGCAGTCACCTGAGGCCAYTGTGTGGGCTTCCTTTCATTCCTCGTCTGTCGGAAGGAAGCGTCGGGGAGTGAAATGCAGCTCCTCCACCGCTGTTGTGAATGGTTTCTGTCACTAGCACATCCCCCTCTGCCGTGTTTCTCGTCTCTCAAGCACCCCGTGTGCTCTGTGGCTCTCTGCCTTCCTGAAGCATAGTGTGGGTAAAGCCTTCTCTCTGTCGCACACTCTGTGCTACCCTGGACGTCGCTGCTGTCTGACACATCCTCTCTGTGGGCGTCATTGTGTGTCAGTTGCCATGTTTGGGCATCTGGTGGGGGGCAGGAGCCCGCAGCTAACGGCACCTACTGTTGTATTGCAGGCGCCAGGTTGAGTGGGAGCCTGCCAGCAGTTTGATTGAAGGGGTTTGTTTGACACTTCAGAGGCAGCCTATCATATCCTTCCTGCCTCACCTTAGGTCTCTGATCAATGTCTGTGTCAATCTGGTGAGTAGCTGAGCGGCAACCCCGTGAACCTTTGCCAAACTTTCCCCTGCTGTTGACTTCTCTGGACTGAAGATGACAGTTTATTCCCRTTCCTGTCATTTTACCCATCCCCTTTACCCCTTACAAGGGGACTTCACAAGTGATACTAGGGATAGGAAGGTTCATTTTTGAAGTGGTGCATGGGGAGATGCAGTGATCGATAGCAGCGGTCAAGTGATTTATTTTCCATTACTTCCCACGCACCACTTTGAAGATCCACCTTTGCCAGACTGAGCTGAGAGTTGAGGGCTGCAAGTTGGAGAGTGGGGTGGTGGAGACTGCACACACCTGGTAGAGACAGGGAAGAGGGTGGCACTGGGGATACCTACCGTCCCCAGTGGGGAAGGGCCCTGATGGCTCTGTCAGAGGCCATCGGGTGCTGGATAGTTAGACAGATTTACAAGGTGAATTGACTCCACTGTTTGTAATGTCCCTGGCTTGATCTAGTACAAGTTTGCACTGTGCAATGTTCAGATCCCTCTCTTTGTAACGTTTATGCTCCTGTGTTACAATGGACATGAGACTCTGCCTGGTCATTCAGTGATAGATCGGTGTTTCTGCAGCTGTTACACTGGGGCAAACCTCCACTTTGATACAGCATAACTCCAGCCATTTGGGCAAACATACAGGCTTTGATTCCATGTGGAAAAAACATAAATAAAGATGGAAAGGTTGCACTCATTTTTATTGTTACTGGGTTTTATAACATTTTCTCCTTAGAGCATAAATGTTGTAACCTTATCTAGCAGCTGTAAAAAACATTACAGGGTTCATCAGTGCTCTGAGGGGCTTTAAGAGCAATGATCATTAGCAAAAATGCAATAGCTGGTTTGCCAGGTTCCTGTCCTTCAAGTCCATTCAGTACTCATTGCTGCAAGGGCAGGGAAGCTCCAACCTGTCAGAGTCCATGAGACTTCTTTCTCATTAAGGCAGAGGTAGTAGCTGCCTGGTGCTAATACAAATCTGGGCCCTCAGACTACTTAGAGTTGTCACATGGGGAGGTTGCTACACAGATCAAATAGGAATTTGGAAAGGAGTTTGGCAAGCAAGCATGGCAGAGTGAATGATCCCAGCAAGCTCTCCAAGGGGCCCACAAAAAGATTTAGCCCATGCTCTAAATATAGCAGAATGGTCTACAATGCTGAAGTGCAGTCATCACACTTACATTCCACTAGCTGGTAATACCAGGGAGAGCTGCCAGGAGCATGTGCTCTTACTGCTGTAAGTATTTTACTTTTAGCTGTCAGAACTGTGTGCGCTAGGAGCTGTGGGAGCACTGACTGCATGGTGTGTCATGTGTAGACCACGAAGCCCAAAATCAATCAGCCAGGAAGGTGGGGAAGTATTTCAGTAATAATCCATGGTGATGTAAAGAAGGAGCTCTGACTCTTCCCCTTCTAAATTGTCCATTGGTTTTGTGGCAAGAATATGGTTACTACCTTTTTCCCCAGGCTGAATTTGGAAAAGAAGCATTCATTCATCTCCCGTAAGCTTAGATATCTGTCAGGTAGCTTCTCCCTGTTCCCTTCATCTGGATGTGTCTGATCATGGCGAGAAACAGGCATATGCAGGCCTGTGATTTAATTCCCCCTGAGGGACATATCCCAAGCAGTACAAATATCTCTCCCCTAAATGTGCTTTTTCCTTGTGGTGATTATTCAAGGGGGTCCAGACAACCAGGTCACATGCAGGTGACTCTGGTTCAGATATCTGGGGTCAGTCAGTGGAGATGAATCATGCTTAGAGTCCCCCAAAACAGACTGTTTGAGAGGAATCTGAACATTGCACAAAACCCAGCTTGGGTCAGACTTAGGACATTATTTTTTCAAGCAAGGGAAGGGAAAAGACATGCAGTTTCAATGCAGACTTTTTGCTTTGATGACAGATTTATATTTGTTACAGTTGTCAAATGACATATCCTCCAACTCTAGCTGTTCCACCAGTCCAGTGCTGGTCATTCAGGGCTGGTACTGGGTACATTTACAAATGTACCRGGTTACCTGTGCACTCCTCCCATCCTTGCTGGTTCCCTCTCTTCCCCTCCCTTTCCTGCTAGAACTCCTTCTCCTCGCTGGCCTCAGCTCCTGCAAGGACCACTGGGGGGGCTGGTTCTCCTGGATCCACCCCAACTCAGTGCTCAATGAAAGGCACTTCCATTTCACTGATGTTGGAGGATATGGCATGGATGAAACTGTAAGTAGCCCATTGTGGTGATGTGCTCTGTTTGTATTGCAGGTGATGGGAGTGGTAGGACCCTCCAGTGTGGCTGACGGATTACCCCTTCTTCATCTCAGCCCTTATCTCTCGCCACCTCTGCCCTTCAGCACAGCTGTTGTCCGGCTTGTAGCATTGCAGATACAGGTGTGTCTGCCCTGGCCCACAGCCAGGCCTTTAGAGCTTCTGGTTGAGACACCAGCTCATTGGTGCTCTGTTTTCTTTCTGCAAAAGCTGGGCAAAAACTGTGGAACATATACCAAAACTAAAGAGAAGCAACATGTAAATTCTCCCTCCTTTCTGAAGGCTTGAACTGAGCTCAGAATTCATCTGTTGGGGCCAAGTCCACACCAAGCATCCATCAGCTTAACACTGCCATTGAAGTCCAGGGAGTTTGGCTGATGGATGCTGTTTAAGGCTCTGACAAGCAGGTTAGGATTCTCTGCAGGATCTAAGGAGTTAGCATAAGACTCCTGCCACAGGGAGATGGGCCCTGGCTTGGGTCACATCCCTGCAACCCTTCCTATCTTCCTGTGGGGTGTGTGTAACTGAGAGTGGAGTTTGTGCTCTTCTGCTCTTAGCTGAACTGGTCACACAGTGCATAAACAGCAGGGCAACTTGGCTTTTCAGCCGCTGAAGCAATGGCATCCTTGTTGCCAGAATAGGAAAAAAGGAAGTTCCCAACTTTCTGGAGAATTTCACCACTATTCCTTTCTCACAGTCGCATTATCACCATTGACAGAGTCTTTCTGCCTCTGTATCCCTTTCCTTCCTCATTAGTCTGAATGGTGACAAAAAAGGGACAAATTTCCTAATCTAGCTTCCATAAAATATGCATTGGCACATCCAGTTGAATAAGTAGGCAGGTTATTTCTGAGCAGCAGGGTGGCTTGGGAAGGAAGGCTTATAAGGACCAACACGCAGAGCTGTCCCTCAAAGAATGAGGTGCARAAGAATTTTTTTGGACAAACTGACACAGAAAGAGAACAGATTTCTTCAAGCTCTGACTGGTAATAGTTCTTTAATCAAAAACAAACAAACAAAAAGGCCACTTTCACCAGCTGTGAAATATTCTCTATTTAAAAAAAAAAAACAAAAAACAGATACCAAATTAATAATTTTTTTAAAGTATTGGGAACTTTTATAATCCTCTTCTCCCTATTCACGCATTTATGGGCTTTAAATGTAATGAACACCAAAAAYGTCAGGAAAAACACGAGTCATAATTCCCAATACTTCCAGCAGAAGTACAGAACAGAAGTACATCACATCCCATCAGTAAACATTCTGCTAGAATTTCTCAGCCCAGGCCTGTAAGCTTGAGGAGTTGCAAGGTTCAGTTGCAATTTCACAGCTAAGTGTATAGCAACTGGGATGTAAATGAGCAGAGGTTCTAGTGACAGCCATTTGAATTACCTCCTCTAAAAGAAGTTGAAACACCTTTAAATTTAGGCTTGACTTTGTGCCAAGAAGTAAACATGCATTTTGTGTATTTTTCAGTTCATTCTTTGTGTTACGGAAGATGTCAGGGCAGCACAAAGTGAGGCAGAACAAAAAAAGTGTTTGGGAATAACCTCCATGTTCGGACAGGAGGATACTTAAATGATGTCATTTGTGCAGTTTTCTCTGTTCCATTTTCTATTCCCTATTGTCTGATCTGATGCCATCTCAGATCCTGGTGCCATTCACAGCAGTGCAGACCTTAATCCTAACACTCAGCTGACTCCTGTGGGATACATCTGATTTTGTTAGTGACATCTAGGAGATGGGAGACTGGGCTTCCTACATTTTGCTATGATAAGAGCAGGTGATGTACTGTGTGGTSTCAGGGCATCTCATTCCATCAGGTCATCAATGCTGGTGGTGTACTGTGTGAACAGGGTGCCCGGGGATTGTCATTCCCCACAGTGACTTGTGTGTGTGATCTGCTGATGAAATTGTTTAATCCTTTCTTATCATTACTGCACAGGCTTTGAAAGAAGATTTCCCCCTAAGCCATGTCGTCTCCCCATTCACCAATCAGGAAAGAAGGGAAGGAATGCTTTTAAACCTACTGATTCCATTTGTGCTCACAGTAGGATCTGGAAGCAAAGGTCTGACTAATTTAACAAAAAGAATTTTTGTCCCTCTTTTCTGACAACTGATGTTTGCACTTTCCTTGCTCTCTGTACTTTATTTTTATTTTTTAATTGGCTTTTCTTCACCAGCAGTATGTCAACTGAGTGCCCTTTGGATCTAAGACTGAAAAGAGCCCCATTGACCCCACTGAAAAAGTTGTTATTTCTTCTCTTAATTTCAGTTGTGCCTTGGTTCTTAAGTCAGGTCTTACACAGATGCTTTTGAAACTGGGGTGCAGGGCAAGATAAATCTGTTGCAGCAGAAGTGTTCCAGTTTAGAAACATTTTTAAGAGAAAAGGCTCTGGAATTAACGTTTCCTCTAAAGAAACRGGTTTCAACAATCCCTTACCGCTGATACGAAATGAATATTGGTCAGTGAAAATGAAAAAAACCAACTGTTTACCTGACAAAGTGCCTGCCCGACATGGGAAAAGGAATGAACAATGGTTAGATATTGAACTTTCAGAACTTTACTACACACACGCACTCCCACATCCCCACAGCAGAAAAAAAGAAAAAACCAAAATGCCAGGGGAAGGAAAAGAAAACTCACAGAACTCTGCCAGCCACATGCTAGGGAAGAGCAAAATGGTGGATGCCTTTGTTTTGGGGGAGGGAAGAAGAGTCCACACGGCAGCTCGGGGGGAAAAGAAAAACAGATGGGAACCTGGGGAACCTCTGATGTTGGTCTGCTCCTTGCAACAGAKGAAGCTGGTGGATTTAGAGCCCTTTCTTTCCTTGGTTCAGCTTCTCCTGARGTCTGGGGCTGAGATAGGGTGTCCCCATGGCACTCCCGCCAATGATCTGATTCAGACCAAAAATGGAAGAGGAACAGTCTGAGAGAAAACAACAGAAATCACCAAAGAATTGGTTCTACAGTCCAGRGAACAACTTCCTGCCTAAGCTAACACAAACCAAGCAAGCTMAAAGCAAYGATGCAGCCTCTGATTGCACRGCAAACTGAGCACACGGGAGAGTGAGAGCTTGAACAAAGCCCRYRCCAGAGTTCCYCYGGCTCCTGAACCTGCCCTGGCCTCACCCTAAAGCTACAGGACCCAATTCTGGGCATAAAGCAGATGATCAGGAATAGATTATCATCATAAAAACACTCCAAGACAAGAAGTCACAGAGGGTAGCAGAGGTCACAGAAATTGTGTGTCCCTGGGGATCAYAGTCTGTGCAATCCAGGCCACTTGTCTGGCACAAATCCTGCTCCTTGCTTTCTGCGATGGAGGCTCTTCACTGGTAGATCCCTAAACGAAAGTAACGAGTAAAGGGAGAGAGGAATGCCAAGAGGAAATGAGATCACTGAATGGGACATTTCTTTGTGCTTTGTAGCTCTGTGTTCATGTGGGTTTGTGTTGGTGCTAAGATAAATTTTGCCTTTGCTTGCAGGAGGAGAAGCAGCATAACAAGGTGTGGGGGACGGAGTTTTGACTTAGGGGACATTTGAGATGCACCCCATTTTGGAACTAACAGGGTCTTTTGGGTGTCTACAATGGGATGCAGCCTGATCTTTTTCTCTCTTTCCCCTCCCAATCCATCTCAGACAGCCCCTGGCTGGAGCAGCCTGAGGTCCTGCTGCTGCTCCAGACTGTTATCAATATCCTCCTGCCACCTCGCATCATCAGCACTTCCCGCAGCAAGAATTTTATGCTGGAGAGCTCCCCTGCCCACTGCTCCACCCCAGGGGATGCAGGGAAGGACCTGCGGCGGGAAGGGCTTGCAGAGTCCACCAGCCAGGCTGCCTACCTGGGTGAGTGATGGCTTCTGCTGACCACTGAGAARACCCACAGTTAAGGTGAAGTGCTCAAGACTGTAGAGACCAAAGAAAACCATCTTAGGCAGGAGTGAATTTAGGCCTTTAGYTCTTTAGAACTGATTTGGGCCTTGTGCTGAACAGGGGGCCGGGCTAGGATGTGAAGTCAGGAGTATCTCTAGAATATATAACAATGTGAGTGGTGTCTGCACTACAGCTGGAGGAAGAGCAGCACAGGTAGAAATCACTCAGTTTCATACTCCCAGACTACAGTAGTGAAACCACAGAGATAAGTCAGACTGCCTATCAACCCCTAACATCACAGCCTCACTTGCCCTTGGCTATCTAGAGTGAGAGGTGATGTGGTCTGGCTGGCTGCTGGCCCCACAAACATGATCCTTATTGACTGGAACRCCCTCTGTTTACTGTAGGGTGGTGCAAGATAGTGCTATATTATCTCCCATCTGACMCACAGGTGAAAGGAAATTAAAAATAAATAAATTGGTGATGCAGCAGCACTGCAGGCTGTTGGGCTGTATGGGGAGTTTCCTCTTAAAGCACCCTTCAAAAACAGCTTCTCTGTTTCTGATTTTGTGAGGGCATTTATCTGAAGATTTATATTTGTGTCTTTGTTTACCTGTTACCTGAGGAATGGGGTAAAACTGATGAAAAATTGGCAATTCACCACTGATTTAGCCCCCCACCCCAACAAACCGGGATTCAGATGTGTAATGGGTGAGAAGTCTTTGTCATCCAATTAAGAAACATGGAGTAGTCAACTTTCCTCCAAAAATTCCCAGTCTTCCCTGTTTTTTCCAGATCAGGGGAGCATGGAAAGGGGGAKATTCTTTGTCTCTCCTGTGAGCCAAGTTGTAATTACTTCCCAATTTAATGCACAGCATTGTTCTGAACTTCATTGCTGTTCACTCCCATTTGTAATGCCATTGCTCTTGCTCTTGTGAATTACTGCCCTCGGCTTACTGGACCACATTTGTATTTAAATTGCAATGTGGCCAYGACTCATGCATCTGCACTGCTAGAAAGATTATTTTCATCACCTTATAAATCATCTGCTCACATCTGAGGTTATTGTGCTCACAGGTTGTCTCTTAGTCAAGATTTTTGAGCTTGTCTCATCATCCAGGGCTGTATTCCCACTCTGAGCTGCTTTCAGAATATCTGATTCTGAGAAGACAAAAGAACACTGTAGGCAGGGAGAGGGAAAGCCAGTGCAAGAAAATACAGAGGAACTTAGGTATGAAGTAGAAAAATTCYTCTGGAAATAGGGCTGCCAGTCCTGATCCTGAGGCCTTTATTACAGGAAGGTTGGTTGCTCCTTCCCTGCCATGTTTGGAGACTGACAGAGAACAGTGGCYCTGAGGTGTGTGGGCGTGCATGTGCACATACATGCAAAGCATGCCTTGTGTAGGTTTGTGCTCACTGTGAACCCCCATTCTTTCCCCAAAACTTGTGAGGGACAGTGGTAGCATCTCTGACTGCCCTTTGCTGATGTGTGTTCCCCTGTAGCCCTGAAGGTGATCCTTGTTTGCTTTGAACGCCAGCTGGACAGCCAGTGGTACTGGCTGAGCCTGCAAGTCAAAGAGATGGCCCTGCGGAAGGTAGGAGGGCTGGCCYTGTGGGATTTCCTCGACTTCATCATACGAACACGGATCCCTATCTTTGTGCTCCTTCGGCCCTTCATCCAGTGCAAGGTAACAGTTGCTTTGGCTCCTGATGTATCACTCCCTGAAGGCAAGATAGCCCTTACTCCCCAACTGAGAACAGCACTTCTGGAAAAACTATATGTAGGGAGTGATCTTTTGGAAGTTAGGAGGCCTAAGGACCTTTTGAAATTAAATCACAGAGCATTTTCTTAGCCAAAACTAAAGAGTATGCTAGTCATGCAGGAGCTCTGATCCATGGAGTACAGCTAGCCTTAGTTCCTCTGAATGGGAAAGRGCATGTGGACATAATTCTGCAACGAATACATTCAAAGCGCTTGGAAGGAGTGTGGATGTGCTGAACCTAGGAGGGTGTTGGCAAAAATCTTCTAGTAATCTCTCTTCTGCATAGAGCTGGGCAATATAGCTAACAGCCAGGAAGGACCMCTCCCCTCTTATCTCTTGGATGAAGGTTCTCACAGGACTTTTGTGGATGGACAGACATCTGCTAGACTGAGGAGCTGGAGCTTAAGTTAATGGCAGCTCTTTGCTGGTTACCAGGCAGACTAGCACTTGTACTCCACCTTATTTAGGCTACCTTGTCTCTTGGACAGGGTAAATGGTCATGGAGGAAGGAGCTCTATCATGTCCGAGGATAGAGCTTAGCATGAGGAAGCCCTCATCCCCATGTACTCTGCACCACCGAGGTTTTGCTATCTGATCCATCAAATATAAGATTGTCCCTGAAAGACAGGTGGAAACTTCATAGATGGAAACTATTGCCTCCACAGCCTGCTGACTGACTGCAGGCTCATGCTAGCCTGGAGACTAGTTCCAGTTGCCTGGGCCCCATCTCCCTGCAATGCTAACGCATCCCAATTTTGCAGCTGCTGGCCCAGCCAGCTGAGAACCATGAGGAGCTGACTGCCCGACAGCACATCTCCGACCAGCTGGAGAGACGCTTCATCCCACGGCCGCTCTGCAAGAGTTCGCTCATTGCTGAGTTCAACAACGAGCTCAAGATCCTGAAGGAGGCCGTGCACAGTGGGTCTGGTAAGGAGGGCAGGGAAAGCTCAGGGCCACCAACCCAGGCCAGACAGCTGCCTGCCTCTACAGTAATTTGTGAGGCAGACGTGGTCTCTGCCTAAAAGGGGAACGGGGCAATCCACCCACACCCTGACAGCCTGCACCTGGAGCTTACTTTCATCCTGGSTACTGAACAGCCAACAGAAGTCCAGGTGAGTTGTGAAACGCACCTACTTTTCCACTGAGTCCTATTCCCCAGTAGCTGTTTCTTACTGTCTCAGCTGGCTTGTGCAGCCCCAGCCACCGTAAAGCCAAAGCTCCTTGTGCACAAAGGTCTGRCTTTTCAGCAGCAGCAGATCTTCCTCCCCCTTTCTCCTGGTCTCTTTGATTTTTCTCTACTGTGGTGTTCAGATCAGCATTCCTGAGCTGATGGGGCACCGAATTCTCTCCTGCACAAGGGGAGACTTCTCTCCCGTGACAGCTACTCGTGTTGCCACGAGAGGGCAGTTGCTGCTYATACATGGCAAGCGGTTTATGTGCTCAGTTCTTAGGAAAACATTCAAAAGGAAATGCTTCAGTGTTTTTTTTTTTCTTTTTCCTTGGCAATATTTTTGCCTTGTTTCTAAATGTCGARGCAGATCTGGAAAATACAGGTTGTGAAAAAACAGATTGCATAAGTAAAACAGATTTTGGAGGGGTAAGGTAAGGAAGGCAACTGTGTTTTATCACCTTTGCCAGCCCTGTTACAGAATCACAGAATCATTAAGGTTGGAAAAGACTTCTGAGATCATCAGATCTTTGAGTGATCACCACCTTGTCAATTAGGCCAGGCACCAAGTCCCACATCCAGTCATTTCTTGAACRCCTCAAGAGATGGTGACTCCACCACCTCTCTGGGCAGCCCATTCCAATGCCTAGCAACCCTTTCCATGAAGAAGTTCCCTCTGCCCAGCCTGAGCTTCTCTGGATGCAACTTAAGCCCATTTCCTCCTTGTCCTGGTGGCAGGGGAGGAGAGGCCAACACCCACCTGGCTCCACCCTCCTGTCAAGGAGTTGTAGAGAGCCAGAAGGTTCCTCTGCCCCACTAGTCCAGGCAGAATGAGGTGCCTGATGTGACAGGAATGCTCGGCTCACTGTTTATTTCCAGTGCCATCAATGACTTGGGTTTGGTTTTTCACCTCTTGTGCAGCTTACCAAGGGAAGACATCTGTCAGCACCATGGGCACTTCCACCTCTGCTTACCGCCTGAGCCTGGCCACCATGTCCCGCTCCAACACTGGCACTGGCACAGTCTGGGAGCAGGACAGCGAGCATTCCCAGCAGGCCTCMCAGGACACGCTCAGCCGCACAGATGAGGAGGATGAAGAAAGTACGTGGCTGTTATTCAAGCTAAGCCCTAAACACTGAAGATGCTTTCTTGATGCCCATGGTCGGGCTGGGAGGGGAACACATTGCCCCTGTCCCAGTGTGAATCAAAGGCCTGCAGGAGCATGAGGTTGAGCAATGAGTGTGGCTGGTACATGATGTTAAAGTTTGGGTTGTGACATGCCTCCTGARCTATGGCAGGGCACAGGGAAGAGTRCATGGAGGCTTTTAGTGTCTGAGACCTGGGTTGATGTGCAGTTGTCACAGTGCTGACAAGGCATTTGGCAGCCAGGTCTCTCTTTGGGTATCATGAGAATGGGTGGGGCTGTGACTCTGTAGTTAGGATCCTGTTCCTGCRGCATCTTAATACTTCCTGCTCATTGCTTCTGTCCAGATGCTCTGATGGTTGAACACGTTATCCTTGTGCTGCAAAAGATCCAGATGTGGCTCTCTGTAGGGTGGAATGTCTCTGTGCTTGAGTCACTTGATAAACAAACAGGAAATTAAGACTCAAAACTACTGACAATAGAAGCTTGGACTCCCTTTTGGGAAGCTGAATTTGCCAGGCTTTCTGTTGCCAGGTTAAACAAAATAGGATAGTGAATTTTTGGGGACTTACTTGAAATGATCTGAATGGGGGTTTGTTGTTTCAGCTGAGTTTCATATTATTGTTGGAATTTTGTCTTCTCTCTGCTTCTGAGTTGCCCTTCACTGAAAGCCAGGGTAGAAAACTCTGCTCATATATCATCAGGCTTGGGCTTCCCCCTAGTTTCTGGTTGGTTGGTTCAGTGTCTGAAACTCAAGTGCTTCRCTGCTGTATTTGAGGACTACCGACTGTTCCCCAAAAGCGTCAAACAGAAGGAGTGAAAATGACAATGAGGGATGGACTCAAAAGAAAGGCCCRTGCAGTTACAGTATGATTGCCTTTTGGGAAAGAGCAGTTAGCCTGAAAATTTCCAGGCTCAGCCCAACTTTATTTTAGTTGGGTTCACCACTAAACTTTGTACAATCCACCCAGAGCTGTAGGGCTCATACATTATTCAGATATTTACTCACTGTGGCAAACTCAGGTTTCAGCCTCAGATGAATTCTGAGCCATTGTATGGTACAGTAAATACTTCCTATCTGAACTGTGGCATTATTGCCTCAGCCCTGCTTTGGATAAATGCTGCCATAAAATATTTCAGTACATCAGAATTGGAAAAGGTCAAAAAGAGGAGAGAAAATTACGCAAACTCACCTCTTTGTTTAATTTATTTCTAATTAAAAGTTGCTGTGGCAATACCTACAATAGAGTAATTTCTTTCTTGATATATTTTGAAACAGCACTGAAAATTTCAAGCAGTCCTGTTTGCAATCCAGCTGTCTGCATAGTTCAGTTGCAGTAAGATGTATTTGAGTCAATTTATCCAATTTTTTGGTGACATTTTAAAATGCATGTCCTAAAGGGTGTTGAAGGGTATCAGTTCTGCATTTTGCTGTCATGTATTTTGGCTTTTTTTATAACAGTGCTTTGCTAAATCATAGCAGCAGTTTATTTCACACCAGRAAAAGGACCAGGTATAACTTTTATGCTGGAAATGCTGTGTATTAACAAACAATTTATTAATCACAGGAATTAAGCCCTAGTGGAAGCTGAATTTCCCAAACATGTATTCCTGAGAGCCATTTAAGATGAAGAATACATAAATCCCTGCCCCATGTTTGTCAAGTTCCTCATCCTGCAGGGATTTATGTGTACGTCTTTCTGCGCTGTGGCCATAAAATCTAATGGCATATTCCAATTTGCAGGCTTGGGCTCTTGGTAAGTGAATGCTGGRTACACCTTTGGCATCCTGTTATCTCTTGACAACTGTGGAGATGCAGGAAGGGTTTGGGTGGTTGTTTCCCCTTCTTTCCTGTTTCTTCTCTTTGCAGATGACTCCCTGAGCATGCCCAGTGTGGTAAGTGAACAAGAAGCATGCCTTATGGGTGCCATTGGGAGGAGGCGGTTCTCCAGCCATCTCTCCAGCATGTCTGCACCTCAGGCTGAGGTGGGCATGTTACCCAGCCAAAGGTAACAACATGGGCTTTTCACCTTTCCCATTATATTCACAAGGGCAGAAATAGCACAGGTACATCAGAGATGTGGGATACTGCAATTGGTGCCAGCATAGTGGTGCTAAATTTATTTATAGTGTTGGACCAAGGGTGCAGGGTTGGRAATAATTATTGTACAGGATGATCTGTGTTGTGTAGGGTCCATAAGAACAAGCTGTCATCCACAGAAATCCTCCTCTTAAACAGTTCCATAAACACTCAGCATTAATTTTTTTGTCTGCTACTACTGAATAGCAAAAGGAAATGTGGTTTTGGCATCTGCATTGAATCAGGGGACCATACCCAGTCTGTGTAGGGAGTGAGGAGGAATCCTGAGAAGCTGAGAAAAGGGAACAGAAGCAGTTTGATTTACTTTTTTTTCTTCCATATTTTCTGTGTCCTTCATAGAACAATAACTAGCTCATTGCAGAAACAGAATGCTATGTTCAATGATGGGATTTAATATTGTTTTAAACCTGAAATACTTGTTGATACAAATAACTTTGAATACTTTATTCCTGGTGTTAGGAAATCTACATCTTTAGAAGATGTGGAGAGAAGTGTTGCATTTAAATGTGATTTTTTTTTCTAAGTAAGCAATGTTTATTGTTTTATTTTTCTGTGACATAGTTATCCAAGGATATCTGACAATGGACAGAGGAATTTATGTTATTTCCTTTGAACCTTTAAAGAATATATTCCACATCATGTCTTGACCACCCCTGGAAAATCAAACACAATGGTTCCCTCCCCATTCTTGCTTGGAATTAAAGAACTGACCTTGAYAGATGAAGGAAAATTAATAGCTGTGGTACACATCAGCAGAGATAGAAGTCATTTACAAGAGAGAAGTTGCACAGATTTTATCTGGGAGTGTTCACAAAAGAACTTACAGGAACTCATTTGATTTTTGAACTCAGTTGTTTCAGTCCTTTTGTTTCTTGAAAAATTAATATGCAAGACTGCMTTTTCCTCAATCTTTCACTACCATCTTCAATGCATAAACTTCGTAAGAGTGCCAGCTGACTGATAGCAATGTTTGCTTTGTGCAATCCTAAATCAAGGTGTTGCTGGGAAAAAATGACTTTAATTCCTATAGAGCTTCACTCTCTACTTTTTAAKTACATGGTATATGAGGAGAATTGCTTTTCATCTGGGTAGGGGTAGGACAGTTCAGCAAGCATAATCATAGTCCTTGACGTCACGCCCTTTGAGTTATGGATGGTCTCTGGGCTTTCAGACTGCCTCWCAAATCTAAACTAATTAATGCTAAATGTTATTATTACTGCTTTCCTGCTGGTAACCCAGCAAACTACTTTCTTTCTTTCATRTTTTTCCTATGGCCTGAGCAGGCTGATCCTGCCTAATGGCTGCAGTGCAGAAAAGCAATGGAATTGTGTACTCCTTTGCCAAGACCCTCGCCAGCTGTTTATTTACAGTTTTGTTGCACTAGAAGACCTTGTTTTCCAGATGTTTGTTCTTAGAGTCATGCCAGAAGAGTGATCTATAGCTCATGGGAGATAGATTAGCCCTCCCTCAAGGAAGAAGTGGCTTATGGGGAAGGAAAAAAGCTTAATATGAAGCTGGAAGTAAACAGAACTGAAATGAATCAAAATGCTGCAGGAAAATAGCTTTGAAAACAGTTACCTGCCTTATTTCCTGTAGAAACACATCCTGTTGAACTTCTCAGCTCCCCTGGTCTCACCAGAGCTGTAGAAGGCTCCATGCAGTGTAAACTTTCTCTAAGACTGCTTCTGTTATCAGATGCTCTTTCAGCTCCTCTGAGTCATATATGTTCTGTTGGGCGTGTGAGACCAATTAATGTTACCGTCCTTTTTTTACTTTTTTTACTCCTGTGGTATTTTCTTCCCTTGAAAACAGAGACAAGCGCATGCTTTTTGCATTTTCTTTCCCTAAATTCTTAATCTCCCTGCCCCTCCTGCAGTGAACCTAATGTCCTCGATGACTCCCCGAGCCTGGCCACTGAGGGCAGCCTCTCTAGGTACAGTGTTAACACTACCTGTCTGTCAGTGTGTGTGCTGGGAAACGAGCCGTTTCCAACCYCCTGTCTCTTCCCCTCACCTTTTGTCACTCTCTCCATCTCTGTCTCTTGTGGCTCATCAATATTCAGGCCTGCAAGTCAAAGGTGTAGCAACCCATCTTCAGTTTTCAGCTTTGATTGCCAATAACTTTGAGAAGGCTAAGGAGAAGGGGAAAGAAAAAGCTGTAGTGAATGAAGCAGCAGGCTAGCCTTGGGATTTTCCCCTTGTTTAGCAATTGCTTGAAAGGCATTAGCTGTATCCTGTTATAAGCATTAGCCTGGACGCTGATGTAAAATGGAGACATCTGTTTCTTCATTCATCTCACAATGCTGTCACCACATAAGACTTAATAGCAAGCTGTGTTCTTTGCCATTCACTGATAAAACTAAYTATGGTAAGTCCTGCGGAATATAGTGTTTTGTGGGTGTTTTACAATAATTCTCATTATTTTTGCAAAACATTTTCAATTCTCAAATGACACCTTAGAAATCTTGCAGGTGGACACCATAAATATATATTTTAAATGATTCTTTTAGTGCTGGAGTTCAGGTCTAGCTGTTCCTCATTACCCACCGACAGGGGAACAAACACAATTGGGTCAGGAGTGAACTTAGAAGGGAGGGCTGCACCTTTAACACCCAGCTCAGTCATGTTAATCATTCTCCCTGTCCTGCTGCTGTGCTCCCACCTCTCAACCCATCCTCTTGAGGCTGGAGAGCTGTTGTTAGTCCCAAGAGCACATCTGTGCCCTCCCAGGAGAACATGGCCCTGTACACTGGCAACACAGAGGGTAACTCACTATTTCATTTCTGCACCAGTGGAAGCAGTGGATATGTTGTGAGGCATTTGTGTGAGTGGTTTCTCTTTCATTAACTTCAGTTTTGATGTTGGTAGCGGCTTTTTGGGGACAGTCTTCTCTGTTTGTTTGTTCACTCTCCTCAGCTGACAAAAGGAGAGTTTATCATCGGTGCTGTCACTGAGCTCATCCCATGACACATGGTGTCCTTTGTGTGTGTGAACCCTGCTCTGGCAGACCAGTCTCTGATCGGTTAGAAAAAGACCTCAGCTTCTTGGCAGAGGCAGGAATATTGTTATCTGGTTTTGTGACAAAGTAAGATGGACTGCATGGTCATCTGAGCTGAARAGCTGAAGAGAAATCGTTCAAAGAACTTCCATGTTGTACCTTTAGCAGCACTGAAAATTCACTACAGTTGAGAAAGAGGATAAAGGGAAAGGTCTGTATCTGAGCTAAAGCCATAATGACCTGATACTCGGTTACATCAGCRTTGATTGTGAAATGTTTTGATCTTGTTAAGTAGGGGGGAGCCACTTCTAATTACAGTGGTGAGGCTGAGCACTACGAGACATCTAAGTCAATAATTCATTTTGAACCCTGAAATATAATCAGCTGCACAACGGGTTCCTACTAATTCCTGTCACAAAAATTTTCTCTAGAGACCAGGACACTATCCTCCAGCCAGCTCTACAGTACAGAGATCTCCTAAAGCAAACTGGTTAGCAGATGTACTTGGKAGTCARTTCTGCTGAGSTTTATAATCCTTTTCAAAGAGTGGSCACTAATGTCTTAAGAAGGGGAATCAGGGCTGCAAAGCCTTAGAAGGCATGAAGACATTGCAAATGTGTCTAAAAAGATTAGATTGGAGCTCTGTGAGGAGGAAAAGATGTTTCAATTGCATTGTGAAATGTGAAAATTGGATTCCTCCTCTAAAGAACAGGAGTAATAAAGCAGATGTTGTAGAAGCTTATTGTGTTGTGGGGATTATAGGGCAGAGTTAATTTGTTTTTACATTCAGGAGCATTAGTTTGGAATAAAGCAGGCTAGGGTTTTTCTTATGTAACTTTGATTTCGGCTGGCACACAACAACAATCTTTTAGGATCACCTTCTGAATTCAAAAGCTGGTGTTTAGTCATAACTGACATAAAGAAATAAACAATATTTACTGGGGACTAGACCCTTATGGAAGGTAGGAGYCTKAAACAGATGAAACAAATTGTGACAAATACAAAAAAGAATAAAGTCTGTTTCCCTTTGTTTGATAGCAATTAGAGGCAGCCTTGTAGAAAAGCAAGGAAGACAGGAAGKGGAGAGCATTGAAGTGCTCAGACAGTAAGGGATGCAAGGCTGAGGAGCAGCGTGATCTGTTGTGGTTATAATCTGAGAGGACAGGGTATTTTCCCAAATCAGAAAGAAAGAAGGAGAAGCCACTGTAATGGAAATCKGTTGCACATTTCCCTGTAAGGTTTGTGCCTATCTTAGTTTAATCRTTCCTAGTAGGAAAAATCAGATTGRATCCACATTGCCAGGGCAATTGCAGCAGCAGATCTAATGCTAACTAGGCTGGGATGTGTCTGGAAATACAATATACTTAACCCATTCTCCACTGCCTTTGTCCACCAACCTTTTCATTCATATGTCTAGGCTCACAAATTGTGTATGCTCTGCCATGATGGTATGGCAAGCATGTCTATGTTTTTAATAGATATTTAAACTCCTTGCTTCCTTTTTTTCTTTTTTTTTTTTCTGCATGGTTTGGTTTCTTGTAATTCCTGAGGGTCACTCCTTTTACTTGCCAACTTGCCAAAGTTGCTTTGTTCCCCACTGTGTGACTGCACTGTCTGTCATTCCTTTTAGCACTGGCAATATGCTTCCATAAACTTGGGTTGGTTTGATCTTTGGCTCACCTCTGGGAATAACATTATTGTGCAAATAATCCCCTGACAGAGATACTCAGATAGTGACAGCATCTTTGTGCTGGACAGGAGAAAAATCTTGTTTCTTATTCCCAAATAAGTCTGGCTTATGCCCTTTAGAAAAAGTACTCTTATAGATCACATTGTCATGGAGAGGAAATGTACTGTCAACTGAAACAGCATTTGATTCAGTGTTCCTTGGCTGGGTCCCACAGGCTGCCAGAAAAACAATATATTCCTGGTCAAGTCTAGTAAACATGGAGAGACAGAAAAGGAGGCAGGGCAGCCTACACAGAGCCAACCCTCTGCCTGCCATGCTTGTTTTCACAGAATCAAGATGGGTAGTGCTGTTATTTGATAAGAAAAGAAACCCTCACAAACCCTCATGAAAAGAAAACTTACATCTGAAAAATTCAGTCTATAGTCTGAAATTTGCGGTCTTTATGATTCTCTGTCATTCTCTCTCCTTTCCTTTTCCAAAATTTGGGGATAGAGTTAAAAAAGATAGTCACAGCAGAACTGTTCTGTGCACAAACAGCTCTGCAAAACACAGCTGCTTTCAGTCCACCATTTCCCTGCTATAGGTGTCTGCAATTTCAGCTTACAAAATCATCCCAGGTTATACCAATTTGTATAATTATTCAGTACTGGAAGTAAACATCCATGAGCTCACTTAACTCATTTCACATATGTTTTAAGCCAGGCTGAAAATCTCACACTACATCAGGAAGACACAAAGTCCAGCCTTTTTTTTGTTAATCTGTTGTTTGTCTTCAGTGCATTGGAACAGTTTTTCCCTCKTGTGTAGCCTCTGTGCCCTCACACAGTCCATGTGCGCCCCTTATCTAATGACTTCTAAAAAGTGTTTTCATATCACACGTGAAGTGAGTTTGTTTCTGTAAACAGTTGCACTGTAAACAGTTTTGTACTGAATATAATTGCAGTCTTTCTGCTACAGACATTAATGCCTCCTCACTCACAGAACTGAGTTACCTTTCCTTCATCAGAAATTGTAACAATTCTCAAAAGCTAGTCCAGTAGAAATTTCTTTTTAAGAACTTCTCCAGCTAAATCCTACTTCACATACTAGTAACCACTTCTGGAAGTAAAAACTTCTGGAAATTCAGAAGAGTAAGTTTTTATGTAATCCTAGGAAGAGAAGATTAAGGAAATTCTCCAAGTTGTAGTTTCAGGTAGTCTGGATTACAAAGACTAATTGGAGTGCAGTCTCTTTGCTTTAATGAGGAGTGATGTGATGCTTTCTGGACTTAGCAGTCATATGAGCTGCAGTCACTGTCTGCATCAAGAACATAGTCCTACTAGCCAGAGGTAACTCTGAGGGCTCTGCCTATCCCTAGGCAGGTGCTTGTGTGGTGTTTAGGGTGCTTGGTAAGTAAAGCATGTCAATACCCTATGGAAAAGCTGGGATATATGTTCCAGGGACTGGTGATTTCATTTGGGGGACCTATCTGAGGAAGAAAAGGACTCAAAKGTACCTTGGTTGTTTTGGCTTTGAGCTTGCTGAAGCCTTTCCTTATTTTCCAAGGCAGTGCAACTGTGGCGAGGTTGCTGAGGGCATGCCCAAGATTATTAGGCTGTAGTCTGTCAATCAAAAGAGAAACAGCTTCAGCATCCCAAGATGTCTCTCTCCTTAAGGTTGCCCTGTAGAAGTGATAGAAACACATGGATATGGTTCAGTGCAAAGTCTGGCTTTAKTTTGAGTGAAAGGGAGGAAGGAATAAAACTTTCAGATCAGGTAACCAGACTTTGCCCCAAAGTAGAGCAGGAACACATTCTGTTCTGCCAAACCTTCTAAGGACAATCAGTAACTTCTGCCAAAGTGAGGAATGAGCTGCTCAGGAGACAGAGCTTTTTAATCCTAACCAGAGACATCCTCCATATCTTGTCTGACTGTTTCCTAGGTTTGTCTTCTTCCTCCACTCCTGCATGATCAGGTGATAAACCTTCACGCCTGTTGGTAGTACTTACAAACTCCAGGGAGATCCAAGGGAGGCAGCTAGAGAAAAGAATGTTGTTTTATTTTTGGATTAATGCCAGCTAAAGGCAAAATGGATTGCAATACTGAATCTTCAACAGTGTTTAAGATACAGCTGGAAGTTCCTTAAACAGGACATTGTGGCTCAGTGCATTCCAGTCTGGCCTAAAAAAGTGGCTGCCTGAGTTAAAAGAAGTCCATCTTAAATGTTAGTGACTATTGCAGTCATCAGTCTCTCAGACATAGTTTGTTCAGCTAAAGTGTTTTGTGACTGCTAAATGTCTTGTTTTAAATTGTTTGGAGGAATACAATGCTTTTATAAAAAAGAGGGAAGGGTGGTATTTTTATATTAAGTAGATTAAATGGTCACTTGAATGGTTGTATGAGATGGTATGTAGCTGAGCATGTTTTATTGCTAAAGTTTCTTCTACTGCAGGTTTTCAGATATATTGTGCCAATAAATTAAAAACCAAAAAAGCTCGCTCTATCTATCTATCTATCTATCTATCTATCTATCTATCTATCTATCTATCTATCTATCTATCTATCTATCTATCTATCTATCTATCTCTACTTTTTGTTTATTTATTTCTTTTGTTTGTTAGCCACAAAAAGACTTAAGGCTGCAAGTGTTGAGTGTGGGGCCTTGTTCACATAACTCATGCATCCATTATGTGAATGGATCCTTTGTCACTTTGTGCTTGTTTTTTGTTTGTTGATTTAAATTCAAATTAAAACCAGATGATAAAACTGTGATAAGGCCATGGAGTCTTATTTGGGAAGAAAAAAAACGCTTTTAGAATGTTGTCCTTGAAAAAAGGAAAAGCAAACGAGAAGGCTTCTGAGCTAGGAAGCTCATGTTCTTGCCTTCACTGATGTGGCAAAGGATGCAGAGAAGTGAGTGCTGCTCAGAGGGATGCACCAATCAATGACTGAAAACTGAAATCTGCAGTTGTTTATATTTGGATGCTACCTGTGCGTGGCCAAGTCCTGAATGCCATGACTCCACCTCCCACCCTTTCCTAAGCCCTGGAAGCCACAACCCAACAGACATGTCCCCTCCCATCCTTCAAAGACAATGCTGCTCTTTGAAGTGATTGTGCCATTAGTGGTTGGTCGATCTATTGTTTATTTTTTAGTCCCAGTTGCCAGGACACCCATTAGTTATAGAGYGTGCTTCTGTGCTTGGCTTAACGCTGTCAACATCTAACAGGGTGGCAAGTGTGCAGAGTGAGCCAGGACAGCAGAACCTCCTTCTACAGCAGCCCCTGGGGCGGAAGAGAGGCCTACGGCAGGTAAGGACAYGGGCAGTAAGCAAACCTTCTCTCCTGCTGTGTGATTTGATTTGGCTTTTCTCATATGTGGCTGTTTAGATAGGATATGTGGATGTGACATGTACTTTCTACCTAATTTTTGCTATACTAGTGCAGTCCCTTGACCTAGTGGGACCCATAGTGCAAAACCATAGCTGTGAGATCACACAAATCCCTAAGACAGGAGGTGCCCTTTATTTTAAATTCCTCAGTCTTGTCCTCTGCAGGCTTTGTTTCTTATTATTATATTAAATGACGGTCACACAATCTGCACTGCATTACATTCAGTGTTGAAATTGAAAGGGCACAGAGCCCAGAGGCTGGTAAGAGGGAGATGTCTGAGCCATGGAACTATTAAAACACAAAAATCTGCTAAAAGTAGAGTGAACTAGACACTAGAGGTATAGACATGATGACCTCCTTTCAGAGTAGGAGTGGTGCATATGTGAACATACATCAGCCTAACTCTCTCTTCCAATGTTTAGCTTCGACGACCACTGCTGTCACGTCAGAAAACTCAAACTGAGCCTCGGAGCCGTCAYGGAGCTCGACTGTCAACCACAAGACGAAGCATCCAGCCAAAGCCAAAACCCTGCGGTAGGGCAGTGCTGCATTTCCAGTACCAGCACACCACACTGGAAAGTAGAAAATGCTGTGGCTTTAGCTTAAAGGAATAGTAGGTTGCTAGTAGCTTATGTTAAAGTGAAGTCCCAGCAGCTTTGTACTTTTTCCTAGTACATGGATATCCTATCAGAAATCCACCCACTCAAAAYACTTTGATGGCTTCTCTAGAGGTTTACAAGGTCAAACAGGACATGGTCAATGAATTATCTTGTTTCCAAGAGTTGTGGAGCATTTAGGGGATGGGTTTCCTCTAGTCAGGATGCCTTATCCAAAACCTCCAGATGTGCAAGTTTGGAAGATGCTATCTAGAGTAGTAGAAAGAAGGAAATGTCCCATCATACGCTTAGCATAAGCTTTAAGAATTGTATATGGAAATAAATATAGGACTGTTTCAGTCTGTGCTGTATGTTTCCAGGCATCAGCACTGCAAAACAGAGCAGGTGGCTGTATTCTGTACCATCTGGAGTGAGCAGTGAGCTTTGGAGGAGAAATCTGGAAGAGTAAAGGTTACTTGTGAACTTTCTGGGTTCACAGTAACAGTTCAACTGCTCAGGAACATGCTKGGGCAACACCTCTGCTGAAGATGTTTGAAACTTAACAGTTAACCAAAAATAATTTAGAGCAAAAAGAGGAATATCAGTTTTACTGTTAGGTTTTCAATCTAGCTGTCTTTACCCTGTGCTTTTCAGTTATTCCTGAGTMGTGGATTTAGTCTGCAGGAATCAGGGGCTATCCACTGCACTTTCTTTTCTGAGATTTCCCACAAAACTTTGGACAATTCTCCTATCTTTTTGCATGCCAGTTTTCCTTTTTCATTTGAGGGCAGAAATGCTAACTGACATAGGAATTCAACTCCGTGTACTGTATTCCTCTGGAATGGAGAAATGTTATGGGCGGTATTTGTCTCACCAACCCATGAAAAAGATAGGTGTGGCTGGCTGGACTTCAGGAGTTTCTCAGAGTCTTGCTGTGGTTGTAGTGAAAGCCCAGAGTGAAAGGCTTTTAGATTAGATGCCAATTAGACAGATTATATAAAGATGGAACGAATCACAAATCCTGTCTTAATTGTAAAAACTACAGGGATTCTCTCTCTTCTATTGCTGTGGTTTTGGTCACAAATTTTAACCCTCAGTTTTCTGGGCTTTGTTCCCTCCAGCAGAGCAGAAGCGCTCAGTGACGTTCACGGAAGCCCAGCCTGAGGCACCCCCAGCCTGCACCCCAGACCTGCCGGCCCAGCAGCCAGACTGCAGCCACAGCAGTCCCCAGGCCACCAGCCAGCAAGAGACCCTCAGCAAACCTGTGCTGACTTCCTCRCCTGCCATCGTTGTAGCTGACCTCCACACCCAGGTAAAGTGACTGCTGGGTTTGTAGCCCCTTCACTGATCCATCCCAGGCACAAGGAAGTGCCAGATGCATTACAGCACTGTAGTGAAAGCTGGCGGGAGAGTGAACACAGCAAACTCTCCTGTGTGTTTGTTCTTTAAGCTGTTTGCTGTCCAGCCCCTGGCTTCTATAAAGCCATTCACTTCTACATCTATGCAACAATTCTTAATATGCAAATATATTTTCTGCATCTTCCCTTTCCATCTCCCCATCACATASAGTGTCCTTCTGGACCTAATTGCCAAGGCAAGCTTTCCTCAACAGATTTTCACAGCTTGCTCCCTGAGAGATGCCTCCTTAAGGAAGGACTCTGCTAAAGCCTCAGGACTGTTTTAGCAAAAGCATCACATTGCAAAAAAATTTGCTTGTCCAACATTTTTCTGCGTTGGACCCCACAGAGAATGGTGCAGGGACAATCCCAGTCATCTTTTCAACACATCAGTGACATTGAGATCACTTTTATATACCCAGATTTCCAGCGTCTTTTGGGGGTTATGTCCTTTGCCACGAACAAAGGAATGATCTCTGTCTTCAGAATCATGGAATGAATCACAGAAGGGTTTGGACTCATTCCATGTCCTGCCATGGGCTGGGACACCTTCTACTAGACCTCTAAGCCCTGTCCAGCCCAGCCTTGAACACTTCCAGGGATGGGGCAGCCACAGCTTCACTGGGGAACCTTTTCCASTCCCACACTATCATCACAATAAAGATTTTTTTCTTAATACCTACTGTAAACCTACTCTTAGTTTGAGGCCATATGGTAAGAAAGATGAAWTGAGGAAGTGTTAATGACTGAAAACAGAGAACCTTTCTGATCATTGTTGCAAATTAGATTCATCAGCAGAACTATATTATTGTTAGGGMATAATATTAAGGGATTTATAATCTGCAAGTGCCTGGGTCTTTATGGTGAAATGTGTATCTGAATGAGAAAATACTTTATAGACCTTCCTTTCCTTTTTTCCCCCCTCTCCCTTCCTACCTTCTCTGAGCGTGACCACCAGCTCTCCTCAAATGCAGAGCAAGGCACTCTCTGCTGAGAAGGAGAAGGAGAAAGAGGAAGGCTTGGAGTCCCGGCCAACAACAGCACAGAGCACCCCACCCACCCAGCTCTCTGACACTGAGGACTATGCTGGCCTCGAGACCACCAGCTTGCTGCAGCATGGGGACACTGTCCTGCACATCAGTGAGGACAATGGGATGGAGAATCCTTTGCTGGCCACTCACTTCACGAGCTTCACACACGTGGAGCTYGGGGAGACCGATGTCGATCTAGATGAATCTCATGTTTAACTCTTGGGGAAGTGCAGTAGTGGGGGGAGAAAGGAAACGTGTATCTTTCAAGTTCCCTGCTAAATAATAACTAATTAAACAAAGAGCACTTTATTATCCAAAAGTAGGAAATAGCTATCAGCCAGTTGCTATAGACTGGCAAATTTCTGTTTGTGTGATCTATTTCAGTTCAGTTCAGTTCTTGCCACGTGTATAGGCAAGAGTGGTCCATAGAGCCCTGATCTGGCAGCTAATTACTGTGATCAGCAGCCTCATTGGSTAATGGGCTGTTGGACTGTGGAGACAGAGAAGCCTCTTCTGAGACTGTGCCCAAAACTTATTTTTGTAGGTTTTTGARAGGAGGGCTATATTGCAGCTGAATCCAAGGCTCTTACAAAACAGTGAAAACACTGACAGGAAGTAACAAATCCAAAGCCTGTTTTTCACAAGCCTGGGTCCACTGTTTCTAAATTGCAGAGCATCAACAAGCACCATGAAGCAAGCAGACTTTAAAAATTTTCTGGCACTGCAGGCTTTGGTTGAGTTTACTTTTGTCTGTTAGTTCCATTCTACTCTGTAAAATACTGCCTTTTGTGCTACAAAAATACTTGCTCAGTAAAACTAAATACAGTGCATACCATACGCAGGAATGCACGTGCTGAGCAGACACAGATGGGCAGGGATTGGGTGGTCTGCAGTTGGTATAAGTAGCCCACACTGTCCTGCTTTAATGTACTGAGCTATTCATCTCCACAGCTTAAAAAAAAATACCCTAAGAGACTGCATCTGGAATGCATGGACCTCCTGGTCCCAAGCAACTGCYCCACTGATGCTGTTGGATGTACTTGGAGAGATTTAAAGTAAATATTTATATATAACATTTTCATGTTCCTATATATATATATATATATTGTAAAAAGAGGTGGATATTGCAGGGCAGAAACTTGATGAAAGAATCTATTTTTTGCATGCTGAGATTGTATTTTAAAAGGTTCCATTTTATGTACGTAATGTTCATGGCTGCAAGTATCAGATAAATGTATGTAACATTTCTAGAAGGTGGAGATCCCTGGGGGGATCAGCTGAAGTCATAGCTGAGTTATGAGTTTTGCTGCAGCATCATGGAATTGCACTGAATTGTGAATTCAGCCATTAGCTGCTGACGGGCAAAGTGCAAAATAGCTGTGAAACAAACCATGAAATCATCAGCAATGCCCAAAGGTACCCTTGGGAATCATACACTACCTTTTTTGGCTCACGTTAGACGAACTGGAGTTTATAATCATGTCATTATTGTGCAGAAGAAAACGCTCTGGATCATCCAGAGTATCTAAAATGTGTTAATTACCACTTTTGCTCCTGAGGACTTGCAATTTGGACACACACATCAGAAACGAGCCTTACTAAGGAGGGAATTTACATCTTTCTAGCCATCTCCAAAGAAAGAACTCACAGCTCTCCTCACCAGCTCTGAAATAGCTATTGAAGTCCTATCCTACAAATGGCTGYCTTGCTGCTGTAGTGCAGCACACAGGTTTTCTTGGGGCTTAGAAAATTACCCATACACCTGACAGCAAGTTTCAGCCTGAGAAGCCCACGGAGCCTTAGGCAGCGCTGCGTGGCATTTGCCAAATGCTCTCATTTGACAGGAGCTGTGCACACCAATGTGGGCAGGGAACTCAYCCACATTAGACCTCTGAAGAGAGCAAAAACCATCTTTCTCCCAGGTGCTGAGTATGCTCTGCTCTCACTCTGTTGGTGAGAGATGGAGAATCTCAGCACCTCTTGGGAACAGCAGGGCAGAAGAAGCTATTTTTATAGTGCACTGCCTATATCCCCATATATGTGGGGCGGTATAATGTACAGGTGGTACTCTTACACAGCTCCAAAGGGTACCTGTAYTTGTAAGAGAGGTGTTTAGGTGGAGATAACAGTGTCCTGACGGATATCCTGGACAACAAACTGCTTCCTYTGCTGACCAAAATATGCTGTACTGCTTCTTATCTCCCTGGTGCACTGGAACTAGTGCCAGCTACCTAYAGGATGCTGCTTTGGATTAGCTCCKAGCTCCGAGGTCACTTCAAGAATTGCTGAATTCCAGATGCTAARTTTTTTTTATTAATGTTGATGCACAAATGAGAAAAAAAAAACCTCACAGCTTCACTCTCAAGTCCCAAGGTASGCTTGGTCAGTAGCCATCAGAGGGTGAGGAGAGCTTCAGACATGAGCTGAGTAAGTAGCTGGGGCACAACACATACAGAATTCATGGCACAATTTATAGTGACCTTTTCTGCTGAAAACGAGAAGGAAGCATCTTCTTTAATGAAAAGCAGAGGCCTTCCTAGAGTACTCTACTCTAGAGATGACTAAATAACTGTGATTTACTTCATTTACTGTAGTGTATATGATAACTTTCAAGTTTCCACTGTCACAGGTGAATCCACAGTAGTAAGCCATAGTAAGGACTAAAATTAGTCTTGTTTTAATGTCAATCCTGCTGGAAATCAATGCATCTTATAAATGATGTAATCTGTAATTTAGTTTTATCCAGGTGGCTGGGCAGCTGGTGTTGGTTTTGTGGGATGATTGTTGAGAGATGGCACAGWCAGGCCAGCCCACCTGCCTGATTTCCCATGTGTTTTACTGTCATATCAGCTGCATTTAATGCCGTCCTGATGAGGTGCATACAAAGTACTTTAGCTGGTCTGTGCTTTCCTCCAGTATCTCTGTACCAGAACTGGCGTATTTCTGCTGTGAAGACAAACGATGCTGCTTTACATAGCGTTAGAGGCCTTAAGCGCATGTCATGTTCAGCAATGCCCGCCTGTGCCTGTCTTGTCCATGCGTCGGTCGGTCCCGCTGCCTCAGCATTTAATGCAAACGTTGTCCCGAGGATTAAATACAAAGGAACGACGGCAAAGGACAGAGTTCTGTGTTTGAGCCTCTTGCGTAACACGGTCGGTCTCTCGCGCTCCGAARGGCGGTTTTGTTCCGGGATAGCGATGGTTTGTTAATTTACCCCTCCGCTCCCAGGCTGCGGAGGCCGCCGCAGGCCCGGTGGCTCTGCCCGGCGTGGGGCTGGCACTCTACTTTTGGGGGGATAAAATACACTTCGCTGGGAACTTAAAAACACTTAGACAAGAGTTATTACTATTATTATTATTACTTCCGTCAGTTTGGGCCCGAGGGCGCGGCCGGGGCGGTGCTGCTGGAGCCGGTTCGGCACGTCAGCGCGGGCGGAGCGGGCGGAGGCGCGGCCCCAAGATGGCGGAGGCACCGCCTCAGCCCTCCCCCTGCCCGCTCGGCCCCCCCACCGTCCCGGCAGGAGCCGCGGCAGCAGCGATGGCGTCGGGGTGTCGGATCGGTCCCTCCATCCTCAACAGCGACCTGGCGGCGCTTGGTGCCGAGTGCAGCCGCATGCTGGACTGCGGGGCCGACTACCTGCACCTGGATGTAATGGACGGGTAACGCCGGGGGCGGGCGGGAGCGGCCGGGCCGGGGGCGCGGGGGGCGGGCGGAGCGGCCCGCCTCTCCCTGTCTGCCCGGGCTAACCTGCGGGCGGGCGCGTCTCTCTCTTCGGCCCCAAGACACTTCGTCCCGAACATCACCTTCGGCCACCCCGTCGTGGAGAGCCTACGCAAGCGGCTGGGCCAGGAGCCCTTCTTCGGTAAGGGGCGGGGGCTGCGGGGCGCTGTCCCTCCGGCAGCGGGACTCGGCGCCACTGGCCGCTCGCTCTCCTCTTCCAGACATGCACATGATGGTGGCCGCGCCAGAGCAGTGGGTGAAACCCATGGCAGTCGCTGGGGCAAACCAATACACGTTCCATCTGGAAGCGACGGATAATCCCGGGGCATTGATAAAGGATATTCGGGAGAATGGGATGAAGGTGAGGGGAGTACACGCTGTGCTCTGCTTAAGTAATAGCGGCCTTGCTGGCAGGCTGTCTGCGGTGACCCGAGGGAACGACCTGCAGCTGTAAGGGGAGGTTTAGGTTGGMTATCACGAAAAGGTTCTTCCCCCAGAGGGTGGTCAGGCTCCCCGGGGAATGGTCATGGCCCCAAGGCTGCCAGAGCTCCAGGAGCATTTGGACAATGCTCTCAGACATAGGGTGGGGTTGGTGGGGTATCTGTGCAGGGCCAGGAGGTGGCCTTTCATGACCCTTGTCAGTCCCTTCCAACTCAGGATTTGATTCCATGATTTTATGAAAAACTCATTGCTGCCACTAATGGTGATCAGAGATTGGTACATGCAGCCCTAACACATTGTGCGTGAAGTCAGTCTTCAATTTTAGTGAAGAAAATTGGTAATTTTTAAATAAAGAAGCCTGTTCTTCTGCCATTACACAGACACATAATTACTTTCCTAGGAGTGTGTACTGAGCTCAGGCCAGTCTTGCTCTGAGGTGCACTAATCCTAAAGTGCACTTGGATTTGTCTTTCCTCCCTACAGGTTGGCTTGGCCATCAAGCCTGGCACTACAGTTGAACATTTGGCACCTTGGGCCAATCAGATAGACATGGCTTTGGTGATGACGGTAGAACCTGGGTTCGGAGGGCAGAAATTTATGGAAGACATGATKCCAAAGGTAAACTACATTTCTCTTTTGTTATTTATTGAGCTAAAAGATAATTAACAGTAGGGAAGTATAATGGTGAAGTAAATAAACCTTATCTAGATGTGTAAGCTGTGGGGTGGCAGCTCAGTGTGGATCTCAGTGCTCACCTTTTTRTGTGACTCCTTAGGTTCAGTGGCTGAGGACACAGTTTCCCTCCTTGGATATAGAAGTAGATGGAGGAGTTGGACCYGACACCATCCATAAGTGTGCAGAGGTAAGGGGTTGCAGCAGAGCAGCATTCCCAGTCTGTGCTGAGAGACTTACCAACTCGCAGAAAATAAGGCTTTGGACAAATTTTCTTTAGAGGGAACAGTAAAACACATTTAATACCATAATCTATTTGAGATCTAATCTTGTGCCTTTTTTATAATAGTGCTTGTTGAAACATTCCCTAAGGTAGAAAAGATTGTTTCTTATATGTTGGTGTAATGTGGAGAAATTGCATATTTGGGGAAGAGTTAGTTGTCTTTTCTGAACTTGGTTTGGGGTTGTAGTTAAGAGGTATGTCACCTGTGTTCCAYGTGTTGCACACCAGTCGAGAATTCACAACCTCCAGTGTTTTACAAGCAAGCTCTGTGTGGTGGCTCTGTTCCGTGTGACTCAGCAGGTGTTTGGTATCTTCCAGGCAGGTGCCAATATGATCGTGTCTGGCAGTGCTATTATGAAGAGCGCAGACCCGAGGTCTGTGATCAACCTGCTCAGGAATGTGTGTTCAGAAGCAGCCCAGAAGCGCAGTCTGGATCGATGAGATCTGCCCAAGCCGTGTTCCAGAAGGCTCTGGGTGTGCAGGAGAACCCTTTTCTGGTGCTTAAGGGAGGGCTGGATGGACACCAACTACATAAACTTCTTGCTGCTGAACAGAGGAATCATGCCTTCGCTGCAGTGAAGCAAGCAGCAGTGTGAAATGTGGCTGTCTTTCAGGGTTGGAAATGCAATGGTTTGAACCTGTCTTTTGATTTTTTGGAGGCTGATTTTGTGGCACAACCTCTAATGCTGTCTGGATTGAACTACAGTCAATTTGTTGCTTGCTAGAAGAGTGTAGCATTGCCACAAGAATCTCTCTTGTGGAAGACTCTTAATCAGATAAACTGCCTTCTGCTGTCTGTATTTTGTCATTTGATCTGCGCATTCCTACAAAACTTTTCCACTACTGCATTAAACACCCCTTCCTTGGTGTGGTAAGTTCTTCAAGCTGTCATAAATTAGTGGGTTTGGGAATAAGTTTGGGGAAAATGCAGCTTAAGAGGGCTACAAAAATCCCATTGATGGTAGAAATGTTTCTGTCTAACAGCAGTACTGTCTCTATTGCATAGAAGTACTTGACTTGTGTAAATCAAGCATCAAATAAGTCAGTGTAGCATCTTTACCAGATCACAAAGTAGGGATATCTTCTCATTTACCTTTCAAATAGTCACTTAAGACAGCTGTGTCTGAAATTCCTGGAAGTGATGGAATTCCTAGGAAGAATGGTGCTTTAATATTCTTCAAAATAACTAAAAACCTTTGTCTTRCCGCAGTTTCCTTGGTTTGTATGTATGTCTGAGTAAATGATTCAGATGGTAACATACCGAAATGCTGCAGATATATGTAGGTTGAAATGCCTGGAGATGGGTCCGTAAAACAGCTTGTGGAACCAAATAGTTGTCATTCCTTCAATTTGCTCTGTTTACAGGCCTGGCCTGTTTAGGCACATAAAAGATGAGGTAGAGTGCCCTTGAGGAAGACTGAGCAGGCAATTTTTAGATAGACCCGCCTCCCACGGCTCTAATTAGGATGGCTGACTCTTGAAAATTTCATGGTATTGTGTGGTATTTTTCCCTTTAAGTTGCAATTACAAAAGGGTTGCAAACAGTCTGCTGCCCTGAGAGCCAGGCCAGGTGGCTCAGCAGCCGCAGTCAGGCTGTTGCCACAGGGCCAAAGTCAGATCTGTTGTGTTGGCATGGAAGCCAGGCAGGTTTCACCTGGCAGCTGCGGAGGCAGTGCTAGAGCTGGTGCCGCCCTTCTGAGCCTGGGGCCCCGCAGCAAGGGCCACTGCCCTTGGTAAGCAGGAGGAGCTAAGGCTAGTTCAGACAYTCAGACAAGTGTCTCAAATGCCTGAACTACTACTTTTTCTTAGTGTTTAATTGTGGTTTAGGTGAACAAATGTTGTTGCTTCCTGATTCYGCTTGCAGCCCCATTTGGGGCCTAGCAAAAGAGAAATTGTCTGGACCTACTATACTGAGAGGTATTTCAGAAGAGGTTTTCCAAAAGCAGGCTTGGTCCTGAAAGACTAYAGTCCCAAGGGCTGTTGGTGGTGTGTGTGTGTGTTAGAGTAGCTTTATTCATGCTTCTGGAAAGAGCCACAGTAGTCTAATGTGTGCATGGACAAACAGTCACGGCTCYGGTAGCTAAAGTGCAGGCTGGACAGTCACCAGCTGCTACGAAAATGCTAGTTCAGGATGTGGAGTCTGTTTTTTCATGCTGTTGAAAGCAGGACAACAGCTGTAGCATGTTAATCTCCTGCAGTTGAGTGTAAGCTGGATTGAAAGGTAATTTCTGCTTTTTTCCTAATTAATTTGTGGGTGAYGTCCAAGTTGTGCTAATTAATTGGTGCTACTAGGCTTTGTGGGACCATATGGTATGTTCTCTGTTTTCAGGTTTGTAGCCATTTTGTAGTTGTTTCAAAGCTGGTAAGTTTGCACTTGCATTGACTCTTGGGTTGGGAGTCTTGTGGGAGAGATTTAACATCCATCAAGTAAAATTACTTAATTGCTTTTTTGTCTAAATCCCACCCAGGTGGGTATATGCAGGTGACTCCTGCTGCAGCAGCTTTTACACAGGGTTAAATCTGCTAGTGACCACATCCATGAAATGATAGTAATGGATGATTCTTCTTTAATGCTTAAGACTGTTTGATTTTCTCACCTCTGTATATTTACAGAAGTGATCTGTTTGGAGCCTGTTCAGGCCTGTCCTCCTGTACTCAGTAACAAGCCCAGAGTCCCAGGAGTGGAACTGAGTACTGACACAAAAACCCAGAGAGCTGCTTGCATGGMCTCCCCAGGGCTGAATAAACCCCAGGCTCACTTGATGTTGCAATCCTCTGATAAGGTTTCAGCAACAAGGGAGAGCACAGCCTATGGTATTGAGGCATGTGGTCTAGAGCACTCTAGAGTGATCTGACTGCACAGGTCTGTCTGACCTGGAAAGTGGGATGAAAACAGCTTGGACAGAGCCAAGTCAGGCTAGGCTTGCTGCACAGGGTGGTACAGCCCACAGAGTGAGATAAAACACTGCAGGAGACACACAGAGAGCTTAGTTTAATTAGAATTTAAAAATTCATATTTGTACTTACATTCCATTAAGGTCCTGGATGCAGAGATGAAGCGTTTTAAACCCTCATAGCAGCAGGAAGCAGAACATAGGTGGTCTTAAAAAAATGCCTCAATTGAACATAGTAAATAAAGCACATGGGAACGGGCTTTGTGCAGCTGCAGACACCCACTTTCATGTGTGTGTGGGGGGSAAATTGCTGCATTATGTTTTAAGTYGGTATTTCAGTTAGTCTGTGTAATACCTTGAGCCACAGCAATAAGAACAGCACTAACAGCTGTTTTCATAGTTTAACAGCCAAAGAGAGGTTGGGTTTTGTTTCTGGGGTTTTATTTTCTGTTTAAAACTTTGAAAAGGAAAGAAAACCAGCAGGGAATTCTGCACACTTTATGGCTTCAAGGATGAGCTTGGCTGTGAGCTCTCGGCCCGCTTCCTTAACAGGCACAGCTTCCTCATGACACCAGTGTTCATGTAAAACTGGACGTCGGGAGGTGGGAGCCCAGCTGTGCCAAGACATGGGCTGCAGGCAGTAAACCAGAGTACTAGTGCTGATTCCAGCTGCATGCAGTACAGGGAAAAATGAAAGGAGAGGGCTTGTCCTGGAACCAAGTTGGAATAAGCAAGTTTTCTAACCCTGTGCCAGTACTGAAATGCRGCTGCTGAAAGATCAGGTGCCTCCTTGTCTGGAGCCAAGACATAGAGTGGAGTCAGGGAGGGCAGAGCACAGGTCTCTAGCTTCTTGAGAAGCACCTTGCCCTGTGCATGCAGCGTTGCCACCTGGCCCTGCCAGATGGAGGAATGGTGGAGGGGGGCAGGTAATGGGGGAAAGCAAATGGAGCCTGTTCCTGGGCCCCCTTCCCACTGGCCTGCGCCTGCCACACACACATGTTCTGCTCACCTGATGGCAGAGCCCCTGTGCACCACCAYTGCATGGAGCAGCCCCATGCTGGCACCATGGGAGGAGGAACAGCTCTGGCACCGTGCTCCAGCAGCCACAGGTTGCTGTCAAAGGCCTAGCCAGCTGAGAGGCAGGTKTTGGAGAAAAGATTCCTGCCAGGGGTGGGCTGGGGTAATGACCAAATGGATATTTTGCTTCTGTCTCATGCCTGCCTGGCCTTTCTCTAACTATCCTTTTTATTGCTGACTCGCAAGGCACTAGCTGGTTCCCACAAGGGCTGGCAAGAACATGAAAGACTGGACACAGCAAACATGCTTCCCCTTGTCYGAACCATTATCCACCTTYTGCAGCCCCTGCAGTGGACAAGGTRSCCAGCAGCTGCTTTAGCCCGCACCAGGGCTGACCCTGCAGCCACATGATGGTTTGGCACCACAGCTGGGACCTGAATTGCAGTGCAGAAATGCTCTGCAGCTCCCCAGGCTGACCAGATTGGGGTAACGCAGCTTCTATGACACAAGGGTGTCTCAAAAGGAGGTCTTTGGCCTCCTTTTTAACACCTTTGCCTTTCCACCCTCCMGTAAAGAAAAACCCTTCTGTAACCCTTCTGTATTTCCATTTCCTGAGAGCACTTTCAGGACATGGAAGGCAGCGGGGCTGGCTGGCTGRTTTACTTGGTCTGTCCAAGGACAGGAGCTCCTCCCACTGCCCCAGGGATCAGCCAACAAAGGAAGGCCTGACCTTACAATAAAGCTGGGTGAGAGCTGATCAGATCAGGCTTCCCAGGAGTAGACACGGGTATGGAAAAGACCTGCAAAACATCTGAGACAAAGATTCTAGAAACCTTTTCCTGGCAGCAGATGCACATGCAGGGCAAGAGGGAGGGCAACACACACCTCTGTACTGAGGCGTAGAAGGGGCCCTTGGCCTCACAGCATGTGAGTAYGACAGCAAAGCTGCAGTGGGTTTGCAAAGCCATTCGGAGGCCAAACAGGGCTCTGTGCCAAGASGAAGTACTGCTGCTACTTTTTCACTTCTAGAAAGTCATCAAATTCAGACTATATACAACATATATAGAAATAACTTTTAATTAAAAAATCAACCTTGCATCACAGATCATTGTATCTGACATTGAGGCAAGATTCAAGTTTAAGATAAACCAGTGTTAAAAAAGTGTTTAAAAAAATAATCAGAATGTGCAATAAACTACAATGTAGCAATAGGTTGTAGTGTTGAAACTTTACTGAACTGTTTGCATATGCCCAGTGTATATTTCCTGTCATTTTGACCAAAAAAATAAACTGACACTAAAACTGGGTCATCTGTCCAGTGCAATTCCAGATAGTACATATGGAAGAAAACTGCACGAAAAACAGAGACTCCTATKAAATTGCCTCCAACTGTCCTACACAGAAAAATTGCCTGTTGATGGATTATACCTACATTCAGTGTTTAATCTTTGTTAATACCTCTTGGGATTGCAGATACATTCCAAGCTATGCTATTTAGATGCAAGTTTAAACAACTTGCCTTTGTTTTTTCACTGTGAGTGGGAAATGAAAATCTATCCAGAATCACAATGGAAAGCTTTGGGGCTTTTTTTTATTGCTCTTCAAGGCATCAATCATCTTTTCCTTTCCAGTTAGTCACCAAATGTTGGCATACTTATGAGACTCTTACAAGGCACTGTACAGAAATTGGAACAAGACTTTAACATATTAAAGCAAAGTATTATGAGCCTCATCAGCTACTGAAGGACTAAAGAAGTAAGATGACCCAAACCACAATATTCCATGGGCTGCATCACTGATTTGACTTGACCCCTCTTCCCTTCTGTCTCTCCCTCCCCACAGGCCCAAAGCAGAGACCCTGCTTTCCGGGTGTCACACACATCACCTAT